CTTCTAGCGTTGCTCCAAGCTCTTCGTCCAGCGCCGGACCAGCCGTCATCTCATCGTCTTCTAGCGTTGCTCCAAGCTCTTCGTCCAGCGCCGGATCAGCCGTCGTCTCATCGTCTTCCAGCGTTTCTTCGAGCTCATCCTCCGCCCCGGCCGTCGTCTCATCATCTTCCAGCGTTCCTCCAAGCTCTTCGTCTAGCGCTGGTCCCGTGATTGTTTCCAGTAGCAGCAGCAGCAGCAGTTCTTCTCCTGCTGGCCCAGCAATCACTTCCAGCAGTTCTTCCTTCTCGAGCTACTTCCCAACGGTCGGCCCATATACCAACTCCAGCTCCAGTGTGCCGATCACCAGGACTGGTGGCCCACGCCCAACCTCGTCCAGCGGCAGTGGATCCGGCCCAGTCCAGAGCAGCCATGGAAGCGCACTCCCCAGCAGCTCGGTTGGCGGCCAAGGCGGCCATGGGAACTCGGGTAGCTCTTCCAGCGCTGGATATGGCAACGGTGGATACGGCAACGGTGGCTATGGTGGTGGAGATGTCTCTAGCACCAGCGGTGCTCATGGTGGCCACAGCGGTCACGGCAAGCCAACTGCCACCAAGACCTCGACTTGTAAGTTTTCTTGAAATGCTCGCATGATGGTACATTCGCTAATCTAACGCAGCTACTTACGTCGATGTTTGCTCGACTGGCCTGACCACCAAGACGCACACGTGGACCAAGACATGCTACGAGGGCGAGGATGAGTGGTCAACCACGACTGAGGTCCCAGAAGGCTGGACCACGACCGTGACCGTGTGCACCGTGTGCGGTGCTAAGCCAACGACCCTCACTCTCACGACGCCAGCATCCACCCCGGCCTGGGCGCCTGCTCAACCAACTGGTGCCGGCTCCTGGCCACAAGGTGGCGCGAAGGTCACATCTACTATGGTGGTCGTTGTCACCCCTGTGCCAGCTTCAGAGTACTGGGCCTCCGTTAACGAGGCCAAGTCGACCGCCGCAGCGGCCGCCGCTGGCAGTTCCGGCTCATGGCCAGCTAGCAACGGCGGTTCCGGCTCTGGATCGTCGCCAGTGAGCAACAGTGGTTCCGGATCCGGATCGTGGCCAGCCAGCTACGGCGGGTCGTCCGCCATCGCCAAGCCAGTTGCAGGATCACCATCCAACGCGGCTTCCTGGCCCCTGGGCACCGGCAGTGTCACGGGCGGCAGTTACGCCGCTCAGTTCACTGGCGCCGCTAGCAGGATGAATGTGGGTGCAGGCTTGTTCGCTGGTCTTGCCATTGCTGCTCTTGCGTTGTAGATTAACCAATCGGCATCTTTGTGATGCATGACAAGCAGAAGAGGGCATTGAACATAGTGCTGTCCCTGTCTTTTACACACAACCACAGCATTTGCTCACCGTAAAAAAAAAGGATATTATTTTCCCACCTTTCTCCTGTACATATTCTGATTCTCTTGCCCACTCACCTGATTTCATGCAGCGTATATTTCCGAGAGCACTGATGAGACATACGATCTTAGACGGCACACAAATCTGATAGATCCTACACCTGAAGCGATCTTCGCTGAGGTTATTTTTTCTCTTCCTTCATACACGTTGTGTCCGCCGTTTCTTTTCATTTCGTCGTTGTCATTATAAATTCACGTAAGCTTTGAAGGCGAAGCATGAAGCTCGATGTTGTCGTTCAGAAGCAAAAAGGAGACGGATGCGACAGGCCTCACCGATGTAGTACGCAGTGGCCGAATATGGACGAACATGTGATCGGCATACTGCTCGGGTGTGAATCTTGTGTATCGGAGACTTTATTTGGTCGCGCAAAGCAACAGCTTTTCAGGAACATGCAGATTGGGGCTCGTCGGGTAGCTTGTTCCAGTTGGCGTGTTCGACGGGCAGCAAAGGAGATCTGTCGTTGGCCTTTGCAGAGGGCGAGGCTATGATTGGGCCGGACGAGGAGAGGATCGGTGACATGGAACGATAGGTACGCCAGGCAAAGGACACGCGAACGCGTCCCCGCTCGTAGGATGATGCTGGTGAGCACGCGGACGAAGCGTTCGCAGAGCCGGTTTGAACGTTGATTGGCGAAATTGGCATGGTCAGAACGATGGGCTGGAGAAAGACGGGGTTCGATCCGTTGAAAGATTGGGAGGGTGCATGTGGATCAGTTGAGTGAAGTGTGTAGGATATAAGCAGCGGGTGTTCCTGCGTGTGCGTGTCCTCGACAGCGGTCGACGCCCCCCTGGTGCTCGGCCCAGCGAACGATGACGACGACAGCGGAGACGAAGCCAAAACGCGGCAACAACAACGTCCCTTGCGGCTCACGCTGGATGAATTTCGGTGGGGGCCCGCTACGGCCAGGCGATGGGAAGGGCATGGGCATGGCGCAAGACGCAGCGTGTGTCCCGTACGTGGCATCGTGGGTTGTCGCCGGCGCGGGGCCTCTCTGGCGCTGCCAACGGGCCGCTGAGCCAGGCCGCGAAAAGCAGGCAGCCCGCCTAATCACAAGGCCGCCGCTCCCAGCGCGTGGGCAGTCAAGGCGTAACGGCGTCTGACGTCGCCAACACCACCTTTGCTGCAGCCCGTCTGTTCGTCCACCACTCACACTCCTTCCCATCGTGACCTGCACGGTATAATATTGCCATTGGCGTCCGCCCGCTGCACTGCTGCACTGCTGCAGTAGCCTCCTTTGCCACTTCCTTGGTCGCGCGGCCTGCTCTGCGTTGCCTACTCTGCAGTGCTGCCCTGCAGCCGGACTTGGGGAGAAGAGACGAGAGAGACACTGGCCGACATTGAGGAGGCGGCAGGGAGAGCAGAAGAAGGCCTTGCGTACGCACACAGAAGGGACAGAGTGGCAGAGTGAAAGCTGCATAAAAACACGCGCTGCGTCCTGCTCGTTGGTCGCCATCCTCATGTCCTGCGCCATACATCATCTGCGCTCGTCTCCTCTGCACCCCTTCAATTTCCTGGTCGGCTCTCTATTTTTCGAGGCATTGCATCCTTCGTCTTCATCATCATCATCATCTTCTTCTTCGCTTTGTCTTGTCTCTTCTTGTGCTGCTGCCGCTTCTCCTTCTGCTGCTGCTGCCACTGCTTCTGCGCTCTCCAGCGTTGCAAGGTGACGCTGTGTCAAGCCTACTCGGCCCGGCCAACCAACAGAGAGCTTCCGTTGCGACAATTGGCATTGCGACGCCCTGGGCCATCGCTCGCACACACAAATCTGCTGAGACGCTCGTTCATGATGAGCTCCAGCTCTGGCTGACGAGTTAAATCTGCTCGCTCGCGTCGCGAGGGTAAGACACGGTCCAGCTTTTCTCGCGGTGTTCGCGCTCCTCGTGAAAAATCACGATGGCTGGGACGACCACCAACCTCACCACCCAACCCCCCCTCTCAGGTTTTCCCTCGCTGTCAACGCTGCCATGATCGACCCTGCTTGTACTCTTTGAGCATTGTGCTAAAATTCCCCCTGCTAGGAATTTGTCTCTCTCGTACAGAGGTGCACTCAATTACTTTACACTAAAAATTTCCTTCATCAACGCGCCAGCTCCACGCGGCTCCAAGTCGCTACGCTTCCCATCCAAGAAATAAACTGGTTTGCCCACGCCCCGGCGACCTTTCGCTGACGGTCTGCCAGTGGTCACGGCAGTACTGCTCATACCCTCATATTCCTCTGTAGCTGTTTGAGCCGCGATCTTCGCGTTGACTTCGCCCGCCGGGGCCGAGCAGCTCTTCGCAGCCGGCACGTTGCCGTCAGCACAGGCTCCGCCAGACATTAACGAGACTCACGACGAATACGACCCTCCACGATTTACGACACCGACGCAGCAACGCCAGCGGCCTACTGGCCCGGTTCTCCATCGTCTCCCATCCAATCTCTTCTCCCGACCCTCCAGCTCGTCTGGGACTAGCCATTCACTGCGCAGGACCCCGGGCATCGAGGACTTACACCGTCCACGAGTACGGTCAAGCTCGGTCGGTGCGGACCACGCCAGACCACAGGTCCGATTCGCCGAGCCTACTGATCCCTCGCAAGCTGGTAGCGGTCGTCCCATCCCTGATCCTCATCACGCTCTACGCATCTCGCGAAGGACCCTCTCTGCCATCCTGGTGGCGGTCGAGGCGCTCCGCACACCTCACCCCTTCACGCCAGATCTCGAGGAGGAGCTAGCTCCTATGTCAGACATCATGAGCAGTGGAGGAAGAGCGGCGAATGGCGGCGGTGCACGCGCTCAAGGTCCAGTACCTGTCCAGCCCTCCTCGACATCCGTCTCACGTCCTGCAGTTATAACGCCCATCGATATCTTGAGACGGCGCGAGGAGCGGACCAAAGCTCAGCAAGAACGTGCTCAGGCATCAAACGAAGAGTCGCGCAGACGGCTGAAGGAAGAATGGGAACGGTACGACAGCCAATCCGCTGGCGTTGCTGCACCTCCTCCGGTACAACCATCATCCGCCTCACAAGCTGCTTCATCCGCAACACATAGGCGAACGCGAAGCGATGCCGTGCCTCTTTCCACGCGAGCACCGCAGACTCAGCCTGGTGCTTCCGCTTCTGCAAATCCTCAATCGACCAGTCAATCAGCTCAACCTACGAGTTATCCATCCCCATCTGCAGCTGCACAGGCGTCCTCGAATGTACCCGCATCAGCTCAGCCGACAGCACCTTCTAGTGGCACGGCGACACGACCACGGGCAAGCAGCGCCCGACAGCCACGACCTACCCAAGCTTCGGCAGGTCCAAGTGGAACTTCGCGTCCTCAACCGGCTGCCCAATCGCAGCGACCTACAGAAGCCGCCTCGCAGACGGCTCAGGCACCACTACAGGAGAGTGAAGCAATTCGTGCCGAGCGCGCTAGACTTGCGCGAGAAGCTGGAGTAGCGCCGGGAACGTCAAGTGAAGCGCAGGGTCGCAGAAGCGACGGCACCATTTCAAGCTTCCCACACGCGTTTGAGCGGTGGGAGATGCTGTCATCCAAGTGGGAAGGGATGACATCGCATTGGATATCGCGCTTGCAGATGAACAGCGAGGAGTTGCAGAAACAACCAATGCTTGCTCAGCTCTCGAGGCAGGTCACTGATCTTTCCGCAGCTGGCGCCAATTTATTCACCGCACTGGTCGAATTGCAGCGACTTCGAGCGTCATCGGAGAGAAAATTTCAGCGTTGGTTTCATGACACTAGAAATGAGATGGAGCGTCAGCAAGAGCTCGTTGGTCGGATGGAAAGAGCGTTGATACAGGAGCGCCGCGACCGGGCCGAGGATCAGGTGAAATGGGAAAAGCTGTTCGAAAATGCGCGGCGAACTGAGATGAACTCCGCGAGAATGAACGCGGAAAAGGACCGCGAGCTGCAGATAGCCAAGGACGAGTCACGAAGAGCGTGGGAGGAGCTTGGCCGCTACGAGGCACTGGAGAGAGAGCGACAAAAGGCGCTTGCCCAAGGCATGCCCGTGGAGATAGGCGGCTACACTGTGTATCCAAGACCGTTCTTGGACAGCAGGCAGGGTAGCGTTTCACACCGTCCCGGCGCACACGACGATCCAAGACCAACGTCTCGACGAGGACCTCAGGCATCGCAGACGGTGCAGGACGACCCATTTGTAGCAGACGTTGGTGCAGGTGACGCAATGGGTCAGTCTAGTGCGCGGACATGGAGTCCAACAAGAAGTACAGCTGGTAGTCATGCGCAAGATTACACTCAAACATACAGCACGGCTGCTTACACGACCGCGGACGGTGGATACACGTCTTTCTCATCGCCCCCTGGAGGCTCGCCGCCAGCAGGCTTTTACAGTCAGGCCAATACCCATCTTGGCAATGACCCCAGCGACGACGACCAACTCTACGAACGAGATGAAAGGGGCAACATCTTGCGGGACGAGTTTGGCCGGCCGATCTCATACCACCGCGGCCTTCACGAAACACGCTCCTCGGACTCGGAGAACGACAACGCACAGTATTCATCCTTCGGCCATGACCTCGCCGACCGACGGCGTGTGCCAGGCACGAACGGACACGTCGCGTCAGCCGCTCAAGCTGCTGCAGGAGCCGGAGCGCCCTCTATGCAGACGCGCCCCGAAGCGGACTACCGCTTCTTCAACGAAGACGATGTGACCGATGATCCAGGCTCGCGGTTTGCCGAGGCCAGTCACGCGCATGAAGACAGCGCTCATTACCATCCCACTCGGCTGAGTGACGTCCCAGAAGAGGACGAACTCAGCCGCGCGAGTGAAGCGGGTGCCAGCCGAGGTGGCGTCCCCGGCACCTTTTAGACATCCAACTCCAAGTGTGCGTGTGATTGTGTGATCTGCACGCCAAAAAAGATACAATAAAAGAATCGGAAAGCGCTATGCATATTTCCAAGGGCGGGCGTGGGAGTTTAGACGCCCCAGGTGGGGTGCATTTGATTCGGAATGGTGCAGTTTGGTCGTACCCCCATATCTGTATTCGGTCTTGGTGGTTTTTTTTTCCTTTTAAACTCTTCTCAATCTAATTTCTAGTGCTTTTCGTCATCAAATTTTACTTATCGCCTCCGTCGTCGTCTTCTTCCTGCTATACCACTGTACAATACGTCATCCCATTGGCCCCCCCCCACGAACACGCCGTCATTCTTATTCTTTTGCTTCTTTTCAGATGCATCAGCAGGGGAAAGAGCGGAATAGCATTTGCGTGCAAGCGAGCGTTGCATGGGCTAAGAGTAAAATATCTTTTATTTTGTTTTTTTTCCTTCATATTTTTTCTATCTCTTTCTGTCCTGCAGTTTTCTGAGCTTGTGGGTGCTCGTCTATGTCCTCTGGCGCTGGGAACATTGCGGCCGTTTGTGTGGAATCGTGTCTGTCGTTCCGGCAGTGGAAGCACACCGCGCATAGCTACGGATAAGAGCGTGCGGTGAAGGATGGAGACCTGTAGTGTAGGACCATCTCCGCAATATGAAAGAGCCTGTGGCTTCACGCGATTTGAGAGAAACGTCATTTTTTTTTAACGATTCGAGCTACATATTCGTGGCTTTTCACCTTGACTGTTTTCCCACGCCACGGCACTGACCATTTTCATCCTTCACCCTCGCTTCGATTCACGCCTTCTGGTTCGAGAGGGCTGAGGTGTTGAGCTTGAAGCAGGCGGCCAGATGCTTTGCGTAGCGCAACCTGTTCGCGGCCAAGATGTCCGTTGGGACGATGCTCACACTTCTTTCTGACGCATTTACGGATAGAGAAGAAGTCGACGATGATGTGGAAGACGAGCGCGACGGCTGGTACTGCTCTTCTCTGAGCCTCCTGGGCACATTTGAGCCTTTTTCTATCGCCATGTAGACGTCACCCGCCCGCGGAAGGATTAGAGCGGAAGAATGTATATCCTGTCAGAGACTCGGTGGCTAAGTATAGCGGATTCCCATCCCCTCCGGTGTAAAGGCAAGGTGATGGGTTGGCGAGGGCAGTAGATGAGAGGAATAGGTGTCAGAATGACAATTCCACAGCCTAGTACGGACAGAAAGTTATCCACATGTTCTGGCCTTGTTTTAGGTGAATGGAATGGCGGCTCAGAGGGAGAAGTCAAAGAGAAAACGACGAAGGAAATACCTTACAGAACGAGGGTTGAGAATTACGAAACGATTGACAACGACTGACGGATAGCACGTAAGGTTTATGTTTCCGGTCTACTCCCAGATTTTTTGTGACGTCCTGTTGCGTGCTTATGGCGCCATGTTTTGGTCGCGCGGACCTATCCTGCTAGGTCCCTGGACCGAACCTTCTCTGCTTCTGAGCTTACTCGGCGCAAATCGATTCAACGCTCATCCGGATTGAGTCTGCGTATTGTGCCGTGAAGATTCAGCGTCGGTGAAAAAGCAACAGAAACGGCACCAAGTGCTGAGACTTGGGGAGAATGCTTGCCATAACATATACCAGCAAACCATCAGATTTGTTACAAGCGCGAGCGTGGAGTATTCTCAAGTCCAGATCAGTGCCGCACGAGTAGAATCCTGACGCGGCGGTTGCGCTGACTGCGTGAGATTTGCAGACTCGCTCGTGTGGTGGGATGACATTGCGCCGTTTCTGTGGGGAGAGAAAGCCGGTCGATTAAGGAGGGGTGAAACGTCCTCGACCGCGGTATGCGTGATCAAGTCTCCCACATAGAGCCTGTGCGCTGAGCATCTCCTCGTCCAGGATGGCTGTCTCGTGCGGATGGATTTAATGTCTGGGTTGTTGCGTGGAACATATGCAAAGAAAGCGCTCAGACGCGCGCTTCTTCTCGGCAGGCCACGCTCCTGGCCATCCTGCCTTGGCTAGAGATTCGAACGGCGCCTGTGGTACGTTCGATCATGCCGCAATGTTTGGCGCGATATATAAGCGATGCTACCATCACGACTACGAGGTCCTTTGTGCGAGCTTCTGTTTCATTGGCTGGACGCACTCTGTGCTCCCGAGAGGACATTTGACACTGCCCTAGAAGGCATGAGGGGATGGTGCATCCTCTACAGAACGGGCAATTTCGACTAACAGAGAATAAGTAGCTACAAGAAAGAATATCGAACTGATCTCGCATCGCACAAATTCCTATGCACGATCAAACGCCTTGATGCAAACCACGTGACATGGCTCAGCCCTACCAGCCTTGCCCCACCACCGCCACAAAAGTGAGTCAAGGTGTGACTGAACTTCTGAAGCTCAGAATTTCGGGGTACACAGCGCACAAAAATACAACATTTGCAATTGTTGCCTTTCCCACTTTGGCCGTGACATAGCGCGCATATATACCCAGAGGCCTATTGCAGGCACAAGGCAACATGGCGGGCATCAACTTTCCTGCCGAGGAAGAGCGCATTCTGAAGTACTGGGAAGAGATTGACGCCTTTCAAAGACAAGTAGAACTCACAAGGGGTCTTCCCCGATATACATTCTACGACGGGCCCCCGTTCGCCACCGGTCTCCCCCACTATGGGCATTTACTCGCCTCTACTATCAAAGATGTTGTACCAAGGTACTGGGCCATGAAGGGCCGCTATGTCGAGCGACGCTTCGGCTGGGATACGCACGGCGTACCCATTGAGTTCGAAATTGACAAAAAGCTGGGCATGTCAGGAAGAGATGCAGTCGCAAAGCTCGGTATCGAGAAGTATAACGCTGAGTGCAGGGCTATTGTCATGCAGTATGCATCGGAATGGAGGACCACCATTGGTAGACTCGGGCGTTGGATCGACTTTGACAACGACTACAAGACGATGAACTTTTCGTACATGGAGTCAGAATGGTGGATCTTCAAGAGGCTTTGGGACAAGGGCGCTGTATACCGAGGCCTGAAGATCATGCCTTACTCAACCGCCCTGAACACGGTCCTCAGTAACTTTGAGGCCAGCCAGAATTACAAAGATGTCCAAGACCCTGCCATCGTGGTAAATTTCCCCTTGTTGGACGACCCGAATACATGCCTTCTTGCTTGGACAACCACGCCGTGGACGCTGCCCAGTCATCTCGCACTCGCTGCGCATCCGGACTTTGAATATGTTAAGATTCTCGATGAGCAGTCTGGCAAGCACTACATTTTGTTGGAGGCCTTACTGAAAACCATCTACAAGGACCCGAAGAAGGCGAAATTCAAGATTGTTGAGAAGATCAAAGGGAAGGATATGGCGGGCTGGAAGTACACCCCGCCCTTCGACTACTTCTACGAGGAGTTCAAAGACGTGGCTTTCAAGGTTGTGAACGCCACATATGTCACGACTTCAGATGGTGTTGGTATCGTTCACCAGGCCCCGGCGTTTGGCGAGGACGATTACAAGGTTGCCTTAGAGACAGGAATTATCAACGACAAGAGACTTCCACCTATCCCTATTGACGAATCTGGAATTTTTCTCGACTCCGTCCGAGATTTCAAGGGTATGCACGTCAAGGCTGCAGACAAGGCCATCATCAAGAATCTGAAGGAGAGAGGACGAATCGTCGTGGACAGCCAGATCATGCACAGTTACCCATTCTGTTGGCGATCCGACACCCCACTGATCTACCGAGCAGTTTCGTCATGGTTTGTTCGCATTCCCGAAATTATCCCTCAAATGCTAGAGAACATCAACAACTCGCACTGGGTGCCGGATCATGTCAAGTCGAAGCGATTCACGGAGTGGATCAAGAACGCACGAGACTGGGCTGTATCCAGAAACAGATATTGGGGTACGCCTATACCGCTTTGGGTGAACAGCGACTTCTCCGAAATCGTTTGCGTAGGAAGTGCCAAGGAGCTCAAGGAACTTAGCGGATACCAGGGAGAAATCACAGACTTGCATAAGGATAAGATCGACAATATCACTATTCCAAGCAAGAAGGGCGGTGAGCCGTTGAGACGTGTCGACGAAATTTTCGACTGCTGGTACGAATCTGGAAGCATGCCTTATGCGGGTATTCATTACCCGTTCGAGAATGAGGATGTTTTCAAGGAGGCATTCCCTGCCGATTTCATTGCGGAAGGGCTGGATCAAACCAGAGGTTGGTTTTACACCCTGACAGTGTTGGGTACGCATCTCTTTGGCAAGCTGCCATTCCAAAACTGCGTTGTGAATGGTATAGTGCTCGCCGAGGACGGGAAGAAAATGTCGAAACGGTTGAAGAATTACCCCGACCCGAATCTTGTCATGAAGAACTACGGCTCTGACGCACTTCGCTTGTATCTCATCAACTCTCCCGTTGTGCGAGCAGAGTCTTTACGGTTCAAAGAGTCGGGCGTGAAGGAAATCGTATCAAAAGTTCTACTGCCACTCTGGAATAGCTACAAGTTCTTTGAGCAGCAAACAGCTCTTTTGAAGAAAGTTGAGGATCTCGATTTTGTCTACGATCCTGCCCTCGAGAAGACAAACACCAATGTCATGGATCGGTGGATCCTAGCAAGTATTCAGAGTTTGCTGAAGTTCGTCAATGCGGAGATGGCTGCGTACCGGCTATACACCGTCGTTCCCGAATTGTTGAGTCTAATCGACAGCACCACGAACTGGTACATCAAGCTCAACCGATCTCGCCTAAAGGGTGCGTTTGGTGTTGATGACACTAAACATGCCCTGAACACGCTCTTCGAAATTCTCTTCACGCTATGCCGTGCCCTTGCTCCTTTCACACCCTTCATCGCTGACACCATATACCAACGACTTCTGCCGCACATTCCCGACTCGAGGAGAGGCAAGGATCCACGAAGTGTGCATTTCCTATCCTTCCCCGAGGTACGGGAGGAACTGTTTGACACAGTCATTGAGAGACAAGTCAAGCGAATGCAGGCGGTCATTGATCTTGGTCGCGTGTGTCGTGAGAGAAGAACCATTGGTCTAAAGACGCCTCTTAAGACACTCACGATCATCCATCCGGATCAGGAGTTCCTCGACGATGTCAAGAGCCTCGAACAATACATCAGTGATGAATTGAATGTAAGAGACATTGAATTCAGTAGCGACGAGGACAAGTACAACGTGCAGTACTCTGTGTCAGCCAACTGGGCGGAGTTGGGCAAGAAGCTGAAGAAGGATATGGGGAAGGTGAAGAAAGCCCTACCCAGTTTGAGCTCGGAAGATTGCAAGAGCTATTTCAACACCGGGACAATCACAGTCGATGGCATCAAGCTGGACAAGGGAGATTTGGTTGTTAAGCGTGCACCAAAAGAAAGCGAAGCTTCGAAGACGCAAGAATTCAACACGGACAACAGTGTCATCATCATTCTTGATGTGCAAATGTATCCCGAGCTGGAGAAGGAAGGCATCGCTCGAGAAATCATCAACCGTATCCAGCGTTTGAGAAAGAAAGCCAACTTGGTTCCGACAGACGACGTAGGAATGGAGTATAAGGTCCTGACCGACCCTGATAACATTGGATTAGAGGAGGTGTTTGAGACGCAGAGTGCAGCGATTGAGAAGGCGCTAAGACGACCTGTTGATAAGCATGTCGTTACTGAGGTGGAGGGAAAGATTGTGGATGGGAAGAAGGAAGACATTATTCTAGAGGAGGAGCAGGAAATCCAAAAAGCGACGTTTCTGCTTAGACTTGTTAAGTTGTAGAAGCACGCATGGGCATAGACAAAGGCCTCTCCTTACGTAAAAACGCACGGCACAAAGATGAGCGATGAAGACAACAATGATGGACGGGTGAAGTTGAGGACAAAAAAATTAAGTAGATTAGTGATTGAAGCATGACTAGATTGCGCTCAATGCACAGTTTATGGCGACTTATTAGCCTTTACTGTACGCAGCCTGCATATTTGTTTATCAGCGTTGTCTTCGATGGCCAAGTCATGCTACGTGCGCCGCACCGTATAGCATTGCTGTAACTTCAAGAATTCCTTTGCACATTTATCTTTTCGGACATTGTTGTAGTCTGCCACAATGCAGTTCCCATATTCGATGCTCTGGCTCGATGTGAGAAAGACTTGAAAAAAAAAATGCGGATACGGAGTGCAAAACATACTTCCTTTGAGCACTTGCCAACAGCCGCTGCAAACCTTTCGATCGGCCTCGTCCTCCCAGCCATTTTGAAGCAGCTTTGGATGCTATCGATGCGATTACATCTGAGGGTTTCAATTGCACGTTCGTAGATTGTGCAAGAAAGACGTGATGATTGGTGTTGGTTCGCCCTCGCTTCAACCTTCCCTTCGTTTCCGCATGCATCGAACACGTCGCCCGCGTTTGCACCCACTTTACTCCACGCGCCAAACATCACTCTTGGGAATTAGCAGGACAACAGCTCCGCTTGTTTGTCGCCAACACCGTTGGTGCCCGTTTTCTAGACATTGTTCTTTCCTGTCAGGATATATACTATACGGATACTCGTGCGCATAATTGGATCACACAGGACCGTTGACACGCATGCCGCGCGCAACTACCGCCTGTATGCATCGTTACCCACGCGCTGAGCGTTGCGCGCAACACTTCGAATGTCAAATCACGACCTGGGAGATAATTTCCAGAATCTAAGCGATGCCGGTATGAAGGGCGCAGTCACGCACTCGAGAATTGCATGACACTGACCACAATATGGCCTATCAGATATCGAAGCTCTCCACGAGATCGTGCAGCTCGCGAGCTCGAAACCGGGACCGGCGTTTGGGCCAGGCCTTTTTGCGGCGTACGACGAAGTCATTGCCGAAAAAAATGCGACTGCGGCGGAAAGCAGCAGATATTTCACATTCATATGTCGCATGCTCAGGGGACGGAAGCCGAACGAGTCTGTTTTCGAGCGGTTCGTTAGTCTCCTTGCAGAGCACGGAATCACGGTCACGCCTTACGACGACGCTGCCACCGATGATGGAGACCAGGAACACGCACAGGAGGCGGGGCAGCCTGGTTTGGGCGGGCTGGTCGGTGCAGAGCGACACAATGCTGTGCTTAGCTCGGCGGAGACTCTTGCCGAAGATGAGGAAGTTGCGCAGTCAAGAAGAAAGTCGAGTCTTGGCGCCTCTACTGGCATATCCGGAGTGCCTAAGAGGAGCAATGTACGAAAGCCAAGGAGGTCGCAGTCCGAGGATACTCATATGCGGGGAATTCCTACCTTGGACAGAGGCCGGATGAATGGACGAGTCTTTTCTTCACAGTTGCCTAACAGGCCGCGAAGAGCGGCGTCTGTCTCTAGCACCCGAAGTTTGAGAATAACGCGATCACGGGGGTCCACTATCGGAAACGCAGATGCATACTGGGCCGATGAATCTGATCCTTCTGATGCCACTCGATCGCGAAGGCACTCTGTTATTGAATCTCAGCCTCCTCTGCCCTTTACAAGTTCCGTGGATGCGCGGTCATTTCTACCTCCTGAGTTGTTACAGAAATCTGAGGAGCAGATGAATGCAATCGCAGAGACTTTTCAAGAAATGAAAGGCAGGATATTGCAGAGACGCATCCTCACGAAATGGAACCACAAAGCTATTCAAGCAAGCGCAAATCATGATCAGATGTTCGCTAGAGCACAGAATCAAGATCGCAAAAAGCTCCTCCGAGACTCTTGGTTTATCTGGCGACAAAAGCTTGATGCGAACCGGCTCCACAGAGCATGGCAGGAAAACGAGAGCTTCTACACTTCAATGGAGGAAATGGCCACAAGGGAGCGCGAAGTAAATCTCAAATGGGTTGCATTCTCTCACTGGAAGACAATGGCTAAAGAGGAGAAGCAGAGGACGTCCATTGCAAGACGCCACATATTGCGCAGGCGATACTTCAATGCATGGAGCAATGTTACCTCTGTCAACGACTTGAAAGTAAGACGCTGCGTGCTCAAAAAATTCTTTGCCGTTTGGCAGCGAAGGCTGCATGCTATTCAAGCAGAAAGTGACCGGGCGACAATAACTCACAATAAAAATCTTGTGCAGAGGACCTACCAAACCTGGTTCTTCAATTTTGCAGAGCGGGCAGCACCTGATCTGCATGATCGCAGGCTGGAAAGAAGATATTTTGTCCTCTGGCGAGGAGCAGTTCGTCAGCTGCTCGAAAATGAGCATAACGCGGAGGAGATAGTGCGCGGCAACATGTGCAGGATGAATCTTCTATCTTGGAGAGCTAAGACCCAGGACCTTCTAGAAATGAACAAGCTCGCCGAAGATTTCAGGAGACATAGGTTGCTATCGAAGAGCCTGGAAAGCTGGAAAAGGGAGGCTGTGCTCGCTCCGAGAGCAGCTCAACTATCTGCTCGTGTCAATGCTAAAATCGAGGCCAATGCCTTTGCCATTTGGCGGAGATATTGTCAGATATCACGACAAGCTGCCCATGTCCTGGAGCAACGTCTCCTTCGAAATGCTTTCTCGGCCTGGAATGACAAGCTTCGAATCGGGTTTCTTCAGGGCCAAATAGAAATCAGGCTCAAGGTTGAAACCCTGTACAAGTGGAAGATTGCGTCACGCGGCGTAGAAGCTGAGAGAACACACGAGAGGAAGCTTGTGCGAAATATGCTAAATGTCTGGCTGTCTAGAGCGCAGACTAGGCATCGAAGCATTGAGGGGGCAGAGCAATCTTTCGAGCTATCGCAAAGACAACGAGCGTTGCGTGTCGCGTATGGAAAGCTTGTATATGCCTCGCAACACTGGCAACAACAACAGGCAGAAGCAGAACACTTCCGACAAGTGCGGCTTGTATATGCCATGCTCGCTAAGTGGCAGCAGAAGAATGCGGAGGTGGATCTGCTTCGTCGCAAGGCTGCTGCTGCAGAGTTCTACATACTCACTACGAAGGCTTTGAAGAAATGGTCTCACACTGCGGAAGAGCATCGCAAGCATCGCAAGCGGGAAGCTTACGCCTATATTCGTCGAATGTGCAAGATGAATCTTGCCAGAGAAATGTTGCGACGAATGCAAATTCAGCTTGCGCATGTGCGAAATTTGGATCGTTTTTCCGCCGAATTCCGAGAAGATCATGTTGTCAAAACAGCTATTTCTACCTTCAGGGTTTGGAAAGATCGTGCGGCGAAATTTTTACAGGAGGACCAACAGGCTAAGCAGTTATATAACCAAAAGATCCTGCTAGATGCCTTCAAAAAGATGGTTCAACGCAAAGATCAGCTGCAGGAGATGCAGACACAAGCAAGACAATTGTCCGCTGGTTCCGCAGCAGTTGAAGCAATGAACTGCCTGCGTAAACTTGATAGACGTTTGTTCCAAATTAAGGGCCAAGAACAGTGGGCAATCGCATTGCGGGATAAACACTGGGAGAAACACGTTAAGAATATGTTAAGATACTGGTATGAACAAACTTTGGTGGCGAGGCGAGAAGTCGATGAGCAAGAGGGCAATGAAGGAGTCGCTGAACGAATTATGCGGGCATCCGCCTCTACAGCGCCGTTCATAGGCGACTTAACGGTGTTCGACAATACGACCTGGAACCTCGAGCCCCTTGACCTTAACCTACACAATTTTCCTTCCCGAGCTCAAGAGGATGTCGATACGACATTCGTCGAAAGTGACGGGATCATAACCTCGACACCGCTACCAGGCTATCTTCGTACTCCCTCTAAGCGCAGTGCTGCACGCGCGAAAGCCCGTGAGCGCATTGCAGCACACTCACGGACAACCATGGGACGAACGATCCGATTTGCAGACCGAGTACCCGCAACAGCTCCACCTCGTCAACAGACGGCTTCAGCTCCACCCGATCTGACCTCTCCTTCAGGGCCGAGCATCACACCTTTTGAACGCAAGCTACGCCAGAAAGGGTATGCTTCACCTTCTCGATTTGGAAGACGTACAGTTGGTCTCCGCGGATCAAGCCGATTTGGCGCAAGTTTCTCCTCGAGCCAGACGCTGGGCACATACACACCTGCCACCAGTGGATTTCCTGGCTTCGAAGATATTCCGGAGGTTAGTGAGGAACGGAGCAGAGATCTGTGAAGTGCATGGCGATTGCACTGAGAATTGGATAGAGCGATGGTTATGTCGATAACGGTTTTGTGATTGTTAAGCATTTGATGATACCCTTTGGTTCGTAACAAAAAAAATGAGACTCTACCTTGCGTCTACCGGTTAACGCGCTATAAATCTTTTTTTTTCCTCACTTGTTGGCAGCCAGCGTTTTGTGTTCCTATGCAGAAACAATGCGCTCTTGTTTCACAAATATATAAATCTCAACAGATGGAAGTTCCAGTCGGGTCACCCTTGGAGTCCGACATCGGGAATTAGTCACGAAGAGAAAGAAGACAAGTTACGGGTTTATTATAGACGAAGACATGATGAACTACAAGAAGCTTCTAATCCACTAGCTTCTAATGTTTGGTATGGTGCAGAGATGCAGATCTTCGTGCAAGGGAGCGTTAGCCTTTCGATGATGGGATAGCTACGCATTGTGCATCTCTCATACGTCATATTGATGGATCACTTTAACGCTGGAGGAACCTGAATGGGCTGCAGAAGCAAGCTACATATATTCCTAGGCGATCCATAAAGTCTGAGCTATTCAGAAACGATTCCAGTCTGAGTTCCTTTCAAAGCAAACGAAGGATTTCAATCCCACCTGCCAATGTCCAAGTCATCACTTGACCCATCGGGTCCAGCACAACCAGGCCTAGAGGATGCATACGCCGCGCGTGACAATCCTGCCACAAAAGAACCAGCCGAGAGGGCGCAAGGCGAGGTAAATCGTGCATCTACGAGTCGAATCACAGATGCGCGCTGTGCAAATGACGTTTCAACCGCAGCAGGAAACAGCACGTCGACATCCTTAGGATACGGTGTACGCGGCGCACCGCCTGGAGAGGAGGCGAAGGGCTATTCGCAAGAGGAGCTAGGACGTGGCCAAGAGCTCGATGCAGACCAAATGGCGGCTCCCGGTGAAGGCGACGTGTACAATGCTGTCGAGGGAGGGAGAAGAGGCAAGACAGGGACTGGTGGTGTGCAGCCAGGCTTGGAAAGTGACCTAGATAGAAAGAAAGAGGAGCAACATGCACAGAGAGAGGCTATCAAGGAAAGTAGGTGGAACTGCTGATGGGACAAGCATGTCTGCGACGTGCCGGGTGACATGTGTTGCGCTTCGCACCACGTGAATGCAAACATGTATCAAACTATACAGCTACACATCTTTACTTTGTGCAAAGGACAGAGTAGTCTTAGGCAGCAGCCAACGACTTCTTCCGCCCCTGACGTCTATTATACACGACGGCTTTGTGAGTTCTCTCCTCGTAACCCGCATCAGGCGCTTTGTGCCCTTCATTCCAACACGCTTGGCAGTAGAGGTCCCCATCACAGCCCAGACATCGTACCGTGGCATCCTCGTTGCAAATAACGCACCAGGACTCGATGTCTTCGTCTGTGTACTGGGGAAGATTTGACTTTGGCTTCACAGTTGAAGCTGGTTTCTTCGCCGTCGGCTTGTTGGACGGAGTCGATGGAAGAGAAAGCGATTTGAACCGTGCCTCAAGCTCATCATCCTCGACACTAGCCAGAACAGGAGCCGTTGAAGGCGCAGAGGGAAGATCATCAAAAGGGGTGGCCTCTCGTGCTGAGCGTGCAGGCGTTTGCGTCTCTGATGGTTGCCCAATCTCGGGCTCCTTTGCCTGGCCGTCCTCTGAGTCTGTGTCACATTCCTCTTTATAAGTGCCTTGCGCTTTCTGCAGCTCTATGTCTGCCATTACCTGTGCGATATACTCGTCCGCATCCTTCTCGTCTTGCTCGTCTTGGTTGCGTGCTTGCTCATCGCCCTCATCTGCTACATAAGCACCATCCACAAGATGTGCAGGTTCGTACTCCTCGTGTGCTTTCTTATCATGTGCAGCATCTGGCCTGGGAAGCGCAGCTTTAGCCTCCTTTAGCAGATCCGTGATGCGATCCTCCTCAGACGTGTTTAACCACGATGCCTCCTGTTCACCTAGCTCCTTGAGCAAATCATCGAGCGACTGCTCATCCTCTACGTTATGCACGCGTTCACTAGGTAGACTCGCTAATACATCTTCAAGTTTGTTCTGGTCCGTGACATCTCTCACTTGCGGCAGTGGAGAACTGTCAACGCTTGACCTTGTGGCAATACGCCGGAAACGCGATGCTATGTCGTCATCCGCTGTGGTTGCTTTTATGGAGGGATGTGGCACTGAGGTTTGAGCGACCTTGGGAACTTCTGTTGGAGCTTTTAACGCGTTCAAGCGTGCTAGAAGGTCGTCGTCGGCCATGAGTTCGGAGAGGTTGAAGGTCTAAAGTGCACGGATGCTGAGCGAATGACCGACTGGAGACTTTCGCTTTTGGTCGTATGGAGTCAGGGCTCAGACAGCAGCGATTCTTGGTCTAATTCAATAGATAGTGGAGGTGAAAGAAGCTTCAAAATCTTGACTAAATTACTGGAAACTCTTGTCAGGTCTCGCTAAATGCGACCTTTCTTGGGTCAAGTCCAAGGACTATATACAACCAGATGCGCAGCTTCTGGGCAATTACTCCTAATCAATAGTTTTCATATTTCTGGTCTTCATCTCTTGGTTCAAATTTTCTTGGATATGACACTTTTGATACCATACCAAAATCATGTGGCAGGTCGCTGCTGCATGCGTCCCTGTCGCGAGATGCGCTCATGCTGGATGGATCTGATCCTGACCGCGTGCCCCTGGGTGAGATGGTCGAGTGAATGGGGAAGCGAATACATGACGTGTTCATTATTGTCGCCGAAATGCAATAGGGATTTCCTTTTCAGCCCACGTCTTCCATCTCAACAGATCGCACCACTTCTTCATTACGCTGTCGGGCCGCAGCCAGCTTCCTCGACCGCTGCCGAACCCGTTCTTGCCATTGTTCGATTGATTCTGGCATGCCTATGGCTCCGTCAATTTTGATTGTCCGCGAATCTCCCTCCTTGCCTAGAACGGTGCCAGCAAACCGTGACGCCTCGCCGGTCTTGCTGTGTTTCTTCTTCAATAGCGTAAGGTAGTCCTCTGGCTTCTTTTGAGCCTCTCCTACATCTTGCTGCTCGTCAGGGAGAAGGCCGGCAACCCTCGCAATATCTCTATACCCCTTGCTGCGGAACCACTTTGCAAATGCAGCAACGTCCTCGGTGTCGTCATCGTTTCTCTTTGCAACCTCCCGCCGCTTCAGGTCATTCCGGTCTGGTATATCTTTGATAGGTCTTCGTAGTAACTCCGTCCACACCTCTTCTGTCGAAGTCGTGGTCGGTTGAAGAATGCCGCAGTCGACCATGGCCATGCGCACGTCGGTGATGTCAGGCTCTGCGTCGATGTGGCTCGTATGTGCGTGCATCAGCGCCCTTGTGGCAAGGAGGACCAAGTATTTTGCAGCAATGTCAGTGAGGGTGTCGACAACTGACGGTTTTGCGCCAGAGAAGCCTTGTGCACGAAGGATCTGAATAATGGCGGGCCGTAGGAGGGCGTGATGTAGTAGCTTCTCAGACATGTTGAAATGCCGAAGGGGCGCGATTTAGTTCCAGATCCTCGAGTTGGTCTGGTTCTTATTTAGCCAGCCTTCTTCGCGAATTCATTGTGTGTTGCGGTATGGCGTGGAAACGAGCAGAGGAGCGTTGCGGAGAGGACAGCCACACCAAAGTTGCGTCGGAGCTTCCAGCTTTCCTGATCTAGACATGTGGCTGCTCTGAATGCAACAACTTGCACGAACACTACAAGAACACAGCACCACATTCATGAGATTATGGCGGACACACAACCCAGAGAAGGTGATCTAAGCTGGAGGCTGAGCAGCCACCCTATCACTCTTCTCACGTTCCTTGGATTCCGTATATGTCAGCGTCTCTCCGCCCGCGCACTCAAGGCTTCAGCTAACAGGTTCCTACAGCTAGTTTACTCGTCTATATACTCGGTCTATGGTTCACTAAGAACTTCATCCTCGTTTTCGTTCTTACGGTCGTGCTCCTCTCATTTGATTTCTACTACCTGAAGAACATCGCCGGGCGACGCCTGGTTGGCCTTCGCTGGTGGAACGAGGTCAATCCACAAACAGGAGATTCACACTGGGTCTTTGAGTCGGCAGATCCAGAGACAAGAGTGCAGAATGCGACAGACAGACGCTTCTTCTGGCTCGCACTGTATGCGCAGCCCGCCTTGTGGGTCTTAATGGGCGTCGTGGCTATAATCAAAATTATCAGCCTTCAGGAGTTGACGCCTCTTTGGATAACGCTCGTCGGTACGTTGCCAAAGTTTTTAACAACCTATAAACACGCAAGGCTGACCTCAATAAAGCCATCGCACTTGTCTTGACCGGCACCAACACGCTCGCCTTTTCACGATGCGATCGCTTCAGTCAAGCAAGTGGTTTGGCGTCGAGCGCTTTCTATGGTAGTGGATTAGCGCGGAATGTCGCCTCTGGCATGGTCAGTCGTTTCTTCAGTCGTTAATCACGACGAGCAAAATTATAGAGAGGAAATGAAAGGAGGCGCAGCGTTCGATGGGCCGATCGTCGCCCTGACATGATTTTGGGCGATATGCGGCCGTGTAAGATATCCAAACCGAATGTTAAACAAAGCATTTTCGGGGTCAATGGGACCGTGTTGCAGACCGGTGATGTGCAGATCCGCGCGATTACTGACAGAAGTTGGGCATCAAGGCACCGGATAACTTCCTCAGCCACGCCTTCGAAAAAGTCAAGCAGCGGACTTTCTTACCTCGCCCCATAGTCAAGAGCGGAGTAAAATCATGCTAGAGGAATCTAATATTCCGAAAGTCTTCTTGCTTATCGACGAACTGAGTCAGAATTAGACCGGATTGCTTTCGCTTATTGCGAAGGTTGAGCAATCATCACCGTAAACACTCCGCCCCTTTCACCCTTTTAGCAAATGTGCACATGTAACCAACGCCTCATTTCTTTTTCACGCAAAGGAGAGACTGGCAACCTTTTTGCGGTTCGCACGCGCGGCAACCTATGGCGAGTGCTAGCGGGTAAGTGCACGCGAACCAGTTGCCTGAATTAGACTTCACTCCTGTACAAGAATTGCTCAAAATCTGCGTTCAAGACCCCTGAAACGTTGTTCATAATGAGACTAAAATCATTTTGATAGCATAAAAGCAGTACCATTCGAGGATTTCTTTGCAAAGAGCCGGCTGAAAATAAATTTCCATTCGAGGGCTAAGTAGGAGCACGTACAATCTGTGATTACCTTCCTACGGATCCTTCACTGCCACACCAATCACTTGGACAGATGGTGGTTTTCACTACATCTGGTTTCCACGCTTTCCATCCAGATTTTCGGGCTTCTTTTGTCCTCACCGGTGTACGAACCGTAGGTCTGAGGCCGAAACACTGGATACGCCAAAGTCATCGCTCCTTGTACGCCGGTACCTTTTTTGCCTTGATCATCGTGAATTCAAAAGGCCAGTTTAACTAGAGAAAGGGCGAGGAAGGCGGCTCCTTAGCCACGAGCGTATAGACTAGGGCTGTGCTCAATTCGTACCCTTTCAAGTCGTAGTCATGTCAAGAGAATTCCGGTCTGGTAGCTTTATTGCGAACCATGCGTGCTTGGGCGGCTAGTCCTGTATATAAAACTACGTTGCATCACCTGTTGTCCGTCTTCACATTAACCCTCAAGTAGCTGCCGGGACATCTTCAACAGACGTTTCTCATCCAGCTTTTGGAGTTCTGTCTCACAGGTATTTTTGAGCTCTGTGGCCCCGTCTCCTTCAGCACTGCTCTTTCTATCCTGATTCTCTAGCCCCCAAAAGTATTTATGCCCTCTCTGCGAGAACGAGCCGGCAGCTTTATTCGGAACATGGTTCTCAATTTTCGACATCACCATCGAATCTCCTTCACAGAACGCAATGACAGCACTCAGCTCGCTCGCAGATCTCGCTCCTTCCTCGAGCGCATGGGCATCAGGGGTAACAGATCTGAGGAGCCGCTCGACACCGCAGTCATCGGACCCGAGCCCTCTCCAGCAGTTACGACAGAGGCGTTCGATCGTGGACCTAGAAGAAACGACCTATGGATCTGCTGTCAACGTGGAGAAACGAATAGAGCTGACGTGGAGCAATGCCCGACCTGCGGGCACATGAGATGCGACTCGTGCCGAGAACCCAATCAACAAACGGAACATGTTGTGGCATTATGAACACTCAGAAATCGATATCCAGAGCTCACTTTGATATGCCATTCGGGTTCGATCGCTTACGGCTGATCTGTTTCCTCCTTGAAATAAATGCGAAAATGATGCTGTGGGGTGTGTAATGCCTCTAGGATTGATTCTCCTTTGTCGTTTTCATGCTCGGCTGGATTTTTCTTTTCTTTTCCATTTGTTAGTCTGATACTCCTTAAACCCCATGATCGTGGCCCTGCGACAAGGTTTTGGGCAGGTTCACACCATGTCCATGGAACAAGCAGTTCGCCTTCAAATTGGTGGTCATGTAGCCTCTTCTACTCTAAGATGTTGCGTTTTGATAGATAACAATACACGTTCGATTTTCATCCTTTGCATCCCGAAGTATATATTATGGTTTTCTCAGCTTGTAGAAGGAACCCAAGATACTATGTAGTTACGGAATGGTTCATTTCGTCCAGCCACGAGCGTGTCTTTCTTCTGTCCTTGGAAGAAAAGCTCACTGCTATCACCAGCCAGCGTATGTAGATAGATGACTAGAAAGGCGCATGAATTAGTCGCCAATTGCGCTTTAGGGAACTGGCTAACCCTTCAGGCATCGTGGTGGCATGTAGGAGGCCGTCATTCGCTACGGCGGATAGGAGTAGCTGGAGACGTAGATTGTAGCCATTGAATCACCATCATAGGTGCGCAAAGGTAGACTTATCAGCCCGTTCGACTCGAACGAGTCTGATATTCACTCTAATGATCATAGCTAGGACCTTGATTCGCGAAAGAAATGCTGAACTGGAAGATTGAAGTTCACTAGCAATATCGCCATGACCCATAGTCGAAATCTTTTCGAGAAGGAAATTGATTTAATGGAACAAAGGGCGTCTAAGTTCCGAGAAACGAATGCGGTCGAGTTTAACGACTCTCTTCTCCTGCGTAAGACCCGCGATTGCGGTCCAAAGAAATAGTCACGGAGCGATCCGGAAAGCGTAAACCAGGAGCTGGTCATTTTGGTCAGAGGATATTGATTGATTTTGCTTTTTGTCAGCCAATTATTTTCCAGCGATTTGCTCGTCTGTCTGCGCGTCGCCATTAATCATCCTAATGACGGTCATCGCTCTCTCAAATGTCCAGATTGTGACGGCACTGGTGGGTGCTGCTTTGACAAGTGCCACGGTGAGTCCTCTATACATGCCGCGAATACCCTCCCGTTGCAAGATAAGCTTCAGCGTGCCCATGACTCCACTGTACTCAGGAATGTTGGCGTGCACGTATCGTTGTCTACTCGGTCCCTGGACCTGTAGTCTCTTTCGGACCGTGTCCAGCGGATACACGGCAGTCTTGCTCAAGACCGAGGCGGCGATTCCGGCAAATCCGTCAGCCGAACCCATCCAGTCGAGTGGCACAGGCGAGTTGTGAATTAGCGGTTTGAGGCCCTCGTAGAAGGTGAAGAACAGTCCCATGTACGGAATGATTTGTGCATTTGCGGCCACGAGACCGCGAAAGAAGCCTTGCGTTCCTTCTCTGGCTCTTATTTCCCGCACGGCGTATCGCAGGCCCAAATACACCTTGTCTGTTCCTTGTGCTGCGAATCGTGTACGTAGTAGATCCAAAGGGTACGTGGCCGTTGTGGCTACGGTGCCCGCGAAAGCACCGGAGATGAAGCTACGAGCCGCAGGACTGACTTGGAATGGCAGGGCATCGCTCTCGAGGGCTAGGTTGGCGGTACGATATGTGAGGAACTGCAGAGCACCATACGAAAGGTACAGGCCTTCGGCTGGTATGTTGCCCTTCCACAGCGCGGTAAGACCCTCATCCTTCAGAATCTGTTTGAGCGTTCCAACAATGCCCTTGTATGTCGGCCTGCCAGCGGGAGGAAGTGACAAAGGATCGCTGAGGGAGTGGATCTGCAGCTGAAGGCGGATCTTGATCACGTCAAGCGGTGCGACACAGAAGCTTGATTGGAAGTCAGCCAGACATCAGGTAGCGCGTGGACGGCGCGGAGAGAAGAATAGAGATGCGCGCACCGTGAGACCAGCCCTGCTATTGCACCCGCTACTACGACCTGTGTTTGTGTGCCCTGCTCCACGCATCAGCATGGCATGTCAAGCATGTCATCGTGATTCGAAGGCGCGTGCGCATACTTCATCTCGCAGCTGCTGTACGGACCCAGCCATGCACTTGGCTGTGCCAACAGTCTCTTCCAAAGACTGATCATGCACGCACAAGGGACGATCAGGGCAATTGCACTCGGAGAAGCACGCCTGAAGGGGCCGAGTGACTGGGAGATGGGCGTCTTCCAAGTACGCTGGAAGCAGATCAAGCTGGGGTTTCTGGTGCTTGGAGACAGACAAGGGGAGGACACGGCCACGGTGCAAGAGCGAGCTCGGACGACCGGCCATGGCGTGTTTGCGTGCGCTGGGCAAGGCACGAAGACCATCAAGCGACCGTCCGGTTCCGAGCCCGCGCAGTGTGCAAATAGCCGGCTCCAGCCTGCAATCATGGCTTCCCTTCCCCAGTCACTCACTGAGCAAGGAAACCTATTCTTACCATGGCCACCAGGCGAGCCTTGTTCCAGCTGCGCCAGAGAGGCTGCTGCAGCACAAGAGCATGGAGTATGAAGGCGCGCGTGCCCGCGCGGGGCTTTGCCGTGTCCAGCAGCACACGGCAGCAAACTGTCCAGACCACCTCCGTCTCGGACGGGGTGGCGCCACACATTCTTGGATCGCAAGCACAGAAGCTGGCCTTCGAGGACGGCAGCAGGGCCTCCTCTCCGCCAGCCTTTAGCCGGCGTATCACGGTGGACATCGACGGCCGGCCCGAGACGTTCGACAGCATCTGGCTCCGAGACTCGTGCCGATGCCCCAGGTGCAGGAATCCGTCGTCGACGCAGAAGACGTTCCAGACGGCAGACATACCTGCCACGATCGAAGGCAGCGCCCAGGTGACCACGGAGCTGGAGGATGACGAGGTGCTTCTCGTCAGCTGGAAGGACGACATCGAAGGCTGGCCGGAGGGCCACCAGACGGCTCTGCCCCTCGACTTTCTTCGTCACGCTCTTCAGGAAGAGCGGCGCTTCAAGTCGCGTAGGCACAGCGAGACGCCGCGCACCCTGTGGGACTCCCGCACGATGCAGCAGGACGTGCAGTTCCTCGACTACGCGTCGTACATGCGCAACGACAAGACGCTGTACAAGGCGCTGCGGGCGCTTGACACGCACGGCCTGGTCTTCCTCAGGAACGTGCCGGACACGACCGCGACCGATTCGGCGGCGTCGGTCAAGTCGATCTGCGAGCGCATCGGTCACCTGCGCACCACCTTCTACGGCCAGACTTGGGACGTTCGCTCCGTGCCGGACGCCAAAAACGTCGCCTACACGCACGTCTTCCTCGGCCTGCACATGGACCTGTGCTACCTGGACCTGACGCCGCACTTGCAGTTCCTGCACTCGATGCGCGCCCGCGCGCCCGGCGGCGAGAGCATGTTCAGCGACTCGTTCCGCGCCGCTGAGCGCATCCGCCGCGAGGCCCCGCATCTGTTCGAGGCGCTGTGCACCTTCCCCGTCACCTTCAGCTACTACAACGACGGCCAGGCCTACCGCCAGGACCGCCCCACCGTCGAGCTGCTCGATCCGTCCGACCTGTCGTCGCCCATCAAGTTGCTCAACTACTCGCCGCCCTTCCAGGGCCCTTACGCGCGTGATATCGGCTCCGACGACGACGCCGCCAAGCTGCGCACCTTCCACGCCGCCATGCAGCGCTTCGACGCCCTCGTCAACGCCCCGGAAAATATGTTCGAGTACCGCCTCGAAGAGGGAGACTGCGTCATCTTCGACAACAGACGGGTCCTGCACGCGCGCAGGGCCTTCGACGCCGATAGGGGGGAGCGCTGGCTGAAAGGCGCGTACGCAGACCGGGACGTGTACTCGAGCAAGTTGCACGTTTTGGAACAAATCTACGGTAAGGCCTGACAAGCGCCGCCTCCGCTTGGCCGTAAAAGCATCAGAGGTGCGAAGCGAAGATGGAAACAAAGAAAGAGAATGGTGAAAGTCATGCCGTATCAAATGAAAGTCGTGGTCTATTCCCACATACATGGATGGTGTCATGTATCCTTTGTACGTAGTTTGTCTAGCTGCTTGGCTGCTACACATAGATTTATAGTACTACATGAGATCTGACCGCCTCCTCAACGTGCGGTCGCAGAAGAGTCTAAGGATCGCTTGCATGGACGAATGAAAAAGAAGAAAGAAAAAGAAAAAGAAAAAGAAAAAAAAAAAAAAGCAAACCGTCAAAATTCGCTAAATGCAATTCAGGGGGAATTTTGCGCTGCGCTACTACGTCCTTCTCATTTTATGATCTCACGACGACCAAGTAAAAGAGAAAAAACCAAAGACAAGGAAACCGTTGCAAGAACGCTCACGAACAATTAAGACACTCGTGACCGTCACTCAGTCTGATCATGCTCCGTCACTGTCCATCGCCTCTTCGGTACTGGACCAAGTGGCTTTCGGTCTCCCGCAGTCCACAGCCAGTTCCGCTGACTTAAGCTCCGGCTAGGCAGCGGCGGCACCTCGTCATAGTCCTCGTCCTTAGCAGCCTTTTCAGGGTTCATCGGGCTCGAGGGTCGCGAGATCCTGTCGGCATTATTCGATGTTTGCGGAGAGTGAGCAGGCATGCCAATCGACAGTACGGGCATTTCGTCAGCGGTACCGGATGAGACGGTCGATGTACGGCTCCACAGGCCCGTGGATGTAGAGGAAGTCACCGTAGAAGGACTTAGTGGGGCTTGGGTTAGTGGTGCGGATGGCGTGATACTGGGCCGTCGTATGCTGCCAAGAGCAGCGCTCACAGCTCGCTTCGGCTGGAGCTCCGGGCTTTTTGAAGGGTGAGATAGAGAAGCAAATGAGGGAATTTGAGGAACCAAGTGCGGTGACGCTAATGCAGAAAGCTCGGTAGCGCGTGCTCCTGCGCGTAGATGGTTTGTGGAACTGATGATCTCCATATCGTAGTCATCTGCTGTATCCATGTAGATGGAAGATCTTCTGCGACCTGAAGGTGATCCGTTACGATTGTTTAGGGATTGGGCCTTGTCTTGCGAGGCAGGATCGGGCTCCTTTCGTACAGCCATGGACAGCGATGTTAGACCAAAGTCGTGCAGGACCGGCTGATTCGTCAGCGCACCAACAAGAGCATTGCATCCAGCAGCATGCGTCACCAAGATGACAGTGAGCTCATAGTCGTCGTCCTGCCCTTCGTTGGTGTCGTGTTCCAGAGCCAATGGGTCCTCACGGTCCGGATGGAACTCTGGCGTGTGCTTCGTGTACCACTCGATCATTTTCGACAGACCTCTTCTGAATCTCTTGTGCATCGCGCTCCATTCTTCGCCCAACTCCCCGCCATCGCCCCAGTCCTGAGGGAAACGCATGCTGTCCCATAGCAGATCCAGGTCGACGCATGCATCGCGTGCATGGCCACAGTATCCTCGCGGAATCGGGTCGGACGGAGCCACAGCATATGCTGGAATCGGTGGGTCATATGCAGCCTTGGTCGGCTTGAGCTGGGAGAAGACAGGCTTCGCAGTGGCAGGCTTCTCTCCGAAGCTATTTGCACTGTTGGACCGTTGCTTGTGCAGGGTGCCCATGAGCGACAGCTTGTCAAGCGATATGTCCTCGTCCACCACAGCCGTGGCTGGCGCCTCTTTCGATATGTTCGCCTTTGACCAGCCACCGGGGAAGTAGCCCGGTCTTGACGTGCTTGTCTGGAAAACTTCAATCTGCTCTTTCCGGAGCAAGGCTGCTTTTGCGGCAGCCACCATCATGGTCGAGCTAGGTGGCGGCGTCATGCGCTCGAAGTAGTCCGGCGACAGCCATTCGCCCAGAAACGCATCGACGCGTAAGATGGTTTTGATGTTGACGTTGTCTGGTGTCGTCAATCCGACTGCTTTGACCGAATAATCTTCCTTTCCGTTCTCGTTGTGATCAGCTTCATCTTTGGTCTTTCCCTTCTGCTCTGGCAGCTCCAAGGACTGCGCCATGCCAGCGGCAATGGCAACAGACGTCTGCAGACATCTTAGGAACGGAGAGGTGTGGATGACCACCTTCTGTTTCTTAACAGGAGGCGACGGCTTTCCGTCCGTAACACCGCCTCTGGTGCCTCGGGCGCTTTCGAACTTGGCCTTTTGTTGGGCGGCTCGGGTGCTGAGGATGTTCGCGATGCGCGCGCCCAAAGCCTTCGCCTGGTTCCACCCTCCATACGTCAAGGGCGTATCGTACGGCGCAGGCGATGTCAGATGCCAGTTTGCATCAGCGGCATCGAGCCGGGCGCCGTGTCTAAGGTGGTTCAGTCAGCTCATGCAGGCTGGCTTGACGGGGAGTGGCACGAAGCTTACCGCACGACGAGAATCGCAGAGGGAGCGCGGGTCATGATGAGCGAGACCAGACAGCCTTGTGCAGGGGCAAGAGCTGATGTCAATTGCTCACTCAAGAGAACCCCATGACGACGGATCACAACGCGGCAGGGTCAACTCAATCCTGTGCCTTGCTGGTGCTCGCTCTGTCTGGGGAATTTTTTTTGAGGGGGTAGGCTGCCGCGGCGGAAATCTAGACGCGGTGGGGTCTGGTCATGCGGGCTGGCGGCGTCTTGACTCCGGCCTGGATTGGTAGGCAAGAGAAGACGACGGGCAGCAGAGCAGAGAAAAGCATTGGAGATCAGCTTGAATCGTGGGTGGGGGACGATGGCCACGTCCTGGTTATATTGATGGACATCTCGGCATCGTCTGTTGGGCAAGCCGCCGCGGTTCCATGCAGGATTACCTCAACTTGTGGGCGGACAAAAACACGCGCCCGGCGTCTAAACACTCGACGCTCCGGCCGGCCTGGGCGCGGGTCACGTGATCCGCGCTCAGTGCACACCACTCTTGGAGCTTGCAGGCAGTCTGGAGCTGGAGTTGGAACGCGGCGGAGTTGCGCGTCAAAGGGCGATAGACTGACGCAACCGCGTGCCGGAACACTCACGCTCGAGGTCAGCCGGACCGAGTCCAGAGCGGTGACGAACACACACGGCCTGCCGCTCTCTTTCGCCGCCGACGTTTGTCGTGCACGAGCCTGAAAAATTGTGGTGAGCAAATGCGGACTAGCGCAGACCCACCTGAACTGGCCAAAGCTCAATTTCCAACACCACAGCGAATTTCGTCCTTATTGACCGCCCCGTCAACGACAAAACCCCCATCGCACACAGCTCGCTCAGAAGCCAGACGTCGCTCATCCACCTCAATCACCACTCTTCGACTCGCCCTTCCGCTCTCTGACAGCTTTCCAGACAGCTCTTCATCATGGTAAGCCCCGTCCTGTCCGCTTTCCACAAGCCTTTTCCCCTCTCTCGCTCGTGGCGAAATTTCCGCACACGTACGCACACGACACCCTCACCACTGCAATTGCTTCTCGACCGCCCACGTCGTCCCTTCACATTGCAAAGCGCCTTTCCCCACCTCAATGAGACTCGCACAGCTGACTTCGTCACCTCTAGGTTCTCGCTGTTGACCTTCTCAACCCCTCGCCCGCTGCCGAGGCGCGGAAGCACAAGCTCAAGACTCTTGTGCCCGCCCCACGCTCCTTCTTCATGGACGTCAAGTGCCCGGGCTGCTTCACCATCACCACTGTTTTCTCGCATGCTCAGACCGTCGTCGTCTGCCAAGGCTGCTCGCAGGTCCTGTGCCAGCCCACCGGTGGCAAGGCCCGTCTCACAGAGGGCTGCTCCTTCCGGAGAAAGTAGACCAGCTATTCCCACCCTTCTCTTCAATCCTTCTCTTTTCATCATGATGGCATGGACGCGATGATGGGCAACCGTTCTTGGTTTTGTTTTTCTTGATCATTTTCGACGTGGAAACGATGGATCGACGACGGTATGCTTGGGGGGACGAGGGGAAGGGTACGCGGAGCGGCTGGCCAGAACGACAAAAGTCGGCCGTTTCAAGGCATAACCAACCGGCGTTTGAAAAATTATTCACTTTGGAGGGGGATGGGGTGTGCGTCAAGTGTATTGCAAAGAATTCTCTCTTCCATGCGGTCAACATGCGGATAGAAGATGGCATTCTCCACAAAAAGCTTTTGTTGTGCTTCCTCTCCATTTTTTCTCCTCGCATTTGGGAGATCTGGAGGGAGGCCGCCTTTTTGAAGGACGGGAGTTCCGGATATCCTGCACACCGATCACAAAGGTGGCTTTTCTATCTTATCGTCAATCACCAGCAAGTATTGTCGCTTTCCTGTAACAAGCTGTGTACTCAGTTGGGAATCGAAAATCACGTCAATATAAAAACTTAAAAAAATCCCATTCTCCAATGTCTTCTTTTCCGTATTGCTTTTCGAGTAATTGGTTTAGACTGATTTTCAGAGGTGGATAATGGGATTCGCCTAATGATGTGAGGTGCGAACTTTTTTTTTTTGATTGCATTACTATCTGAATGCAGTTCCAGAGCTGTTACCATAAGCCCAAGAATCCTACACCCACGCTTACATTTTTAATCCCTCTCCTCTTCAACCGTCACACGGACCCGTAATGTAGAATATCATACATACGAAAGTAGATCCCGCTTCCTTACCACATCGCCGCGATAAACATGCCTAGACTCCACCATTGCCCAGAGCACAAATCAAATCCGTTGATCGGAAAAAGAAGAAACTGCCAAAAGCGCAGGTTTGGGCAGGATACATAAGTGACAAAAAAAGAGGAAAAGAGTAACAAAAGAAGAGAGAAGGAGAAGCCCCGCAAATAAAAGATCTCTCCCAATACGTGGAGGGGTTTACAGTTTTAACAAAACTGATGAATTAGGTAGCCTTTTTATAATCTTTTCGTTTTTTTCCCTTCTCGCTGTTGTGGGAGAAACCCTCCCGTGTGGGTGCAAGATGTTGTAAAATAAGGAAAAAAAAACCCTTCTATTATACGTTAACTCATACCTAGTGGTTGTGTGCGCATGCGTGTTTGCCATGGGGCCTTTGATGCGTTCATTTCTGACCGGCCGTAGCCTCGTTCTTAGGTTCGCTGGCGGGCTTGGCCTTTCGTTCCTGCTCTGCGATGCTCTTCTCGTCCTTGGCAGAGCCAGCTTGCACGTGTGGAGGTTGCTTGCTGGCATCACCCTGGGCGGCGGCGGCGTTCTTGGTATCTGGGTTGCTGCCCTCCACATCTGGGTGAGGAGGTGCAGGGGCCGATTCGATGGGCCCTTCGTACTGCACGTTGCCAGCCGCGTCCACGATTCTAGTTCGAGTCTCGTAGCGAGTCTGTAGATCTCAGTCAGTCGTCGAAAGAAAGCATGAGTCGTTATGACCATTTCGTATTTCATACCTGGAAGCTGACTTTGCCCTTCAATGCCTCCACTTCCTCAGGTCCAAGCAGCCGCCCATTCTCATCCCTATATTCAACCTTCTCTTCTCTGTGGACAATCTTACCTCCTTGCGGAGCACCTTGCACGGGGACTGGATGTGGCTGCTCCTTCAGTGGCGTGACATGCGCGTCATTTTTGACATCCTCCACCTTCGGTGCTGCGGATGATGGGATGCTCCCGTCGACGGTCTTTGGGAGGCTGTCATACGCCGCGTATGAGTCAAGGAAGTTGTTACAGTCCCAGTCCCACGTGTCGAAGAGCTTAACCTTCTGACACTCAGCCTTGGTCCATTTGCTGCCGTAGGCAAGAGGCATGTACTGCGTGTAGACGAAAATAGCAATTGCCAGCGCGGCAACAGCCACGGTTTGCCGGACCACAGGTTGACGAAGTGGGCCAAGGTTGAAGCGGCCAAAGATGAAGTCATAAATTTGAGCCATGGCGATGATGCCGAAATACAGTGCCGGGAAGTAGTGATGCAGGAACAGCTGACGGGCCATGAGGTAGAAGGGGAAGTAGTGCAGGGCCCAGGCGAGGATTGTAGTTCCGACTTCATAGTCAAATCGCTTGAATGGAATGTACTTGTAGTCAGGGAAGCCCCGCTGCCAGCGGAGGATAGCTAGACCCTTGACCGCAACGTAGAAGAGAATAGCCGCAGAGACACTCCACCAAGTGAACATGTTACCGATGAGATAGATCTGGCGGTGGTCCTTACCCCAGAAGTTGATGCCTCGACGGAGGATTGGCCATGAAGGTGGGCGGGAATCCCAGGCGTGCGACTCGACCAAACCAGCGTTTGTCCTCCACATGACCTTCTGCAGCTCCCAGAACTTAGCGAAGAAGTTGGGCTTCTTGTAGTTCACTACTTCGGCGTCTGGGCCAATCTTCGGGTGTTGATTGCCCTCAATATACCAGACGCTGTTAGGCAGAGTGCCGCCCTTGGCGCAGGTAACTTCCTGTTGCTCAAAGCCCCAATCCGGAAGCTTGACCTTATGCGAGAAGAGCACGCAACCAGTCATAATGTGAACAAGCTTGAATTTACTTTCAATCGTGCGGAGATATTCCTTGCCTTTCCCCACGGACATACTGGGAACGATCTCGACGCGGAAAAAGTCGTTCGCATCGCCTTCAAAACCTTCATAACCGTACGCCGTTACTTCTTGCTGCCAATCAGCTTCAGTGATGGGCGGTCTCTGGTCGTGAGAATGAAGGCGACGGTGGGTCATAAGATGATATAAACGAATCACATCGCCGTTCTTAATCTTCGTCACGTTCAAATTGTCCCACGCGAAAGGTCCCTCAACCTTAGGCTCGACCTCAGGCAGAGTCTGGTTCTCCACCAGCCAGATATTGTTCTCGTCCTTGTGTGGATACAGAGTCACCTGCTGCTGCTTGCTCCCGGTCGGATACATGTGGTTGTGAGAATGCAGATAACCTCCTTGAGTATTATGGTGTCTTAGCTGAATGCGACTTCCAAAGGCCACATCAGCTGGCACGTTCTGCATGCTTTTCCCGTTGAGAGTAGCCTGGAATTCCGACGACATGAAGCCATCGCCTTCTCCAGGGTTGACCAAGCACAAGAAATGGATACCGAACATGGCCATGTAGAAAGCAACAGGAATCACGATCAGGCAGAAAGCACGCGCAAAGAAGTGTTTGAACCACCGGCGAGGCGTCACCGTAGTCGTATCACCAAGCAGGACCCATAATTGTACGAGTGTGAGAGAACCGACCCAGGCAATCGTAAACAGTCCGACCCATTTGACGCTTGCCGTCGCTCCTAGCGACAGACCTGTAAATGCCAACCAGAACCACCAACGCGGCTGGAAAGCCTTCTCAGGCCCTTGTTCGTGCTGGTTCGTAAAGCAGGTGAAAGCGAGGTCGGTGAGAGCTGTGAAAAAGACGAGTGGTGAATCAAGCAGGATGAGACGCGACTGTGTGATCAATCCATTCTCTATAGCGATGGGTCAGTGGTAGTCCTATCAGAGCAGGGCATGTACTGTACCGAAAATGAGAAGACCAGCACCGAGAGCTGCAGTTGTCGTTCTGCAGCCTCGCGCCTTCAGCGCCAAGAATATAATTGGAATTGTCAGGACACCTAAGACACCGGGTAGCATACGAATTGCCGCATACGGTACGCCAGGCTCGAGATAGTCCTTGCCAATGTCCTTGAAGTCAAACTCGCCGTCAAAACCAGCAAGCCAAGCAGCCAGTGTGATGAGAAGCTTCGCCAAAGGGGGGTGTACGTCCATAAAGAACTTGCCTTTGATGTACTTCGACGCGAAACCACCGAAGCTGCCACAGGATTAGCAGAGTCGCAGATGATGATTTCTGACCGTATGCCTGCACTCACTGAACCTCGTCGAAGACAACACTGCTTGGCTCAGTGATCTTCCACAATCTCACGACCGCACCCACAAGGGTGATCAAGCCCAGTAATTGCCAGTCTGAGCTAGGTAGATTGAATATATCGTAGTCGCCCACACCCTCGGACTTGTAGCTCTGGGGCGGCGCAGGCTTCGCCTTGGATGCGCCATTGGGCTTGCGAGCCGGAGATCTGCTCGCATTGCGTTTCTTCTTTGGCTCCTCAAGGCCAGCGGACACGCTGCCTTTTGTTGACATGTTCGCGAAACAGGGCGATTCTGGCTCGGAGCGGCTGGCTCGGGGTTTCTCGCTCGGCTGATAGTTTGCACAGAAAGAAAAAATGAGGCTCAAAGCAAGCGCATGTGGTAAGCTGCGCTCGAGGCCGGATGGGAAAGCAGCGAGAAAGGGCCGAAAGCGAACGAAACGAAAGAAGTGAAGATGAGGAAACGAAAAGCAAAAGAAGTCGAACTGGAAACTTTTTGGGTGGTTATCCTTCAGCCGAGACGCAGGAGAATGGTCGCCTTTCTGGATACTGTCGTCGAAGGACGCCTCATCCAAGGGGTCTACTATGCTAAATTCAGCTACAAGCCACGTATATCCGTCCAGGCCTTGCGAACCACTTCCCGCACCGCACCCCTCCACCCCTCAGGTGTCAGTCGAGCCAGTGGAATTATAGTGACGGCCCGAAAATAATTGTTTCGCGGGAAACGTCGTTTCACACAGCATGTTTCCCTGAGTGCCCGGTGACCCTGATCCACCCTCAATATGTCACACTCAAGGGGTGATGGAGCGGAAGTGTGGCATGCATGCGAGCAGCGCTCACACTCCCCGTCCGAGAGAGATTAATGGATTTAAACCGACAATGAAATAAATATATCGCCCTGTGCTGGCTGCAAACAATCCGGGATCTCGCCTTTGGACAATGGCAAGCTTTGGTGCAGTGTTCATGAACTGAGTCCAACCATGCTAATCACTTGCAGCACGAGATGTGATGTCTGCATACGATGTGATCGGGAAACTCAAAAGGACAAGATATGCCTAACGAGAAAGGCATGAACGCTGCAGTAAATCCATTATGTTTACGCATTATCACATCCTAAATTGAGCTAGTTGCGTCTGAACTACGGAATGGTGCATATAAAGCCCCTAGAGCGGTCAAACATGCCGCAGTTCACTTACATGTTGGTGACCAACATTGTGCCATTGGGGGAGATGATCTCTCCCTGCCAGCATCTGCTATATGGAGAAGAGCCTCGCCTTCATTCCGCTCTTGATATATGGGGTCAGGCGCTTCCATGCACACGAATACACATGTGCAGAAACTCGTATGTGTGATATCACCACGTATAATGGTCGTGGAATTTTTTTTCTGCCTACGCCAACATGAATCTGCCGTAGTCTCCCACAATGTCTGATATACGTTCCAAGTTACCGTATTTCACAGCTACATTAGACTCAGAATAGGCTCCCTACTCATGAACCCAACTCTACGGCAGATTACGTCGACAACAGCTTCATCGAATATGATTCTCAGCATTCTGGAGCTAACACTACCGGTGCTCATCACCTATCTACGGGAAAACTATAATCCGTTCTTAATCTTGTCGTTTACTAAAAATTGTAGAGTCAACCTCCATACATTCAGGCAGATTGACACAAGACTGATCAGATCGAGCTGACTTCAGCCGTATTGCCTAGCGCTGGCAGAATCACAACGTGTATAGAGATGAAGATAGATATGATGAGATCACTGAAGCTCCTGCAAAGCCAGTTGGAAAACAAAGAAATGTGTTCTTCAAGATATCTCCGTTCAGTTCCTTTTTTCCAGACACTTCGTGAAGGTCTAGTAAATGACGAGTGAGACTGTTATTTCTTAGTCTTACTGCCTGAGGCAGCTTGCAGCCGTCGTCGACCTACAACTTTTTGTACCATGACCTTAAGATCCTATGTCTGCTCGACACAGCTCGCATACAGAGCTGAACATAGTGTTGCAAAAGAAAATTTTATACTTTGCGGCAGCTACAACTTTTATCACAACTTTCTGTTAAATACCACCAAATTGTCATCGTCGCCGGCGCACAAAGTGTTACAAGATGGCGCAAGACGAGGTGTCCGAGTCCACCATGGAGACGATTAGCAAGGTGCCGGCTGGCGTCATTCTTCCTCCTAGGGAGCTTCGCGCTGCGATAGAAAAGGTTGCTGGCTTTGTCGCTCGTAACGGCGCCGCGTTCGAACAGCGCATGCGAAATGATACTGCGAACGCGACAAAGCTGGCCTTCATCTTTGAGGATGATCCATATTACTCATACTACCAATGGCGGAGAGAGGAGTGCAAGGCTGGCAGAGGAACTGATGTCGCGGCGGGACGGGTAGGAGAGGGTGTTCCAAGGTCAAAGCCCAAGGGACCTGAACCTCCACCAGAGTTCTTGTTCTCTGCACGTATGCCGACGATTAACGCCCAGGATTTGGAAATCGTGAAGCTGACTGCGCTGTATGTCGCAAAGAACGGGAGGAACTGGATGACGAGCTTATCGCAGCGTGAAGCGGGCAATTTCCAATTTGACTTCCTACGACCTCAGCACAGTCTGAATCAGTTCTTCAATCGGCTTGTGGATCAGTACCAGCTTCTACTCTCCTTCACAACCGAGGAAGGCAGTAAAGCCGAGAAGTCACGCATTGCAGAGCTTGAGAAAATCGTCAATGACAAATACAGCGTCTTAGAAAGGGCAAGGAAGCGCGCAGAGTGGGTCAAACACCAGGAGAACCAGCGGGTCAAGAAGCAGGAGCAGGAAGAGGCAGAGCGTAGAGAGTACGCGTCTATTGACTGGGACGATTTCCAGATCATTGGTGAAATTTTCTTCACGGAAGCAGACGAGACGTATGACCTACCTGCTCCAACCTCACTGAATGACCTGCAGAGCGCATCGCTAGAGCAGCGAGGCAAAGTCAGCAGACAGCTCATCGAGGAAGCAATGCCTACAGAAGACATGTCTCAGTGGAATCAACAGACCTACCCTGCTCCTGCGCCTCCGGTGCAGCCAATACAACCAGTTCCTCCAGTGTCGATGCCCTACGGGCCTACACCACCAGCACAACCAGCCTTCAGCCCTCCGCCCGCCGTGCCTCAAGTCCCTGTCACGGACGAAGCATCACGATCGGCAAGTCCAGCAGTATCTGCGCCCAAGCGCATCGTCCAGAATGCAGCGCCACGTGCAGCTGCTCGACGAGGCAGGGTGCAAATGGCAACCTGCCCCAATTGCAAGCAACAGATTCCCTACGACGAACTAGAACAGCATATGAAAAGTATGTCGACTGCTTTCTTCAAAATATCCTTTGTTCATCAGCTAACGAATTCCAGTCGAGCTTCTCGACCCAAGATGGCGCGAACAGAAGGCGAAAGAAGCTCAACGAGCTGCAACGACCAATATCTCCACCGTGGACGTGGCCAACAACCTCAAAAGATTGGCGTCACAGCGGACGGACGTCTTTGACCCAGTTACTGGACAGAATATTAGCGCAGAGGAAGAAGAACGACGGAAGCGCGCGGCTGTGCAGCAGACTGACTACAATACCCTAGCCACCCACGCTGGTCAGGGCATGAGCGTCGAGGAACAGATCAAACTCATTCACCAGAAAGCTGCTCAGGGACAGTGAGCGAAGAGCAGGCCAAGGATGACGAGTATCTTGCATCATTTTTCTCCAGAGAATCCAGCTCAACATTCATGGCACTGGAAGACATGTCTGGGCTGGAGAATAGGACTTGATACCCTGTAATATATATGTGTCAAAGCAAGAGTCACGGCGAGCAAGTGTCTACAGAAGTTGCGAATAAGAAGGATTGCATCTAAGCAAAAAGCAAAATTGGACTGTTTGCATTGGAGTATAATCTTCCATCTGCTAGAGTCGGCGCGTGCGCCCTACTTCGTGAAAAGCCACTTAAGATGAAGCTTGATTCCGAATCATAGTCTTTTTTGTCCCATGTCATGCCCTTTGCTTAGAAAAGAAACGCCATGTCCCATGCACACATCATGCCTTTCCACTATGGAATACACGCGATTATGCGACCAAGGTGTTGGCAGTGGCGCTCTCGTACTTCCAGGTTGGTGGCAGGACACCAACGGTCTTGTAGTAACGTGAAAGGCGGTGAATGCGGGACTCGATGAGGATGAGGCGGAACTTCGAGTCCTTGTCCTTTCGGTTGCGCTCAAGGTGCTTGCGAACGGCCACGGCCTGGTGAAAATTCGATCCGTTAGTACAATTGCATGAAATTGCCTGGATAGAGGGTATAGGCTCCGCTTTACCTTCTTGATAAGCATGTATAGGTCCTCTGGGATGGAGGGAGCGAGGCCTATTGCAAAATCTCATCGTCAGTCACTGCGAACCAAGCGATGGCATGACACGTGTGTAGTTTGAAACCATTCTTTGTTTTTCTCACTTAAACGGTCCCTCTCTTGCTGAACTTGTGCAATGTGTGCCCAGTGTGCACGTAGGTGATTTTCAGACGGGCTCGTGCATACCGTTGCCCTTGAGGATGCGCAGGATCTTGTTGCCGGTAACGACCTTGACCTGAGCGATACCGTGCGAGTCACGGAGGGTGACACCGATTTGTGATGGAGTAGCGCCCTTACGAGCAAGCTTGCAGATCTGCTCAACGACCTGCTCGGGTGTGGTCTTCAGCCATGCTGGAGGCGTGCGCGAGTACGGGATAGCGGACGAGCCTGTGAGCAAGAACTGTAAGCAATGCTTTTACGGATTGAACGGTCTCAAGTTGTGTTCACGTACTGATACCCTTGCCCTTGGAGTGAAGACGACCCATCTTTGCGATTAAATTTCAACAATCGCAAAAGTGATTCGTTTGTGCTTAGCTTTTTTGCAAAGTTGGTGGTGGCAGAATTTTGGTCGTACTTGGTGCGGGTGCCTCAAACCTCAGGCCGACAACCCTCTCGCGGCAGCCATCCTTTTTTTTTCCCTCTCGCCTCTTGACCCGCTTTGTACACGCAAATCCTCAACTACATATTTGGAATGGAGATGCCACTGTCAGCGGAATGATGATTTGTAGTTACCGCAAACGCTGGGATGCAAATGGATACCTGACTAAATTTCACTTCCGATCCGGCGAGATTCAGACTTTCATGTAAGTACTCGCGTTCGTCATCTTTTCTCACTTCTGCTCATATGATGACCAACAACCGCATTTTTTTTTCCTAATTCTGGTACCTCTTATGCCAGGGGACTCTGTCTCCAATGATCTAAATGGACTTCTGATTTTTAAACATCTCCAACATCCAGAACCTTCAAAATTCGATTGATTGTTGCTGACTATTGCCGCGCAGAAAGAACCGAAGAACTGAAGCGCACTAATCAACAATTGTTTAGATCCATAACAATACATTACATACTTCCAACCCCGATTTTTTGAGATCAATGCTTCTCTTTTCCGAATGCGCTAAGCACTCAGTTCATTTTTTCGCTGCTGTAAAGGACCTCTTCGTGTCACGAAATGGTATACTCCTGAATATATTATGCCTGATAATTAGTTCTCCCTACCGATGGCTAGTCCTCTTTTGACCTCCTTGATGGGCTAGCGACAGCCACGCCATACTCGTACACGAGCTCGGCACCAATATATCCTGCAAGAATGATGGCCGCCAAAGTGCCAGCACTCACAAACAGGCTCATCTCGCCCGGCACGTACCCAGCACGGGTACTCCTCGTCCACCAGTTATACACAGCTGTCGCAATGCACACATCCATCATGGCCGCATGCGCGAAGGCTGCCTTCATCTTCGGATGCATCTTTTGCGCAGTGGCCGCCTTGTTCTGTGATTTCTCAAACTTTGAAGCCAGATCTTGCTTTTTGATCATGGACATGAGCTGCTGGCCTCCTGAGAGTACGGCGGGCACGGCGAAGACAAGACCTAGCATGTTGAAATAGTGTGAGAACTTGGCGACGTCGCCAAGGTACGGCGTCACATCGTAGACGGAAGCTACGGCTTTTGCAGTGAAGGGATGTGTGGCGACTCCGTAGATGATGTCAAGGGCATAAGACATGCTGAGGAAAGCGATTGGATGATGAACGAATACAGGGTGAGCTGGGTGTCTGGTGATGCCCGCTGTTAACTTCAGACACAAAAGCGAGTGCATTTTCAGTGTTGACCTTACCCCATGTTTGTTTCCGTGTGTTAAACTTCAGCAGTTCGGTTGTGGTGTATTGCCCTGCGAGCAATTGAATGTTTAACAAGATGATTTTGGAGGCGACAGGCGTGAGAGGCTGATGTGTTTACTTTGTTCACGAGCTCTTCGAGCCATCTTCGCGGAGAGCCGACGGATCGCGAGCGATTGATTTCGTTTCCATGGATGTTGATTGGCTGGCAGCGGTTTAAGCTCTCGCTAAGACCAGTCGTAACTCATTTGCAACGATCAACGGCTGGGGTTGCGTAAACGACGGGAGACTTCTGGATGTTCCTGCATTTGGTACGACGACGTGACTGCGACTGTCCGTACGTTGGTTTCGCTGGGCCGAGAAGACCTGGATTCGACTTCAAACATAAATGTCGTCTGCGGTCTGTCTCAACTCGCGTCTACCAGCACAGCCGGCTCAATACAAGCCAAAGCCTGTGTCTTGACGTAGAATTCGCGAGACCGATACTTTGTCGTACAGCGAAGATGGGCGCATTTCGTTTCGTAGTCAGCGCCCTTGAAGCGCAAGGCCAGACAATGGTAGATCGACGCTCGATACGCTCAAACACTAGATACATAAAGGTGCTGTGCACCAGCCCTTCGAGTTAAGCTAGCAAAAAGGGAGCGGTCAAGACGGTCCCGTCGCTACCTGTATTCCTACAATTTGTCCGTGTCGCTCTTGTTAGACATGCGTGGAGCTTATTTACGATTTTCGAGCGAGAGAACTAGACACGGTCGCAAGGTCAATCTCAGTGCTGTCTCATGAGGTAGTCCATCCACCGTCGACAGTCCATATGCTGCCCGTTACAAACTTTGTCTTTTCGCTCAACAAAAACAAGATAACTTCTGCACACTCCTCCGGGTCGGCGAAGCGCTCCTGAATCGCGCCTTTGAGAGGGAACTCTTCCTTCGGCAGGTTGAACTTCTTCTCCATTTCCTTCACCAGCGGCGTGTCGATGGCTCCAGGCGCCACCGCATTCACTCGGATTCCGTTCTTGCCCTCCTCCCGTGCTGCTACTTTCGTGATGCCGACAACCGCGTGCTTGCTGGCCGTGTATTCCGCCGAGCCGGCTGAACCACCCAGGCCGGCCACGGAGGCACAGTTGACAATGGAGCTGTCCTGCTTCATGTGCGGCAGCTGGGCACGCATGGAATAGAACACGCCTGCTGCGTTGACGGACTGGACCAAGTTCCAGTCCGCGTCGGTCAAGTCGCGAAGCTCTTTGATGCGCGGACCCACCCCCGCAATGTTGGCCGCTCCGTCAAGCTTGCCGAACCTCTCGACCGTGGATCTGATCCATGAGTTGACCTGGTTGGACTTGGAAACGTCCACCTCGGTGACCATGTGGTCGTCAGGCCTCCCACCAAACGACTCCACCGTTTGCTGTAGCTGGCTTTTGTTGATGTCGCACAGCGAAAGTGTGGCCCCGCGCCTGGCGAGAAGACGTGCCGTAGCTCGTCCAATGCCCGTCGCGGCGCCAGTCACGGCGATGACTTTACCCCGAAAAGCTGCCATGCGGCGTCTTGCGCGCAGATCAAGTCTCGGAGGGTGGAAAAGTAAAGGATGGCCAGCAGAAACCTTGACTTAGTGAGCGTTACGTATAAGTACAGGGCGTCGTCCCAGGCATCCGGGAAACCCAGCACGAAATGAATGCATCCTGCTACTACGCTGTGGTGCCGTCCGTTCCCCTCGTCTATTGTTTTCCGGACGAGGCCTCTCATTCATCCAAGGCTGAGCCTAAATTGTCACCCAGGAAATGAAGACAACGAGACTGACAGCTTGCTCCGGATGAGGTTTTTTCTTCATTTATACGTTGGAAAGCCCCCGTAATCACAGAAACATGGGATGCGAAATTCCGCACGATATTTCAATGTGAAGAAAAAAGGTCTAAATCGAGTGTCTGATGAATCTCCTAGTGCACACAAGAATTAACAAGCTCCGGTATTTCTCAGGAAATTTTCTGTTTCCTAAGTTTCATCCATGTCTTTACCAAAACTGCGCAGACTTTTCTTCTACGGCTCGTACAATTAAAAGATACAGTGATTGAAAGGCCTGAGAGAACGCGACATTCTTACAAATACTCGTTTCCTCTATCTTGAGACGTCTTTTTTCCAGATCACAAACTGCCCCAAAGCTTGAACATAAATTAAGACGTCCCTGATAATTCAAAGCACTTGATCGATACAAGGACGATTTCTATGCAGGACACGTAGATTTGCACACGCAACGTGCTTGACGATATGACCACCCGTTCTTCGTTAAAACCTGCCGGATCAGATCGATACCGCTCCTTACTAACCCATCGGAAATCCTTTTTAGCCTCAGTCAAAAGGTAAAATGTGCGAGGAGATCTCTTTTCTCTCGATGTTGACACCATGAGCGTAATCACGAAGATGATCTTAGTTCCGTGATGGCTGCAATTCCGTACAATCTTGAGGTCCGCTGCAGTGTGACTCCTGAGACTGCTGCATCATCTATGCTTAAGTAGATCTCTGAAAATCACAGAAAATGAATGGGTGGTTTTAGGCTGCTGATGTGACAGTAACCTTATGAATGCCAAGTTGGCTCATCCAGAGGTCTTGAAAGATTACAAATCATGCTCCAAAGTCCGGTACCACACGCTTTTTGCATTTAGAGCGGCTGCGAGAGTCAAAAAGCTCATCAAGGCGAGTGAATTCTATTTTGGCTACGCACTCTGAGACATCAACGCTCAAGTTCTGCAGATGGTGATTTCAAGACATTGAAAGATCGAGCATATGACATGTTGATGGGTACCACTTGGATTTCGAACTCTTGTGGTATTTCGAACTCCCACAAGAATTCTACCCAGCAGCTATACTATATTACTGTAAAAAGGTTGGAGGCAGCGGGGGGCCCCATATATGAAGCCCATCCGGTCCCGCGGGCTCGCGGCCTGTCTTTGTCGTCTCATCGACTAGGTCGCCATCGGTATAATGCTCCATCATGAACCTGCTCGGATCCCACCAGTAGTCAAAGATCTGACTACCTAGGACATGTCTACCAATGCCCCATACAGATTCGTACCCTTTGTCCCTCAACCACTGATGGCCGAGACCCTGCACGTCGAAGTCGTGCACTTCGTAGCTAGAGTGGTGAACGTGGAACTCTGGCCCTTCAAAGAAAAAAAAGCAATGATGGTCCACTTGCTCGGTGCCACGGTCGAGGTGCATGAACGCTGTGATGTCCTTGCCCGTCTGAGGATCGAATATGAGATCTGAAGCCTTGAAGTTAAAGTACGTGGTGTAAAACTCGTACGTTTTCTGGAAATCAGTGACGCAGCACCCGAAGTGGCCAAGTTTGTGAACCGCGGCGGGGGCGTGTTTGAAACGCTGAACATGGTTTACCGGGCGAGGCTTAGTAGCGGCGTGGTTGTATTGAAGAACTGGAGGCTCTTCAGCAGCCTCAATTGGGGTCTGACCGTACACGAGGTGGAACGGAAAGCCGTCAACAGGATCCTTGAACGACACTCGCTTGCCTCCACCAGGAGCGTCTAGATCATGGATTGGAGTTGCGTCGGGTAGAGTCCGTGACGCCAACTCTAGATCTTCCAAAGACTCAACGGCAAATGCTGCACCACCAAACTGCTTCTTTGGCCCCTTTATCAGACAGTACACGAAAGGTTCGGTGCCGTAGCCTTTGTAGTAAATTTTGTCTTCATCCTTTCGTGTCGTAGTGAATCCTAGGCGAGATTAACGCTCGCTCAGCCGACTAGATTCGCAGGATGCATACCAAAGTCGTGTAGGAACTGATCAACCTTCTCCAAATCTTCATGAATATAGTATATGTGCGCAATGCGCTTAAGCATAATCTTGCGTTCAGGTGAAGCCATGGTACACGGGATTTTAGAGTAGTTGTACAGCCGCAAAGGAGCGTTCGTGGTAGCCTGGATGTGAAGATACCGTACGCATCTAACAGAACAAATTCAACGACGCCTCATATATAAGTTCAACAGGCTTATTTTGAAACTCAGTAGCTCTCATGCTGATTACGCCACTACGTCTACGACGCGGAATGTTTTCCTAAGAAATCTCAAGGCTTGTGCGGAACATCGGACACGTGTAGGATCGGCAGATGGGCAAGCTCAAGTCGAAGCGGGGTTTCGAATCTCGACTTGATCGGGATGGACAAGAACAGTGGCCGTTTCCATGGAGAGCAAACACTGCCTGTCGTTTGCTTGGGGAAAAACTATAATCTTGCAACCCTCAACGACATGCTTTGTCAAAGACCCTCAGTTCGCACTTTCAATGGAACAGCTTACAGTTTAGCTTCCAGCCTGGATGACCTTAGGGTTGGATAGCACGGCCAGATGCACTTTAATACTTGACCTCGAGACAAAAAAAGGACACCTTCTAGATATCAAACGTTAGGTGATTTCAAACATTCCCCTGTCTTCCGCGACTCTCCGGCCACGGATGACTATATGAGCGATGTTGATTGTTGTTGCCATTCCGAGGAGTCATGTTGCAGATAATGCCCTGGTGCCCCAGGCAACAACGTCCAATTCACCTCGTGAATTTGGCACACGCGACGCGTCCTCGCGCGCACTTCGTGAGTGCGGACCCACTCTCGCCCTGGAACGCCATCTAACCGCCGACAACTCACATTTCTATGCTTCAACTCTTCACGCCATTCAGCTTGCAATTCTTCCATGATTAGCTTTTTATCTTATTGATTATCACAATGGCTAGGACACAACGTTCGATACAAGCGTTTGCTCGCATATCCAAGCCCAGCGGTGATGCCACTGGTCTGCTGAAGCGTAAACAAACAGCCGACGAAGAGCCTTTCGAAAAGGCTGCAAAGAAAACAAAATTCGAGCCCGTAAATCCACTGGGCACGCCAAAAAAGGTTATCAAGCAAGTTCTCTCCAATCTCAAGCTCTCGACGTCCTCTCCGTCGGCGTTGAGAAGCTCAAAGAGGAAGCGAGCTGCGAGTCCTGAAATCGATTCCCTCCCAACACCTGTTTCCAACAACGATGTAGACGACGAGAGTGAGAACGAATTTCCAGAAGAGCTTGAGGACATCAAGAGCCTACAACGATCGTTTCTGAAAGCGCTTTCCCTACACTATGCTCACAACGGCTGTGCAAGCCCAGTGGACATACGGTTGCTCTCACCCGTCATCACCAAGACTTGGGGGAAACGAAAAGTTCTGCTAGAAGACATTCGAACCTGCCTGGGCATCTTGCATGGCGAAAGTGGCGTGCTCGGTACTACCTTTACACTCTCAAATTATGGCAATGGCAAGATCTGTCTAGAGATGGAGTCGCGTCAGCGTAAGCGTGGTGTTCTAGCCCAAGCGTTCGACGAAGCGGAACTCAACGTAGCCTTTGACAAGCAACTGGAGGGCGCATGGGAAATTTGGCCACAAAAGAACGAAGTCGAGAAATTTATACACACTCTCCCTCGCGCGCAAATACTAGAATGCTCATCATACACGAAATTGAAGCCCTCGCTCGCGAAAGGTCAGCAGAGACTCGAGCAGGTGCTGAAACCGCGGTCGGAAAACGTCATTCCAGCCTCGGAGCGACCACAGTACCGTCAATTTCAGGCATGTGAGAAGCAAGCGACAGTCCAAGTCGAAGTCGAAGACGAAGACGAAAAAGCTTTAGTAGAACGAAAAGATAAGGAGAACACAACTCCCCCACCACCAACAGCGAACTTTCGCGCTCTGTCTTTACTAGACCGCATACAAAAGAAACAGGAGCTGCAAGCAGCAAGCCTCGCTACTCGCCCCACCCAAGCAGAGTTGGATCGATCGGCGGCTCTGCAGCGATCAGAAGAAATGATTCAAATACTCGAGTTACTCGCAACGACAAAAGGACCGGGTCTCCGTGCCTCGTTCCCGCTTCCAGCCTTAATTAGAAGCATTCAAAGCTCGTTGAAAAGTCCAATGAGTCCGGAGGAGATCGAGCGGTGTATCTCGGTCATTGGGAGGGAGGTAGCTCCTGGTTATGTGGAGAAAAAGGAATTTGGCAGCATGAAGGGTGTGGTTGTCAACAGAATGTTCAAGCCATCCGCTGAGAAAATCCGCGCTCTGGCAGAGGCCTCGTAGGCTAGCCGTTTTGTTGAAGTCTGATCGAGCTGCATTCAGAAAATGAGCATGTATCAAAGCATATTTAGCTAAATTGATGGTTCAAGCATGGATGCATGGCACATTCTCACGGCGACTTTCGTTGTGTCCCACTTTGCTGTCAGGTAAAAATGCTGCACTGCGCCTCTTCGCCAGAAGTTCTCAGCCCTTCGGGCCTCGAAACAAAAAATATGTCCCTTGCGTGTACACTAAAACGTCCACAAAGACTTAAAAGAAACAGCGCCTTCTTACACTTTTTCCGCTATGCCTCAGCCATGTGGGACAAAAGCAGCGATCCATCAGTTGACGACTCGAATCCGAAGTCCCAGGAGGTGGTGACCACGAGCTGCAATCCAACTGCTTACGAGCCGTACGAGTGTCTCCCCCTCGACAAGCGAGGCCGTCATCGTCGGCTCTTTCAGTTCTGGCGATCGCCGAGCTCGGAACATCTCGAGATCGATCTCCAGCATTTTGACCTGCGCACGGCGCCGCCGTTTCGAGCGGTGTCGTACGTTTGGGGTCCTCCTCCGGCGACGAGGGCCGTCCTGGTTGGCGGAAAAAGCGCTCAGGATACAAGAAAACCTCGAGAAGCTTTTCCGGGTCTTTGGGGGCCGCCATGCAAGGACCAAGCGATTCGAGGGCCCGACTTGCTGTGGGCGGACCAAGTGCGTGTACACCAGGGATGTAACGAGGAGAGGAATCACCAGGTTCAGATGATGGGTCAGATCTTCACCAGGGCAGACGAAGTTCTTGTGTGGCTTGGGGCGGATAGAGCGGGAACAAGTGCATTCAGAGCGATCGAGAGAATAAGCGAGGAGTCTACGAAGATCAACGCCCTTATCCACACGAGGGAGGGTGTCGACGACCGCCAGGCTTTGAAAGACTTCGCACACAACCCCTACTGGGATCGGCTGTGGGTGGTGCAGGAGACTGTGCTTGCAAAGAATCTGGCTCTGTTCATACATCGTTCCAAACTGGACGGCTACAAATTTGAGCGCTTCTGCAGGAATGTCATGGACTTCCACCCTATCATACACAACTGCTCCTTATTTGATTTTATAGCCAAGGAGAGGACCAGAAAGTTCCTCAGAGACCAGTCGCTCAGAAATCCGCTCTTGGATGCATGTATCGCCACATGTTCAGTAAATGTGAGGATTCTAGAGATAAGATATATGGCTTGCAAGGTCTTTTGACTACATCCAGAAGATCGTCGACTACAATAGGCTAGCGGAGCAGGTGCTCCTCGATGCAGCTGTCAAGATTTGCAATAGCAACCAAGAAGTCCTTGAGTATTAGATAGCGTGGTACATAAGCCAAATCGCTCTCGGTATGGAACTCTTCGACAGCAAGGACGCAGATACCTTCTTGGTTGCCGCCAGCTTTCTTTTGAACCAAGGTGGCTATAAAAAGCATAAGACGATCTAGCTATTGGCTCTCTTACACAAAACGCTAAGTATAAAAGCAAGGAAAAGAAGGGTTTGCATCACCTTCGATCCCATGTCGATCCATATTCCAGGTTTGATGCCGGAGAAGCTGACGTGATTTGCTCACGAGGAAATGGCTGTTTTACAGAGCACGAATCTACATGCGAATGACGATACGGAAGTTGAACCTCTTGTTGCCGGAGTTCTGTAATTTTTAAGTTAGCCAAGAATTTTATTTTCTGTTTGCATAATCCGAACATTTGGATATTCCGGTTCATATATTGTTCGATTTCACAGCATTAGAATGTATATATCCTTCAGTGGATTGACAGATTAATTTTCGGGTTGCATAATCATTGTGCGTAAGTTGAAAAGAAAAATACTCCCTACTCACATGGAACAGAGTCCCAGCTGCTGGCATTGTTCTCGGACAATCATTTCGCCACGTGCATCTTGACGTATTCTACCCACACATTTAAATCGGCAGCGAGATCTAAAGCGCGGGACAGCTTTTCGTTCAGTTCATCATGGACCTTGCCCCGTTTCTGATCAGTAATGATGTTGTTCTCGCCAATTACGATCTCTGCGTTGGGCAAGACAGAGATTGACACCGAAACCGGTAAGCCAGCCTTGAGAGTGTCATTGCTAAAGAATTCATCAAGGTTATCAGCGGACATTGAAGGCGTGTCGCCGATATCAACACCACGTGCAAATGTCAAGACGACCCTTGGAGAAGGCGAGGACGAGAATGTCATGTCAATATTATTGATTCTATTGACATCTTTAATTGATTCCTTTCGAACTGGTCCTATTGGTGTTGAAGCTGTTGGGAAGGAAGTTTTGAGCATCGCATTAAAGTATGCAAATTGCCTAAGCATCTGTAGGTCTACGTTAGCTCATATCCATACTCAAGCTCCGGGATTGCTGACCGGAAGAAGCTGGATCAGCTGCTTGGGATGGTCAAAGGGGATTTCATGCAAAAGGATCGATTGATCAAGCGATCTAATTCGAAGGGTATTTGCATGGCGAATTGACCCTCCCGTGCTCTTAGAGAGTATGATCCTCTCTGCATAAATTTCCCTCAGTGGCATCTGCTCAATTGTACTAAGAGAGTCCGACGTATTCGCATGATGTAGCAACGATGTGATGTAAGAGGGCAAAGTTTGATACATAAAGTCCTGAGATATGCCATTTTGCGCAGCTATGTGCGCTGGAATCAGTAAAGGTGGACATAGCTTTGCAACAAACCGAACATCCGGAAGCTTTCCAGGAGTCTGTTCCATTTCGGGTTTTCCCGTTGACTCGGCAGGTACAGAGGGTGAGAGGTAGGTTGGTGGCGGCTCGAGCCAATCGATGACAGGTTCTGAAGTGCCAGGATCGCCATCTGGAGCCTTCTCGATTTGATCAGAAATCCAGGCGTCGCTGATGCGGGCTGGCTGCGTTATATGGTCTGCTTGAAGGGCTTCGCAAAGGATTGATAGCGTAAATGAACCATTGTCCACAGAATCATCAGTAGCACTGTTGCTTCTTTCGGCTGTGCTTGAGGTCAAATGTCGACGTGTGATCCAGTAATCGAGATCCAGCCCGATCTTGCGACCCTCATTCATCCTTGGTCGCCCACTTTTTTTGCATGTAACTTCGTTCATCGCCTTCTCATCTACTTCCTTAGCACCTGCGTACAGCTGTTTAGCAAGGCTAAGCTCGTGGTTATACAGCTTGAAGAGACTGTTGTATATTCCAGCAATGGCTTCAAAGCCGTTAAATCCATCGCCTGCAGCACCATGAGGTTTGTCTATTTTCGCCAGCTTCTCCAAGTTGGCCGCAAATTTGTTAAGCTTGTGCGTGATGGAGGATAGGCCGGGCGGGACAGTTAGACAATCGTGAAAGACTTTCGACGCTGACGCAGCAGTTTTTTGCAGAGCGGGTGATGGCTCTTGAAACTGCACATCGACATTCTTCAACTCGTGTTCTGGAGTGAAAGTCATTTCCACTAGTACCGTTCGTCCTGCGAAAGACAGTATAGTGTTGCCTGTGCGTGGCTGTTCAAGCATCTCCTCGAAACCTAGACGCTTTCCGAGAGCGCGCAAATTATCCAGCGAGACCCTTCCCGGCCGTGCCTTGAGCCTCTCCATGACATCGTTGAGCCTTCGCCACTTTTCTTCATCTGTTAAACCAGTTATAGGCATAAGGCCAAGAGCACTAAGACCACTCATTCCTGGCGCCATGGGCACGCCGCCTTCCACGTTACCCATCTGACTGAGGCTAAAGCTCATTGGCATTGGAGACTCAAAGTTCATCACGCCGGCTGCAGGAGAACTGCCCAACAGGTGCTTGGACGCACTTCCAGAGCTTCCAACAGTAGGGTGGTTTTGTGCTGTGGTCGACGATGCGCTTTGTGCTTGTGTTGATGCTGCAAAAGGCGACTTGCCAGATTGGCGTTGAGCGGCAGGTGAAGGGACACTTCGCGGCGCAGGTGACGTGAAGTTCGGCAGAAGAGGCTGTGACTGAGGCGTCGCTGCGTTGTGCGCGCCTTTCGTGGGATTGTTTGATGCGTTGGGTGTAGCCATGATGAGTACCGATAGAGCGTCTGCGTGAAGATTTGCAGCCTGGCAATTCGTATACACGTGCTGCCAAACGATTACCAACTCTTTCTTTTTCTTCTCATGGTCCAGAATTGTTTGCGCGATGCAAGTAGTGATGAATGTCAGGAGTGTTGTGGAAGCGCAAGAATTGAAGCTCCGTTCAATTTGAGCCGCCAAATCTCGGGAGGCTTGCAACGCCATTACTGAAGCAGGACATGAGTAAGCCACAGTCTCCACAGGACTGTCCGTAGATTTGCTTAATTATGATATTGTATGCCAGAGAACTCAAATGTCGAAGCTAACATTTTTCAGGGGTATCTTTCAATGTCCTTCAAATGGCTGAATGCTGCATAGCTGTTGGAAAGGATCCTCCGGGGTCACCTCATTCATCGGACAACTCTAAAACACGCTCCAGCTCATCCAGTTCAAGCTGGGTTCGGTTCTGCTGTCTTGTACTTCTTGTTCCAGTAGCCTTCTTGGTGGCTCTCCTGCTCCCACTGCCACCGACACTGATACAGCTACTCGCACTAGTGATCCCCTGACCAGAATTCCCATCTTCTATAGCCGTCTTGGGTCGCTTCCTCACGCCTAGACCATCCTGTATCTGCCTGATCTCCCTCTCGGCGTCCTGCAAACGTTTGAACACGGCATCGTCTTTTGGGTTCTCCATATCATGAAAACATGCGTGATGCCCACACCCGTCACATTGGAACGACGATGCCATCTGCCTCCGTTCAGGTCACCGTCGTACATGTTGAAAGCTGAAGATTGACTAACCTTTAATGGATGAGCCATGAATCTCTGGCATGGACAACCTGAGTGAAGTATAGTCTTCCCGTGGTGGCATGAACCTCGCGGCGGTATATAGCCCATTTGAGTCCATATCGACGGGATGTTTGTCGGCGACATACTTCGTGCCGTTATACAAGTGTTGATTCTTGGTTGAATTTGCATAAAATTTCAACGTCTATTATTTCGAATCGACACTGGCACTCGTGACGAACATAAGATGCGTTATCCCAGCAGTTTGCGCGCTCGAATGTCTTGTCAAGGAGCAGGAATCACGTGATCACAATTCCCATCTCGTTCCGCGAGGCTGAGAGTCTCGACCATCTCTGGCGTCCTCAAACGTTTACGTTAAGTCCTTTTGAAAGGACCATGTCCCGCACGAAACAACCAAGGTATATGTTGGTTTCAGAACTATTCCTTTTGCTCACCTAGTCGATTGGGTTTTGCAGCGGGGCGGAACAGTCTATGGCAGCTGTCGGTTAAAGGTAGAACTAAGCTGCACGGAGCGTAGATCTGGACAATCTCGAAGAGAGGACCTGCGCATAAGTTGTTGCTCCAAAGTCTTTGGACTACATCGCGTACTCGGAATGCCAGGTCGTCGTGTCGTTGACATCCATCTTAGTGTTCTAAGAGATGCTGATCACCTTCCAGACGATGACCCTTTCTGCCAGTAGGATTATCATACTAGCTTATGCGACGGAGTAATTCTGGCCACAACAAATCCCCTATTTCGCCTTCACATGCGGTCCATCACACGCGGAAGGATCTCCCGACTCTTATTGGGTTATCATGTGACGTTCTTTGGCGATGCCTCCTCAACTGCACTCACTACATCCGGTAGGATCGCTCCTTCTTAATTCGGACTGCTGCGCATTATTTAAGCTCCACCATCCTCATGGTGCCCCTCTTGCTCCATACAACCACTCCACTTGACGCCCTCGGCACGATGCTGTCTTACTTCCTCAAGTGGGCAATCATGGCCGTTGCCGTGAGCGCTGCCGTCCCTTCTCTCGACGTCCCCGCCTGTCCGTTCAAAAGCATGATCAACTATGATAAATCCGTTCCCGACCTCGAAGACTTCCCGCTCACCCAGGTCGAGCTGTGCTACAGTGCCCAGTACATTCATATTAATTTCACAGCTTACAACGAGACCAGCTTCTTCTACAACTCGTCCTACGGAACAAATGACCCTATCTACAATTATGAGGTTATGGAAGTCTTTGTTTACCATGGCAAAAACGACCCACAGACGTATTTGGAGTTTGAAGTAGCGCCCAATAATGTCACATTCAATTCTTTCATTTATAACCCTTCGAAGATCCGAGCCGCAGGTGCGCCTTTTGACCGCTTTTACATCTCGGAACCCGTGGTTGATGGCCTCACTGCATCTACGATGCTGGATAAGCTGGGACAGACGTGGAAGTCCTCCGTCAGGATTCCCCTGGCTCTCTTTAATGTGGATAGCGGTCAGGCGAAGGGCACACTGTGGCGAATGAACTTCTTCAGGACGGTGGTTAGCCCAAAGACTTTCCCAAATCAGTTGCTCGGCGCTTGGAGCGTACCCAACGCAGCCAACTTTCACATGACACCTTTCTTTGGCTACGTAAAGTTTGTTTAAACATGAAGACGAGAAACTGTTGTCGGCGTCGTTCAAATTATATTATAAAGGTCGACCTCTCATACAGTGTCCAGCACTGTACAGAAATGAGATTTATGGGTTTTCGGTCATAATGAGCTGTGTTCGGGAAGTCAAATAATGCTGTGACTGACCGTAGTCCGCTGGTGAGAGTATGAGCATACTGGTCGAGAATACGTAACAAATTAATCACTATGTGTCGCTATTCGTTTCATACATGGATTTCATTAGTGTTATTAAGATTATCGGAAGCACATGAGCTTTATCGTCATCTATGAGGGATATGTCTTGTTATGTTTCCTCTACCCTGCTCCTCATCGCTAGATTCCGTCTCAAGATTCAACCAAGACTGAGCACTCGTTAGCTTGCGAGGAGGTTCCGCTCTCCTCGTTTCATTCGTAGCACTCTCTATCTCCTTCTCACTTGTCTGTGGAGCACCCACGTTCTCTGCATATGCTTCGGGAATGTCATCCATACTATGCTCACTCCATTTGAAGACTTGTTGTGTTGCATTATGAGCTGGCCGTATAGAACTATCCGGGCTCGTCGTGTTCTTTTCGAAGCGAACGGATACTGCGGACCTATTGGAACGGATAGAAGGTCGTGTTCGACTAGGGGCTCGGCTCTCTGGGGGACTGCGATCGCGGATGCTCAATTGTTCATCTCTATCTTGCCGAGAGTAAAGGACGCGCTTGAGTAGGGCACTGAGTGCAGGCGTGCAGGCAAGACAAATACCGATGTCTCCTTCAGTCTTGCCTGCAATGAGGGCTGGGTAAGTATACCAGACTTTGTCCGTTGCCGGTTGTTGGGCTCGCACAAGGTAAACCAGTCGAAAGACGCTTGGTACCGCAAGTCTTTTATAAAGTTAACGACGTGCTCGACATTCTTGAACTAGATATACATACAGATAGCCCAGCACCAACGCAAGAATTAGCGGAACACGCGAAGTGCCCGAGACCCGACGTCTCACAAAGAACCAGGAGACTAAGGAGACGGTGAGCAGGTCAGTTATGACAGCCAGCAGTCCATCTGTCCAAGCAGTGCCGATGTGCTGACTGAGTGAGGCGCAATTAAATTGATGAGTGGAAGCCCAATGCGAATCGTATTGCATCCAAACCGCACTGACTGGAAAGCAGTCGCTAACATAGATGATCAGTAGAACAAGCGAGTAAACTAGGATAAAAGCCATTGAGGACCACACTGTCCACTTGAATTTTCGGGATACAGTGTCCCGGCCGACTCTTCGGAAGAAAAGAAGAATCGACGTCTTTGTAAAAGCAGTTTGGAACAAGTACAGAAGGTTCAGGACCCAATCATACTAGAATGTATTTGTTAGCAGTGGCGGAGAGCACTTGTGGAGTGGCATACCTCGAGAGCGCGGGGAATAAGAGCCGACGGAATGTCAGCAAGGCGGCGGCCAAAATGATAATCAACAATTCCGGTGATGGTCAAACCAGTCATGCACACGCTCAAGATCCAGGAAAATGCGATGAACAAATCGTCGAAGTCGAAGCGCGTCGTCTTATGACGGAGTCTCGCTGCGAAGCGAATGGCGAGGAAGCCCAAGGTAAGCGCAGTGAGCGCTGCGAAGTAGCCGATGACCCATTCGCGATTCTGAACATTGTTCAGAGATTCCATGGGCCTGCGTGGTTATAATCGGCGTTTTCTGGGCAGGTTCATGGCCAAGACTCGAAAAGAGGGAGCAAAAAGCACTTGAGCTGGCTAGTGTTTTTCTTGTTTGTGTGTTTTTTGGACGTGGGAGTAAAAGCTGTTCAACAGATTGGACGTAAGGGAGTATGTGGGAGAGATTGAGTAGTGAGTCTGTGTGCGTGTGGAGATTGAAGCTGCGCAAGGCTGAAACAAGACACAGCGAAGCTGCAGAAAGAAAATGAACGTACGACGGAAGCGGCGCAAACGATGAAAGATGAAACATAAATCAAGGGTCGGGAGTAACATTATTCACGACCAAAGGCAAGGTTAGAAAGCGCGTTGTTATCCAACGTGACCGTTCTGGAGCCGCATAGAGTCATGGTTCCGAGATCCTGCTAGGCTGCATACGGCCATGCTACTCGGAGCGGCCGCTCGTATTGGCTCCAACCACGTAGCCCATGCGGCCAGTACAAGGGCGCGCAGGTTGGTGGCGTTGCAATCAGTCCAAGTAGTCTGTGTCCGAAATGAGCTCTACTCACGAGGCATCAGGCGATCATTGCTACTCTTCCCCTCTCTCTCGACATAGAGACGCCGCTAATGACAGAGCCGAACGATCGTTCAGTGTCTGCGCACAATGTTGTGGTTGAGACGCGTGTCTGCGAGCTTCGACGCGTTTTGTCGATGAAAACAGCTTTGGGCTCAGATTGTACACGGCGTCCGTGTCCAAGGGACAACCGTTTCCCAGCTTGCCGGCACGCGAAGGATGCTGCTTGTCTGTGGACAACAGCCAGAGTCCGCTAGGTTGTGAATGTAGATCTCATTTCGCAGGGACGAAGGCGGTAGACAGAACACATCCTGCAAGGAGTCAAACGAGACAATCGTCAATACAATGTTGCTCCATCCCTGGAGTCAATCTCTACAACCTACTTTCCAAAGCTATGACCGAGCACTGACTCTCGTCACATGCTTTGCGGCGCGTCTGTCAATATCAGTTGGACTTGGACGTGTACCTTTGAGTATGTCATAGTTAGGGCGAGGAAAAACTCTCAAAGCCACTTGTGGCGCTCCGCCTGCGGATCCATCAGCACTGAACCTCAGGAACCAGCATCTGAAGGTCGCATACGTCACAAGAGAGAAGAAAGTTCTGACGCCGTCTTCAATGTTCACTCTGAAAACGTCCAGAGCAAAGCTTTGTTGCTGTTAATGTGCAGAAGCTCGGGCTCTTCGTCAAATCTTTCAGCACAAGGTTCCGTAGGCTGCTTGTCATATCTATGAAAAACCTGCGGGATACACCCGGCCATTTCGATGGATGACCAGATACAAGCGCACCTTGACCGCTTGCTGAAGTCGAGGGAGTATCCGAAGACGATATGCCCTTCGGAAGTGGCGAGGGCCATGTCACAACCAGACCTTCAACGTCTTGGGGTCAGTAACTGGCGTGACCTCATGCCAGTCATCCGCGAACGCGTATGGACGATGAGAGACGCGGGACAGGTGGAGATTCTGCAGCGCGGCGAGATTTTGAGCGCGAGGGTTGGGATGGAAGATGTCAAGGGTCCAATCAGAGTCAGGCGAACGCAGCACAGATGAAGACGGATACTCGGCCGACTACATGTCTTTTAAATCGTCGCGAATCAGCCAAGCTGATGGCGATGCTGTCTTTTTTTTTTTTCATACGACTACATGAACTCTAAAAGCAGATAGCCTCGACACCTCATAAAACCACGGTGGAGGAAGAGTGTACACAAGACAAAATACAGACAAACAAAAAAGCTCGGTTTCTTTTCCGTCTTCTTCAGGTCCCCATCACCATGTGTAACCTCTCAAACCATGGCTGACGCACCGAGTAGCCCAAAATGTGACGTCAACGCCCGCCGTGGCGACGCAGACGCGTTCGAGGAGTGGCTGCCGGATTCAACAGGTGATTGCCTTGACGGCATGTTTTTGCTTCGAAATTCAGATTCGCCCGTGACATGGGAGGCAAATCTGTAGGCGTGTGAAACCAAGCGGACAGGTAAAACATCCTTGCTTGGGAGATCCTTTCGTGGAAGCAGTACTAGCACTAGCATCAGACCAATGGCAAAGCTGGCAACAAATGCTGGAGTAGCATCAGACTGCGTGGTGATACAATATGTGCCGTACAGCGCAACGCAGATTGGCGTTAGAGCAAGGAAATGGCTGTTTTGACTAGTTTCGCATCTGTGAGTGCAGTTCTGCCAACTGGTTTGCCGCACACGTAGCGTGTCATTCCTTGATTGCCGCGAACGCCTATCCCCAGTTCCAACGGTCTGTTCGTGTGCGTTTGCTTTGCCATCTTTCGGCTGTGAGGCCGCTGCAGTTGACGAATGTTCTGGTGATGACATTATTGATGATGCTTGGGGTTGCTGCGTGTTTATGGCCTGCAAAAGCACACGAGTCGCGAAGAAGATTTCGCGAATGTTCCAATCGCGCCCATTGCGATGGCTTTGGGGAGTGTGTTGGTCATTTCTGTGGGACTCGTGTTCACTCCTGGTCTCGTAGGCGGATTGGATGTCCATGGCATGATCCGCAACAGTTCTTGAGCTGTCGCCAGGACATGGTGGGAAGTGTGCTGTCAGCCTGGCTGTTGCAGGTGAGGACGGCGCGCGGTAGCGGGGCTTGTTTATGTTCGGGGCGGGGATCGGAACCATCCTTGGACCTTCTGTTGCATCGGGGAGAATTAAAGTGTCCAGAGATCCTTCATGAATTAAGGTGGCTTGCCGTGGTGAGCGTGGACTAACACGTGACTGCTCCAGGTTGGCGCCCGTTGAGAAGTGACTGATCGTGCGATTGAGGGTGGATTGAGTAGCCCCGTCGTACAAGCCAATTGAGGATTGTTTGTGAGACACAGGCGAAAGTGACTCCGGAGTCACTGGAGAGATTGGTGCGTTGCCGGCCGATGAACTGCCGTAGAAGCCAGAATCGATCAGGCCTGAGTTAGATTCAACGTGATCTAGCATTTCCTGACCGAAAATGTTGTTGTTGCATTCTCTACTCGGACTAACCCGCTGCTGGCTCAGGCCGGCTCGAGTAGAGTAAGCAGAGTTGTCATGGTCAATAGACCAGATTGGGGACATGCTGGCATAAGTGTTGGTGGCCGGCAAATCTGGGAAGAGCTGCCAATCGACATTGAGTTCAGGAGTGAAATCGAAATCAGTAGTTTCAAGTTCGAATGGAGCACTGAAAGACGTCATGTCAGACATGGCCATCGATGGCATGTCAAGCTCGAAATTCAGCATCGACATGTCCGAGAAAGGGTCAGAAACTGCTGGCTTTGAACTAGGCGTTTGATTCGATGCTCGCTTTTTATGTTTCCCTACTTTCTGAGGCACTGGACCGGTGCTGGAAGCCGAGGAGTTGTGCTCGCACTTTCTCCGACGGCGCTTGCAATCTGCGCACGCACCAACCAAACGCTTCTGCTTATAGGCCTTCTTCTCCTCGGGAGTCATTGTGCGTCGCGTGTGGATTTTAGCCTGAGGTTTGTTTGGAAGACACCAGACGTCCATGAGAGCTTCTTGTGTAGGCTGGCCAGCAGCAGAAGATTGTCGTCGCGATATGGTAGTTTCTTGTGATGTCCGTGAGGAAGGCATTGCAGGAGATGGCAGGGTAGACACGAAAGACGATTGAGGAGATGGCAGATAATCCGGGCTGATTGGAGCGAATTGCTCCACCTGCTGCTCCTGGAGCAAGAATTCGATTACAGCGGCCCGCATACGAGCGGCCAGATTTGGCTCATATGGGAAAGCTTCCTTCAAAGCCTCGTGCAGTTCGTCGGAACCCTTTGGAGGAAAGAACTCAAGTGCAGTGGGATCCTCATTGCTGCTAGAGACGCGGGTGATGAAGTAAGATCGAGCCATTGGGATTGACGAAGAAGAGATCCAGTCGTGATAAGCGGGTTGCGGAATTTTAATGAATTGAGCAAGCCCAGGTTGATCCGTTGCCGGTTGATAACGTGAAGACCTTGAGCTTTTTATCTAAATCGCGAACGGGTGCGAGGAGTTCTGTGGAGCACAGCCGTAGTGATGGTGGAGCGGCTGTGCAAGGGTTGTGGCGTTCAGCCAGAGAGAGAGAGAGTGTGTGTGCGTGTGCTGTGTACGGTGCAGTGTACGGAGCCGGGTGGTACCGCAATGCGAAGACGCTCTCGAGCTTTGCTCAAAGAGCAAGGTCACTACTTGTGCGAGGTAACGTTAGGAGTGATGAAGCCTGAGAATTGTGCCAGACAGGAACACGCCGGTTAAAACTTCGAATATCCAGGTCTCTCGAAAACGTCTCACCACTTGACGGTGTCCGTATGTGGCATAGCCTCGGAGTGGGGAATGAGTCAACTCGCCCGCCCCACGTTCCAATGCCAAAATACGATGGCAGTGCAACTGCGGCATGCAGCATGAGATGCAGCCTCGATGCCGCAGACCTCGTTAAAAGTGGTCATTGCAGCGTACACGGCATGAGTCGATGCGATCGGGGCCGATTAATTCGAACGTGTTCGACGGGAAATTTCAGACCTTACATGCAACTTCGGGAAGGAAAGGACAGGCCGGCGTCTGTTGATGCAGCCCTTCCGGAGAGCAGCTGTAGGAGACGGTCGTTGTGCAAACGGGAGAGGGGAGTATGCTCCCATTCAGCCTGGACACGAACCCTACCAATGCCTTCACACATGTATGACCGTGCCTCAGCCTGAGCCAATACTCGCCAGTGGCTCTCCAATTAATCGTCCGCAGTTCTTGCAGGCTTCGTGCCGTTCTTAAGCCACATCTTGGACCCACATCAGTTGCAGAAAGAAAGCTCGTTTCTACGTACCTCCGTGCTTGAGAAGAGATGACTCGACAGTCTTGAGACCATCCCTTTCATTCCCGCTGTAAATCTCGAAACAAAAGTTAAAGGCGGCTGATCTCACGTGACATATAACATCTTCTTTGCTCACGTCTTTCGCGTCGCTCTGAGGATCCAAATTCGTCTGGCAACGCGTTCGATGTGAGCTTCTTCTACTATTCGAAATTAAATGGAGTTTGAACATTTTGGCAACAAAGGCATGTTGGTGTCAGCACGTGCGATATCGGCAAACTCTGCCTTGGTTACACAAGAGTCCCCGGCGGATTCAAGCACCCGACGGCTGAAGAGCCGTTCTGTTGCTGTATTGTACTGTAGGCCGAGATATCGAATGCACTCAAATCGAGTTAGACATGTTGCGGCAGTATCGGTTTGCAACTCTTTTGCGTGTTCTAAATACCGAAAGGCGAGAGTACATCGTCGAAAGGTGGACCTGTATTACCCAAACTGGAACCATCAGCCTTACGATTCGTCAGACAAGATTGTGAGCCCTCATCAGATCACTATTTCATAGGTCGGTTAGATCTGGGGTCATTCATTCGGGGTACTCTGAACATGAAGGATTTAACCGGACTTAGCCATTGCCTGGACATTATCAGTTTTCGGCCGGATTTAAACATCAATATGATACCCTTATGTCCTTTGTGACCTGCTTTAAAAATCTACAGACAAATATCTCTGCGAAAACAACGACAAGTCAAAGGAGAAACCAAAAGTACAGCCACGCTAACCATTAAAGTATCGAATATGTCGACCGTCGTTCTCATCACCGGTATACCTTTTGAACGCCTCCAGAATAAGACCCTTCTCATTGACACGCGTGTAGGAGCCAATTCAGGCATTGGCTATGCCACCGCCAAAGTTCTAGCTGACGCCTCAGCTGATTATCAGATCATCATGACTGGAAGGAACAAGGAGCCTCTCGAAGCCGCCAAGGCGGAAATCGAGGCGACGGGCATCAAGGGCAAACTCTACTCGACCGTTTTGGACGTGACTAAAGAGGACACCATCGCGGCAGCGACTGACTTCGTCGAGAAGCAATTTGGCAGGCTGGATGTGCTGGTCAACAACGCCGGGTTGAGCGACAACACGTTGCCAAAGGACTGGTCGTTAAAGCAAAAGCTAGACCAGGTGCTTACGACAAACGTAACAGGTCCTGCCATCGTAGCGGACGCTTTCAAACCTTTGCTTCTCAAGTCCAAGGACGCGCGATCCATCTATGTTTCCTCCGGGTTGGGCTCCTTGACGCAATGCGCAGATCCGGAGAGCGTACGCTACCATTCGAAGTGGACCGTGTACCGAACGAGCAAGTCAGCGCTGAATATGTGGGCGCTGCAGGATTTCAAAGACTTGGCACCGCAAGGTGTCAAAGTCTTCATATTCTGTCCCGGATTGGTGAGGAGCAACCTGAGGGGCAAGGATGAGGAAATGGTATCTGCTGGAGGGAGGGCAACGGATCCGTCAGTGTCGGGAGAGAACATCTTGAAGATCATAAGAGGTGAACGTGACGCTGAAGCAGGTCAATTCATTCACAAAGATGGCGTGTATCCCTGGTAAAGCGCTTGGCACTCGGATATCGTAACTTGCGTGCAAGATTGTTGGAAACGAAAGTCGCCCAAAAACGAGCTTTCAATGCAACGTGTTACCAGTTACTTGTCTTCGTCGCGTTGGTATCTGCATAAAACGAACCTCGCTAAATGAACTAATCCAAATCAAACGCCGACAGCTGCTGCATCGCCACTGCAAATGCTCATGCATGCATAGTAGAAGCTGACATCTCTATCGTTTCCGATCGCTCTTAATGTTCGTGTGTCCTCTCTCATCTAGGATATCGTCCTCCGCTAAGTTCGTAACTTTGCGCATCTGGAAAACGGAAGTGGGGTGTATGCGACTTCATTTAAGAACTCTCTCAAACGTCTCTCCTCTCACGGTGCCGCCTGCCATCGCAGTTCTGACATTCCTCTTGAATCCCTCGCGATTTGTCTTGAGATCTTCAGCAGCTGCCTTGTTAAGTGGGTCGCTTGCATTTGGCTCCAAGAACAAAAATTGCAGACCGACAATGACGGCGTTCAAATTCAGGACAGGCTTCCAGTCTTCTCTGAGGATGTTCAAGCACACTTTGCCCTCAAGGTCGATGTTTGGATGGTAGATCTTTTCTCTGCAAAGGACTTTTGGGGGGTCATGCGGGAAGTTCTGGTTGATGGCAAATGTGAAGGTAAATTTGCCACCCTTGTACATGCCCTCGTCCGGCTCGATCGTGAGTATGAAGTTGAGAATGTCATCGGGGTTAGGAAACTCAGTTTTCATCGTCGAACCTAGCGAGAGTTCGGACAAATCTATGCGACAAGTCAGCGGGTCTTCCATTGTGTCATGGAGGGGGCAAGCGAGGGGTACCTTTCTGGACGCGGAGTTGAGCAGCAGTGACTTTCTTTTTCTTTGCTCCTGACGCATCTGTTTCGGCTTTCTGCTGCGCTTGTTTCTGTTTCCATTTTGTCAACTCACAGGCAGGCGCACGTCGTGGCGTTGTCTTACCATGCTCCATATCTTCAACATTTTGCTGGCGTGTGTTACGGACGGCACACGAGCCGTCGCTAGGCTAACTGTCAGACGTTGAACGTTCTATTTATGAACTCCTGAAGAGAGCAAGGATGCAACGCGAGAAGGGAAGCGAAAGCACAACCGGTCGAGAAAGAGCGGAGACGACGATGTTCTGTTCAAAGTGAGCCCAAGCTGTGAGTGTTCGGGGCATAGGCGGCGACAACGGAGCAAAGCCATTAGGCTGGAACCGATGCACGCTAACCAAAAGCAACGCCTTCTCTCCACGTGACTCCCCCGACAGACTCGAAGCGAGCGGCAGAGAAAAGACTATCTAGAGCTCTGAACAAAATGCACTTTCAGCGCACTTTCCTTTTGATTCTGCGGGGAGAAGTGAAAAATCTGTTTGAATCGGCTGGTGGAGAGTTGAGCATGGTAGCCTTAGACATTTCTCTACATGTGGATGCGGAGGACCTGTTGCGCCTTTCCTATTTTGGAAGCATGATCGAAAGTCATATGGTGTTCTTTTATGAAGCTGTCCAAATTTCCCTAATTTCCTAGTCGACTTCGATGCCCTTCAGTCCAGAGCCTGGTAGCTTATGGCACATCTTTTCATGCTAGCTCTGGCTTGATAATACACCTGGAAGTTTTCAGCGGCTCCCCCCTTGAGCCAGACCTTGTCGCTCTACAAGAATTCCCCAATGCCTGACCAACGATAGCAATGCTGCGGATGCTGGAGGCTCAGGCCCCGGCCAAACAAACGGCTGGACATACAATCGATACGCTCAGCAATCGCCTCAGCAATGCCTCCCTACTAGAAGACCGTCGCGCCGCGATCCATGGGTTACGGAGCTTCGCAAAGGACTATCCAGCATCGGTGGCTTCGGGCGCATTGCGACCTTTGATCGCTTGCCTCACGAACGACATTGAAGATGTGGACACAATTAAGCCTGTTCTCGAAACGCTACTGGGCCTGTTCAACCCTAGTCCGGACAGTCTGGAAGCATCAGAGGATATAGCGCTCTGGCTTGCTGACGAGTTCACGACCAGACAAGACAACATACAGATCCTACTCGACTTGCTCGACAGCTCTGACTTCTACTCCCGTTTGTACTCCCTAAGACTGGTACAATGCATATTTGCGGCACGGCCCGAACGGACACAAGAGTGCATTTTGGGAGCTGCTCTGGGCACTTCGAGACTTGTTGCTTCGCTAGACGACAGCAGAGATGCCATACGCAATGCTGGTCTGGTGCTCTTGAGCGAGATTACGAGGTCATCGACCGAGCTACAGAAGCTTGTAGCATTCGAGAATGCATTCGACCGCGTGTTCAAAGTCATTAAGATGGAAGGATCACTTTCGCAGGGCGGCATCATTGTCCAGGATTGTTTGGAACTTCTTGCTAACCTGGTTACTCACAATCCGTCGAATCAATCGCTATTTAGAGAATCAGGATGCGTTTCGAAGTTCGCGCAGCTCCTTCAGGAGGCGCACAAGACACAGATTGACGGCGAAGAGGCGTGGCCAACGCCTCAGAAAGAGAAGAACATCTGGGGGTTGCTGGGTGTAATTCGGCTCTTTCTAGCGGAGGGTGCTGTTGGGACACAGGAAAATCAGATCGCTTTCTTCAGGCATGGGCTACTCCAGCAGGTCATCGAGCTGGCTTTCCACCAGGCGTCTCAGGCGACAGTTCAGGCGGAGGCCCTGTATGCATGTGCTGATATGGTGCGTGGCAATCCTACACTGCAAACCAACTTTGCAGGATTACAAGTTCCAGCGCCAGTTGGGCAGCCACCATCAGGACAAAATGGACACACAAATGGCGTACCAAAAGTTTACATCATAGAAGCCTTGTTGGATCTCTCAGTTGTGCCGTCGTCAAGCACGCCTTTTGAAGTCCGCATGGCTGCGTGCGAATGCATCAAAGCTTACTTCTATAAGCACGCCGAGGTCCGACATCACTTTCTGAATCGCGCAATCGAAGGTCACTTGTCAGGCCAGGATGAAACTGCCAACGTGGTGTCGATACTGCTGCGGGAAGAGCTCAAAACGGGCGACCCATATCGAGTCTGGTTCGCTGCCGATCTCGTCTTTCATTTGCTATGGGAGGATTCGAAGGCAAAGAACATGCTCATGACTGTCACTGAAGGTGATGCAGAAAGTGGAGAAGAAGTCGTCACTTGCATCCAGACACTTACGGAGAATTTGCTTATGGCAATTCAGAGAGAAGAAGACGAACGCATCGTGATTGCCTATTTCACAGTGCTGTGCGGCTGGCTCTTTGAAGATGGATCTGCTGTCAATGATTTCTTGGGCGAGGGGAGCAATGTCCAGATATTGAAGCAAAGGATGACAACGGGTGGCCCAGAGCTTGCAGTTATCAAAGGGCTTTGTGCGGTACTCTTGGGCGTGATTTATGAATTCTCGACCAAAGACTCGCCCATACCACGCCGGAAATTACAACCTCTTCTTACAGCGCAACTTGGTCGTGAGCGATACCTCCAAGCTTTATCCCAGCTGAGGCAGCACCCTCTGATAAGGGACTTTGAGGTGGTACCTCAAGGTGCTGCTCCGCCTAGCGCTGGAGGGGAACTTCCGCCATATGCATTTTTTGATGCTACCTTCGTCGACTTCCTTAAGGACAATTTCAGCCGTCTGAGCAGAGCAATCGATAGAGATCCGGGCCTTGAAGTGCAAATCCATTCCAAGGAAGCTGGTGTGGACCGTGACCTGGTTGATTCACTACGCGCGCAGCTGGACGAGAAAGTCCAGGCTGTTCAAAAGCTTGAAACAGATCTTCTTAGCCTACAACGGCAGCTAGACCATGAATCAGCAAGTGCACGAAAGGCTGCAGATACTTCCACTGCAGAAATCAATCGCATTCGGCAGATTAACGAGGCGCTACAACGAAATCATGAAGCTGATCTTGAGAAGTTGAAAAAAGAGCATGCTCTTGCATATACTAGCCTGCAAGAATCGTCGGAACGAAAGATCCAGGATCTCCAACAGCAAATCGAAGCCATGAAGAAAGCGTCGGCGGAAGAAGCGGCCCGTACGAAGGAATACTACGAGCGAAGCATCAACCAGCTGCGTAACACCAAGACAGGCTTGGAAAGCCGTTTGTCAGAGGCTCAAAAGAAAGAGGAATCTTACCGTGAAATGAGTCACAAATCTCAGCAAGCGTTACGGCAAGGTGTTGAAGAACTTACGTCTGCGCGGAAACATATCGCCGAGCTGGAGACGAAGCTGAAGGAGCGGGATAAGCACATTGAGGCACTGCAAGTGAAGGAGACGGAGCTGAAGGAACAGCTAGAGGATGAACGCACAAAGATAACGATGCTCGAGAAGGAAGCGTCGGAATTTGATGCAAAACTGGAAAAGAAGGGCAACGAGCTTAAGAAGAAAGAAGAGGAGCGGCAGGCAGCACAGACAGAATTGGACGATCTTATGATCATCTTAGCTGATCTGGAGGAAAAGAGGGCGAATGACAAGGTATGTTATTTTGAACTTTTGCAAGTGCTCGTCGTGTCCGACGCACTAACCACTTTCCTAGAAACGTCTGCAGGAACTCGGTGTAACCGTGTCGGATGACGAGGATGAAGACGGAGACGATGAGGACAACGAGGAAGACGGGGAAGTCGATTAATTTTTTCTTGGCTGAAACGTCTGAAGCTGCTTGACCAGAGCTTGCCGACTTAGAACTTTGACCTCTGCAAAGCACACGTTCGTACTTTGCCATCATAATATTGCATCCGGTGGGATGACAAGCTGATCCTAGGCCGTGAACAAGTAGCACGAAAACATGCATACTTCAATATCTGAAGTTGCGATGCTGGACCTAATTTTTGCCAGTACCTTTTTCTTCGCCTTTGTTTTGCTGTCCTTTAGAGCGTGATGAATTTTGGCAGCATCTCACGAGTACTGAACCAGGTTGATGACACAACAGCTCTGATACCCCCGGCGATCTCCGCTGACTCGTGAACAATTACGTCGTGAAGAATCGCTCACGCGTGATCAACGTTGTCAACATCACCCTTCACAATTCGCCCACCAAAACCTCTGATTTTAATCCTCTTTCCGTGTTTCATTTGATTGTGCTCTTTTCTTTTCCCTTCAAGGTCCACTCTCTCGTGTCAGTACAGTATTCGGTCTCCGCGGATCTATCAAAGAACGACACCCGTTTTCCGGATCAGGTATCTCGCCTGCAGACCGCCGCGTCATATCGAGCTCCACCCCCAGTCTACGACGTTATATCATTACTGTCTCTTCATGATACCATTTACTTTAGACGTGTGAGAACTGCTCTGGATATTTAATTTTTTTTCTTCTTCTTTTTTTTTTTTTTGATTTGCCCCGCTCTTCCTCCTGTCGGGAGCAAACCTATCATAGACGTCCCGTTTGGAAACAGCATGGCTTTTCTCGCCGAGATTAAGAAGATACACCGTCACAATGTACAGACGTTGAGGAAGCAGCCCCTGTCTGAAATATCGGGCGCCCTGGGCGACCTGGGAACGCTGCTTCCGATCATGATAGCTCTGACGCTGTCCGAGTCGATATCGCTGTCGAGCACGCTCGTCTTCACGGGCCTGGCAAACATCCTCACGGGATGTGTGTTCGGCATACCGCTCCCCGTGCAGCCGATGAAGGCCATCGCCGCCGTCGCGATAGCGCGGGACTTCACGACGCGGGAGACCATGGCCGCCGGTCTCGCGGTGGCGGCCATCGTCCTCGCTTTGAGCGTCACGGGCTTGCTCAACTGGTTCTCGAGGGCGATACCCATCCCAGTGGTGAAGGGCATCCAGGTCGGCGCCGGCCTGTCGCTCGTCCTGTCGGCCGGATCGGCGCTGCTGCAGCCTCTGGGCTGGACGAGCCCAAGCTGGGCGGACAACCGTCCGTGGGCGCTTCTGGCCTTCTTGCTTCTCCTCGCCACGGCGTCGACGGACGGCCCGCGCTTCCGCATCCCGTACGCCCTTCTCGTCGTCGTGCTCGGCCTGGTCCTCGCCAGCGCCGTCGCAGCCAGCCAGCACGGCCACGCGGCCACCGGCCCGTCCATCTGGCGTCCGAACCTCTTCGTCCCGCACGCGCGCGACTTCTGGACCACCTTGTCCGCCTCGCTGGGCCAGCTGCCGCTGACCACGCTGAACTCCATCGTCGCCGTGACCCACCTCTCGGCCGAGTTGCTGCCCGAGCTGCCGGAGCCTTCGGCCGCCGCCATCGGCGTCTCCGTCGCCGGTATGAACCTCCTGAGCTGCTGGTTCGGCTCCATGCCCGCCTGTCACGGGTCTGGCGGCCTGGCGGCGCAGTACCGCTTCGGCGCGCGCTCGGGCGCCTCCGTCGTCATTCTGGGCTGTGTCAAGCTCGCGCTGGGCCTCTTCGTCGGCGAGGCGCTGGTCGACCTGCTTCGCGAGTTTCCAAAGAGCCTCCTTGGCGTCATGGTCATCGCCGCAGGTGTCGAGCTCGCAAAGGTCGGCGAGAGCCTGAACTCCGGAGCGCGCGACCTGTGGGAGGAGAGTTCGGAAGAGGAAGGGCGGAAGCACAGGTCGCCCAGCGAAGACGAGAGAAGGGCGAGATGGAGCGTAATGCTGGTGACTGTGGCGGGCTTGCTTGCGTTCCGGAACGACGCCGTCGGATTTTTGGCCGGCATGTTGTGGCATTGGGGTCTACATGCACCTGACTACTTGTCAAAGTGGCGTACGAGCCGGTCATGGATGACAGTCTATCGACGGACTTATCACGAAGACGAACGCGTGTTACGAGATGACGATGCTTGAGACGGAGGGGATTGCAAACAAACACCGGTTTGAAACCGACAGTCTTAATTTTTTGCAAAAGTAGCATTCCATTCCGTTGGCCTAGTCATTAGATGGTCCGCCTTTTCGGCGGGAAGAAGTCTATGTACAGAGATGGATTTCAAGAGGTATATTCAATCACCTCATGTCCGTCATGGACCATTGAAATAATCAAAGTATTCTTGCTGGGTCGATTTTGATTTGGTCTCTGAAATAAAATCGACCTCAGCTGCTTACCAAGTTACACACTTGAGCTTCGTAGAAAGAATATGATACGGGTCGCGTTTCACAAAGACGTGTGTTTACACATTGAGCAAAGGATACAAAAAAAGGTCTGAGAAGTTTTGACTAAGAAATGGTTGTGAAATGTGATTTAAGTAAGAAATGTGAGATCAAAGGTCACAAACACTTCCTAAGCCCGAGCGGTACCGCGTAAACGTACCGTAGCTCAAGGCTGGTTAGGAAGCGTCTGCGAAACAACTGTGACATGACCGTTGACTTCGTGATTAAGAAAGTAGTGCAACCATGAAAGTGACCAAGTAGCAGTAAGATACTGAAGTAAGAAAGCGTGATAACAGAAAAAAGAGTCAAGAAGTGGCAGCAGAACATCGCATCGAGCATAGAAAGCTCCCTGCGATCGCGCTGCTCAAGTCTGCCCACCCGTGAAGTTATTGAACGCTTCGTCGGTTTGCGTGAACTCGGGCTGATCGGCGTCGAACGGCATGTCATCAGCGTACATGGCATTGGCTTGGGACATCATGTCACTGTTGTAGAAGGTCATCGAGCCATTGAAGACTGGTGCGACGTGAAGCTCATTCGAAGAGACGGGCGGAAACGCATCCAGCGGCGGTGCACCCAAGGCCGCATCGGCGAAGTTGAAGGAAATCGCGTCATAAGGCGAAGCATCGGCGAGGTTGGCGGGCAGGTCAGCACACTGCTCGAGCTCGGTATCGTCGTCGTCCTCGTCACACTCTGTGCTATCTTCTTTTTGCTCCTCGTTCTCGTCAACCACTTCTTCGATCTCGCGGATAAAGTGTGCTTTGATGAGGCTCATAGGCGGCCAGTTGCCGCCACCTTTACCACCACGTTTCTCGTATTCCTCGCCCTTGCATCGGCGACCCTTCTTCCGCGGATTGAAATGGGTGCGGCGAAGGCTGTGGAGGTGTGAGCAAGGTCCAATCTGAGAAAGCGAAGAGATAAAAGTCCAACTCACTGTGCTGCGGCATTGTAGTAAGCACCATAGCGCTTTTTCGTCCTGCAGGCTTTGCAGTTGGCAAGGAACTTCTGGTCGGGTGTCGGATCGACACACACCCAGACCTTGCGGATCTTGGCATGTGCTCTTGACATGTGTCTCTGTAACTCATGTTCACCTCTGAAACCATCAGGGTGGTCCTCACACCTTGGACACTTCACCTTCTGCTGTGCGGGCCGCATTTGTCGATCTGTGTTTCTTGGGAGCACGCCGTACACCTTCTCCTCACCGTTCTCAGATTTAAGTCTAACCATTGAGTTTCCTTGAAACATGTTTTGACTATGCTCTTTCTTCGTGTACTGTGATGATGATGATGAAGATGAAGTAGAAGAAGAAGATAATGATGAATGCGAAGTTTGAGCAGGAGCAAGGAAACGCTGAGAATGCTGAAGTGTTTCGAGACGACGTTTTTGCGAGCGACTTTTAGAGGAAGTTTTTGACGTTGAGGATTGATTGGAAGAAGAGCGTTGCATGTCAGACGCGGCGCCATGCGAAGGGTCAGATGGCACCTCGCATGACGCGGCGGTGTAGTTGAAATCTTCGGAGGGAGACTCAAGAGATGCGCTTTGAGCAGAGATGATGGGCACAGGAGATGAAAGAACAGTGTGATGAGGTACGAACTGAGTGTCAGAAGAAGGATAGGAAGAACTAGTCTCAACTGGGACGGAGAAGGGATGACGGAAAGGAGGATCTGGAAGAGAGAGGTATGAAGTCTCTGACTTTACACGCATCAAAGAGACTTGATTAGCCAGCGACTCTGTCGAGGAACCTCGCGTAGGGTCACGGCTCATGCTGAAGGATGACACGGAAGTGTCGGTCAGGTCGAGGGAAAGGCGTGAGCTATCGAAGGAAGGCGACGACGTTGCTGTCCACGGAGACTGTAGGCTTTCCGAGAAAGCGAAGTCGGGGCTGTACGCCTGGTGCTCAGGCCTGCTGGTCGTCGTGTAGTTAAGCTGGGTGTGAAAGGTGAAGTTGGACATGTCGTCGACGAACTCGGAGGGATCATGCCATTCGCCCTCGACGAATCGAGGTTGCCTCTGGTCCGACGTGTTGCCGCCGCAGTCGGTGCCGTTCGCCTGCTGCCACTGAGACATGACCAGAGGTGGACTGGCGCCAAACGAGCTGTGCGATACAATGCGAGACAACGGCGGAGCAGCCGGCGCCGAGTGGCTACCTCTGCTCATCTGGGCGGTGGCTTGGGAGATCTCCACGCTCTACGATGGAGTTAGCATAGCTACGAGAGTAAAGGTAGATTGACAGCCATGTGTCTCACGCACGTTGGGAGACGGTCCTTGGGGGGTGCCCAAGGTCGGGGGGACGGATCGATTCTGGTTTGAGTGTGACCATTTTCGCTTCCGCATTCGTGACGTCGATGCGCGACGGCTCGACAGCGAACGATGCATCTTGACCAACTCTTCCATCGTCATGCCGGTCGACTGCTGAACAGCAAGGGCGGCTTGCTGATACTTGACGTCGGCCGAAGGAGGCGAGTGCTCCATGCTTTTCACGTCGGTCAGGATCGATGGGAGGCTGGCACGGAAGCGACTTGAAAACGGTTCAGACGAGTTCGAACGATGCGAAAGGTGCAGCCAAAGCTAGACGATGGTTCGGCACATCCAAACTGCAAACATCTGTTTTCGAACGACTCTTGGGAGGGGGAGAGCGAGCTCTTGACCAGCGCCTGGCGGCTCGAAGCACTGATCGAGACGATCGACGGGACAACGTTTGTGCTGCAAGCACCGACTGCAAACCTTCTCGCTATTGATGATGCTACGAGGTCCAAGAAGGGGGCAGCGTAGAGTGAGCGGCAAAGAGAGCTGGACTTGCCGGGACGACGATCGATGAGGGTTTTGGTAAGACGGGCGGGAGGGGAGAGACAACGTAGCGACACGGTGCGCGAGAGAAGAGAAAGGCGATTATAGGGCCGGCGAGCAGGTTGCCTGCTGCTGGCATGCGTTCACCGACGCTTCACAGCGCTCGCCCATCTGTATGGCGTGGCCGCTCTGGGTGTGCTGTCCTGGCGCGATACTGGTTGTGAAACGAGCATGCCTGCACGAGCGCCGGGCCCGCTAATCCGCATCGGGCGATGATGCTCGTCGGCTCGCGCTCGACGTCAAGCCCAAGCGACGCCTCGACCAGACCGCGCTCTCTCTCACTGGCCGCCTCATCTTCTTCCTCCCACTCGTCGTTGGCCTTGTCCGCCCGGCTTGTTCCCACTCGCTCGTCAGCTCGCTCCGGCACAGGACGTCAGAAAGAGCTTGGGGACGCTTCGCTCGTGTTTGCTCCTCCCAGGGCGCCAGCCGGCACCAGGAGAGCGAGTGGATCATTGGCTCGACTTCGCGAAGCCCCTTCTGCGCTCTCCGGCACACGGTGGAGCCCTTCTCTTCGGTCTCCATGCGCCGTCCAGCTTTCTGCTCATCCGCAGGCGGGAGGCCGCAGAACGAGAGACATGTGCCCCGTCCGCACAAAACCCGCCATTACGATAGCATAATGACGCCCTGCCTGCTTTCGGACTTGGCTCGTCAACACGGGCTGGTCACGGTCGTGGTCTCAAACAGACCGAGCGTGAAGCCAAAATTTCAATTACTCAGGTAGCATATCAACTCCCGTATTACTAGTACACGTCGATGAAGAGGGAGCAGGGTTGATCGTTGTGGGTTAATCTGCGTTTTTTTCTTCTGCGACAGCACGTTCCCCACAGCCGTCTAAGCCGCAGCATTTCGCTCACGTCCTTCCTGTATATGCGTGCATCCCACCATCGTATTCTTCCTTCCATCAGGCTGAGAGAAAAACATCCTGGCAGAATGCGAGCAATCTATGCGCGAATTTTTTTTGGGGCCTTCCAGCGAACCAGCTGCAGCACATAGGAATCCTGAACGCAACATGTCTCCCAAGGCTTTGCGTTTGCGAGCCTTTCAGACTTTGCCTGCTTGCCTAGTCCACCTGACATCAGCACTCGTCTGCTCGCCTTTGTACAAATTCCCGCCTCACCCTTTCGAGGAGCTTTTGAAAGCTATGTCTGCTTATACAACCGAAGCTGCGTTGCGGAGCATACCTCTGATGGTCATCTTCTGTCCATTTGACGCGAGGCCTTTGCCTCGGACCTGTCGGACTTTTCGTGGCGCCGTCGCAGATGTTGACGTCTTTGGTGGCTCCAATTGAGGGGCTGCGGGCCATGCTCTTGGCGAGGTTGTGGTGCCACAACAGCCGTACTGGTTCTCACCCAGAGTCATAGAGCCGTCTGCCCCCGCGCTCGGTGCGTTCGCAAAGGTTCGGGACGAGCCAGAGTGCCGGAGGGATGCGAAGGAGGTATGCTTTGCGCTCTTTCTGGGCATGTTGCGTGTAAACTCCGGGTAGTCCGGAGCCCAGCAGCGGTACTCCACGTCGTGGTCAACCGCAAGATGTTGTGGGCTTGTGGGTGATGGTGATTGCACCAGGGTCGGTGCAAGACTCAACGGCGGTGACACGCAGCCTTTTCTGAGCCGCGATGGTAGCAGTGAGCTTGAGTCAATCCAGTATGTGCTGATTTCAGCATTTCCCAATTGGAAACCGTCCCCATATGATTCAATGAAGCTCACCAGTTCGTCCATGATTGCCTCTTCCGCTGCCAGCCTCTCCTTGTCAAGACCCAGCTCGGCTTGCACCGTTTCCTGAATGATAGCCAGCGGCGAGCGGTCCACCTTCATCTTTGGCTCCAGGCGTATCGCGCCTGGCACGTATGGAGCGCGTTGCCAGGCACTCTGCTCCGGTGCGACGACTGGCACGACCGATGCACCAGGCAACTGTACCGCAACCCCAGATTTTGTATCTATGCCGCCTGGCGATTCCGGCGTGCAAGCCAGCTCGACAGGCGCCTGCGTCCCTGATGATCGCGCTGTCATGGGAAGGTTGGCTATAACCTCTAACACACCGAGATCCATCTCTATGGGGGTCAAGGCCATTTCTTGCTCCGGCGGTTCTGCGTCAACGGGTATCTTTATCGATAGATCCGGCTTCTGCCTTCCCTGCTGTTCGGAATGGCTTACTAGAGCAGCCCCTGGTGACGAACTCCTTCTGACCTCCTTTGAAGAATCGGGTAGGCTGTTACCAATGTTGAGGTCGTTCGCTTCCTTGGTTCCTAGAAAGCGCTGTATCCTGCCGTGGCTGTCGACGATTTCATTTGAACTTGTTCTAGGCGGCGGTCCGTGGGTAGGTACGGAGGGGAATAATGTAGCAGTAAATATCAGTGATGGGGATGCTATCGCTTCGTCCTCATCACCTGACTCACTTGATACAGTGATTCGTGGGCGGGTTTCCATTCCAGGCCTGCTCTGAGGTGATGATGACAATAACGATGATGATCCATTCTGGTGACCTGGTGGAACGGGCCATTCTTGCTGCATCAGATCAGACTCTGTTTCTTGTATGGGTATAGCACCAGCGTCCGGCGTCAGCAAGCATGGTAACTCCACTGATGGTATGCATGCCGGTGATTGGGCAGCATCAAACGCACTTCTTGATTCCTGCAATGACCCGGAGACGTTCTTCGGCGACTTGGACGCGGATGCTGGCCTGTAGCGAAATAGTGCTTCCATGACCCGTGATTTGTGTCTGGCACTTGTAAACGTGATGTTTGGGCCGTCGCCGCGCGTCCAGAACTTGTTTGATGATAAGAGGTTCACCTTCATCGCTCTCTACTCTCGCACTTTCACAAGTGGCCCCGAACAAAGGTGTCGAAGGAAGGGAAGGTGGGCCAAAGCAACCTGGGCTAAACTGTCTACATGACGCATGGCGCTGTAGTCGGACAAAGAAGAAGTTTCCAAGCCAGCTTCCACCACCATAACGACGCCAAAATCGCTTCGAAGGATGTCCACAGCGCTTTCATTGTGGGCCGGGGCTTGCGAATTTGGCTGTAAGCGACGTTGACGCGAGTCGATTCCTGCCACGGCTTCTGACAGGTCTTTCTGAGAGCCTGGAAGTCAGCGAGAAGAACAATCTGCAAGCCACTGCAATTTGGGAGGATGCAGAACCCAGCGGAACCTATCTCTGCTGAATGCGGAAACGTGGACGTTGCGAATCCGACAGGTCACCAAACACAGCCAACGGGCTTCCTCAAGCCTCGTCAATCACAATATATCGGCTACACATGCAGACTATTAGGAGAATCAAATGGCCTTTTGTTTTGGTTTTCAATATTGTGCCGTCTCGAGGCTGCTGAGCATCTTCGAAAACATGAACATGCCTTTGCTGCTTGTGGCGGCCGTCGATTCGCAAGGTTTTCCCTTTTTTTTTCTTTTTTTTTCCCTTTCTGCGCACGCAAGAGCACATCAGTTGGATCGAAGGATTCAACGCGATGGATGTTTGCTCCCCACGCGGCGCAGCCACTCGGCGTACCTGAAAAGGATTGTTTCTCGAGAAGACCGGCTTCTAGAACATCGACTACACTTACTCCGTAGCGGAGGTGGGAAACTGAATGGCTGTTCGGAGTCAAATTGTGGTCAGTAGCAATTTTTGATTACTGTTTTTGCAAACTTTTGTTACATCGGCCTGATACAGATGCCGGACGGCACCTCTGTGAAATACTGCCCGAATTTGCCTCCGCCTTCATGACAAAAATAAGCATGGTATGCTATAGATCTCCGTGGCCTATTTTCTGGACCACGATGCCTGTGGCTGCTCCTCCGCCGTTGCAAATAGCCGCGCAGCCGTACTGCCCATCCTTCAGCTGATGGAGGAGCGTAATTAGAATCCTGCTGCCGGAGCTGCCCAGCGCGTGTCCCAGCGCGATTGCACCACCGCGAGGATTCACGTTCTCGCTGCCCAGGCCTAGAATCTTCGCGTTGGCCCGGATCACGGCGGCGAAGGCCTCGTTGAACTCCCAGATGCTGATGTCCTCTTTCTTCAAACCGGCACGCTCCAGTACAATTGGCACAACCTTTGCCGGTGCAACGGGGAAATCGATCGGATCGACGGCCGCGTCGGCGTACGAGACGATGCGGGCCAGCACGCGGCTGTCCTTTCCATACGCTTGAGCGACGGCTTTTGAGCCCAGGACGAGCGCGCTCGCGCCGTCGCTGAGCGGAGAGCTGTTGGCAGCGGTGATGGACCCTTTTTCGGACCTATCGAAGACCGGTTTCAGCGTGGCCACCTTATCCAGCTTCAGCTTGTTATATTGTTCATCCTCCGTCACCGTTACATCACCCTTCTTCCCTTTGACTACGACTGGGGCAATTTCGTCGTTGAAGAGGCCCTTGGCCCACGCATCCTGTGCGCGCTTGTAGCTCTCGATGGCGTAGTCATCCTGCTCCTTCCGCGAGATGTTGTACTTCTTGACCGTGTTCTCCGCGCAGCTGCCCATGTGAATCTTGTTATACACGTCCCACAGGCCGTCCACGATGAGGCCGTCGTTGAGCTTCTGGTCTCCGAATGCCGGCTGCAGCGATGCTCGAGGGAGGTAGTATGGCGTACGCGTCATACTCTCCATTCCTCCAGCTATCTGCGCCTCAGACTGGCCGAGCTGTATGTTTTGGGCGGCCATGGTCACGGCTTTCATACCGGACGAGCACACCTTGTTGATGGTGGTGGCCTCGATCGTCGAAGGCAGACCAGCGAAGAGGGCTGCTTGTCGGGCAGGCGCTTGGCCCACGCCGCCCTGGAGCACTTGGCCCATGTACACATCCGTGATCTTGTCTACGGGCACCTTAGATTTGGCCAATGCATCTTTGATAGCTACGGCGCCCAGCTCGGTCGACGACAGCGACGTGAAGGCACCATTGAACTTGCTCTCCGTTAGCGCATTGCTGCTTCACTGCGCCAAAGGTCTCACGTACCACTCCGACCGGGGTTCGAGAGCCACTTAGGATGTACGCATCGCGGACTTCGAGATGATGCCGTCTGGAGGTAGAGAAGCTTCTCCGCACCGCGGCGGGGACGATCTTCCGGCGAGAAACGGTGCGGAGCGTAGAAGGAAGGGCCCTCGACGACATTTTCATGAGACAGCGGCACTGTTCACAAGACAGACAATTGGATCACATCTAATCCAAGGAAGACGAGGAAACAAGAGGAACAAGTGATAGTAATCATATGGCAAAAGCGTTGAGCGCAGCCATTCCGCGGCTCTTGTGCAAGCTCGTCGCAGCAGCATGCGGCTAGCAACGGTAGCCGGCTGACAACTGTCCGCGCGCTAGTCCTCTTCTGGCCGGGCCTTCCCCCACATGCCGGGTCACGTGAGCACACCGAGCGAGGGCAGATTGGCGGTGCTGTCACGTGGCTTTACCAGGCTGCCTGCCTCATTGCTGTCCAGGTTTTTGCTTTGGTTTGCTTCATTTTCTTTGAACGGAAAGGAAAAGGACGAACTTGGAGCGACTAGCGAGACCCGCAGGCGCCGAAAGCATTGAGCTGCCGGAACACGGCGCGAACGACCAAGCATGCGCGTACAGGACGTGGAGGGATGTGCGTGTGTTTGTGTTTACCAGCACGACAACGGCCACATCACACCGCGTCGATGGGCGATGGACTGCTCACACGTTCCAGGCGAGGCAGGCCGCCGTGTCAGCTCAACACGTGCTGGATGGGAATGTGGGAATGCTGACCACGGAGGGCCATCGCTGAGGCACATGGGCGCCCGCGAAGAGGGTTTCGCGGCCATGTTCGCGGCGGTGGGCAACGGCCAGCGTCCGAGTTAAGAGTGGTCAGGTCGCGCGCATCAACTGGCGCCAACTCATCGCAGATCGAGACACGCACGGGCAAGCGAATCACAGAGCCCTTGAACGTCTCCAGACGCAAGATGCAAGCCGCCCATTGCGCCAGTTGTGTTGGCGTCCTTTGTGTGGGAAAATCATGCGCTAAGCCGGTTGCTGCTACGACTCTCCAGACGCTGCCCGTCGCCATTTTCTCCCTCTCGTCGCCTCACTGCTGCTGCTTCGTCGAGGTAATCTCCTGCTGCTGCACATCATCTCCTCCCCCAGATTAGATAACTGCCTGTCTGCGTCGTCTCTCCTCTTTTCGCTATCCCCTCTCTCTCCCGTCAAGCTCCTCCTCCCCAAAGACTCTGCCCATCGCCCTCTGCCCACCATGACCTTATTTGCCTCGTGTCTCTAAGCCTCCTCCATTTCGCTCTTGTCTCGTTTCCACGACTGCGTAGCGTTTTCCCACGCCCCGCTAGTGTCACCCCACCATCGCTTCCTCGCTCCTCGTTGTGTCTTGGAGCCGCATTCGAGGCCTGCTACGACTCTTGTTGCTGCTACAAAGTCCAAAACAAGAGAGATACGATCATCCTTGACAGCGATCTCTGGTTAGATCGACCTGTGTGCATACAAGTGCCATCTTTGCCCTTCCAGCCGCCCGCGATGAACCAAGATTTTACTGCCAGCTGCGCGGTGTGCGGCGGTCCTGGCGAGCCCGATTGCCCGTGTGAGGGAGAGCGGTTACAGCAATGCATCGACCAAGCCGAGAAGAATTGGATAGAATCCTGGGTCTCCAAAATTCGGTATGCACACCCCAAGAAAAGGGCGGGGGGTCCCAGAGTCCCGTCATTAGTCGATCGTTTCACATGAATACTGATCTGTCGCCAGGGAATGGGCCACCAACAACGCCATCAACGCCGTCACCTCCATGTTCAACAAGAAGAAGGAGGCTCGTAAGGAGATGTTCAAGCAGCAGGTCTTGAGCATTCCCTACTTTCCCATGTACCAACAGCACCGTGGTCGCCCGCCACTGGACCCACATATCGTCTACAATATCCAACACAACCTGCGTCAAGCTGAAATCCGTCTAAAGGAAGGCATTGACTACGACTGGAAGCAATGTGTCATGCGCTATCCCGACGTGCTCGCCCACTATTACAACCAGATCAAGATGACGTTGCCGCCGCAGCCCGAGTCACCCTTTGGTCAAGCCCTCGCTAGCGGAGGCCAACCGCGTCCTCCCTCCGTGGTAAATCCGCCACCACCAGCATCTTCAGTCGGCATGAGCATTAACCGCGCTGCGACCGCACCACCCAAAAAGAATCGGGACCGCCGCTCCTCTAAGGTTGGCTTGCCTGAGGGCATCAATGAAGATGCCATCGGCGTGCTGACCGCCCAACTCAACGGACTGCAGAGCGGCCCAGGAGGTCTCGGTCGGGCCAATATGCTTCACGGTAGGACCAAGGCTGCCACACCGGCACCGCAATCGACGGCTCCGCCACCGCCTCGCTCTGTACGCCCCGGCACTAAGCGTCGCGAGAGCAAAGAGTATCCAAAGGGCTTCGGGCCACCGCCCCACGTTCCAAACCCGCCAAACTACGACCAATTGCGCAATTCACTCTTCAGTGCATTCGGCCGACAGTGAGACGTGCACTGTCACTTCCGTATCGGCACGATGGCCATGCATAAATAGCGGCGTCGGATTATCACTTCTCTCTTCATCATTTCGTTCTACGGCATAGCGTGGCTTTTTCTTTTTCTTTTTCTTTTTTTTTTTATTTTCTTTCTGCCAAAGACTACTAAGCTTAATCTATCATCTGCGAACAACGGATTGGGCGGTAAACTTTGTTGTTTTTGCTTGTTGTGCGTACATGCGTCTGTGCATGAGTTTGGATTGATGCAAGACTCATAATAACGCACAACATGCCTACATGAGCACACACATATCTACGCGCGTGTGGTCCTTACGTTTCGCCACGTATCATCTTTTCTTCCTTCCTTTCCCGATTCAGATTCAGCTGCAGCTCTATATCAAATTGTACAATCAGGTGCGCTTGTCTCATGGGCTTGTATGTGGCTCCTCGGGGATCAAAAAGACAAATTGCTGCTCGTCGCCTTTGTTCTTAGCGTTCTTAGCATGGAGTTCGCTTTGGGTACTGGCCTGCTCTTAACTTCATTCTTCCCTCAACCTGTTATCCTTGTTGCTCTTTTACATACTTTTTTTTTTCTGTATGAGAAGGGTAGACATTGCTGGAAGCAACCGGAAGGGGGGGATTTCTGGAATCGCCACTTTGTCACTGCACTGGCTTCCTTTTTCAATATCTTCTTGAATATTTTCCTTTTAAACTTCAGGAGAGATGGGGCATATTGGACAAAATTGAACTTTCTGCCGGATCATGCCGCTTGTGGGAACGGCAAACTCCACATACGCGAAGACAGACATTATTTGACAGTATTTAATGATACCAATGACCTCACGGCTTACCAGTGCATTGTACAGCGATATGTCATTCCGTGATGTGGAGTTTTTAAAGGAACACGGAGGGACATCTGAACCTCGTACTGTGTTTTTAGACTCTGAGCGGTGAACAATTTTCATGGCCTTGACTCGCCCTCTACTTCTCGGCGACGACGTCGCCCTATCAGAAGTCCAAAGCAAGATGCAATTTCACCTTTTATTCTCAGATTCTCAGTCGACACTTATGTCTAGAGCAGCATTTATGCAGACTCATAATAAGAGACTAGCTCGTCAAGGACCTATCGTGCTCACACAACGTGCGGTTCCGAATCAGTCGAGGGCGAGCTAAGAAGCAAATTTCATGAGATGGGCAGCTTCGTAGGTAGTAGCTCTCAGTTGACCCGTAGACAAGCCGTCGGGCTGTTAGGTAGAAAACCACAGACGTCCGAATTGCGTGGGTGGAAGAAATTCGAGAGCGAAGTTTTTCCAAAGCACAGCTTCTTACTCGACCTGTCCGAGCAACATTTGCATGCCCATTTTCTGCATCACAGCAGCCGAAGCCGAAATGAGACTCGAAGTTGGGAATCACACGTCTCGTGGATGGCCTCACTGCTTCTACGGCCCTTGCAATAGCGGGACAGCCTCAGCCTCGTCCAGCCGCCTGACGTAGCCCCACCTCAGATCACCATCCCACCCTTTGACTCAAAAAAGGTCCATCCGCTTACCACGCGTTTCTCTTAGCGTACCCGTCTTTCCACACCTTCCCTTTCTTATCTGTTCACTCGGTCTTGTTCAAGTGATATCGTACGTCCCGGAAATACTTGCGAAGAGCCATGGGAGGCAAGAAGAGCGGGGGCGAGAATAGCAAGAAGGCTGCCGGCCAGGCACGAAAAGCCGAGGCGGCGGCAGCTAAACAGGCAGCAAAGGATCGCGAGATCGCGGCCAGAGAGGACGCGGAGTGGGCAAAGGGTGCCAAGGATAACAGCAAGAAGTACGTGCCATTTCTTCGAAGAGAGGAGAGAGGAAAAGAGGGGTTTGTGGGGGGGGGGGGGGCTTTTTTCCCCTATGAATAAGAAACCTGGAAGTAAACGACGCTGGAAGAATACCATGCTGATCCGAGATCTGCAACAGAGAAGCAGCAGCCGCGAAGGCGGCTGAAGCAGCGCGCAAGAAGGCGGAGAAAGAAGCGTTGTTGAGGGAAGAGGAGGCGTCGCTACCGACCAAGGCCAAGTCCGGCAACGCGAGAAAGGCCGAGAAGAAGACGCGCGGCACGCTTGACCTCGGACAGCTGGACGACGCACCGACGGGCAAGGCGAAGACGATCAACGCGTCCGGCATCGACAACGCGCTCGACGCCCTCTCTCTCACGGGCAACCCCAACAACGACGTCGCGAACATAGACCGGCATCCGGAAAGGCGCTTCAAGGCCGCATACACGGCGTACGAGACGCGCAGGCTGGAGGAGATGAAGGATGAGAAGGGCTTGCGGCGCCAGCAGAAGATCGAGCAGATACGCAAGGAGTTTGACAAGCACCCGGACAACCCGTTCAATCAAGTCAGCGCGCGGTACGACAGCACGAAAGAGGAGCTGAGGGAGATCGCAGCCAACGAGAGGAGGAAGGTGGAGGAAAGACTGGCGAGTGCACCTTGAACAAACCGGGAGAGGGGGGGGGGGAACAAATCGCACGGAAATTTGTCTAGTGGCTTCTTCCTCTTCTTTCTCTAGAAGGCATGACACACTACCGCATGAACGAAAATGAAACGATGCATGAAGATTGCTTAGAATAACGGCCATGGCAGATTTGAATGCTCAAAGTCTGGGAGCGGCTTTTTGGCCGATCGTAGGTGAAAGCTTTATACCATGAATAGACCATTGACATTATAGCTTCTGATCTTTTTTCCTTTACGAATGCTCACCCACTGGCATATGGTGAACGTAGTAGGCTCGCTGTCTTTCATACATGGAAGCTGACCGAATTTTAGGAGCTCGTCACCAGTCGAAGAACACTGGTACTCACTGACTTCATCACACATAACCACTCTCGAACGCGATTGAAGACGTAGAGTTTCCGCGCCTCTCATTTCTTCTTTTGTCAGATTTAGCCTGCCGCTCCCTATAGCCAATCCTAACCTCCTCAACGCTCCTCGTCACATAATGGTCGTCACGAACTTTGACACCACCAACACTAGTGACTTCGGAGTCTGTAAATGCAACTTTAGATGGATCCTTACTTCCAACGCCACTCCTATAATTGGATGCTTTGTTTAATTTTGGATTTGTATATTGCCTGACGCGTCTATCTTTATCCTGTGTTGCAGTGTATTTGTTGATGGATTCAGAAGACTTGCGAGGATCTTCCGGCGGAGGAGATTGTGGCGGTCGGCTGTGATACTTACGGCAGTTACGATATTCGGGGGAGGGTTGAGGTTTCAGATGGGGCTCTTTATCGTTGTCTGCGTCGTAAAAAGAGTCACCCCTATGTTGCACTGTAGGTACACTGGTCGCATTGTAGCTTGGAGATACTAGCGAAGATGACGATTCTAATCGAGACTTTTCTTTCTCTGAGCGGTCTACATCGTGGCCATACCTAGTGACTTTGGTTCCGTGGGTTTTCTGCTCTCTGCGACCCACATAGCTTTGAGGAATCATGACTCGCGAGGACGTCAATGGCGATCCTGTATGAGAAGAGACCAGTTAGTTGAGTATGAACTCCCCTGTGAAGATACGACGCAGAAATCTATCGAAATCAATGATGCAAAATTTTGGCATATTCTTCTCACGCTCAATTTTATTACTTTCTGGTCGACCGTGATAGCTGTGATTGCCTTGGATCGCGGAGAATTCAATTGGATGTGGCGTTACTTCATCTCGTCCTCTCTTGACATATATAGCTGCTGGTTTTCCTGGCTCGTACGTTCGCGACCTGCTCCTACTTGGCTTTGAATCGAAGCGAACGTGCTCCTCCTCTATACATACTGCCGTGTGATCACGATTGTCTCTTATGAACCTTCGTTTGATCTCGGAATCTGACGACGCATCATAACGAGAGGATCGGAGATCACATTTACGAACCCCATTGCCGGAAGGAGAGTGACCAGTGCGTCTGTGTTCAATAACATATCCGCTCCGGCGCGGATGTGGTGACCAACAGCTACTTGGGGGAGGTGTCGATCGCTCACGCGGCCTATTTTCCAGTCTTTGACAGACAGCGTGAAAGCCTTTTCGAGAAGGGATATGGCGGAAGCTTATTTCTCGCCCACGGTGAGGACGCCCATGGCTCTCATGTGAATGTCTGTCTTCGCAAGCTTCGTCCCCATCTGTTGATTCGTACCGTATTGTTATGCATGTTCGTGAGCCTGATCGCGCTCGCCGCTCTTTCCTGTCACATCGTTCGTGTCCGGTACTGATTTGATAGTTTCGAAGTGGCATCACGATGGAGTCAATTCGCTGACCTGTCTGAAGTTTCTTGACACACTTGCGGCAAAGACTTGGAGCTGATACGCGATTTGGAATCAAAGGATGCTCTTTGTGGTAGGCGTGCGAGCGCCGTTGGCCGCAACCAGAACAGTGGTGAGCGGCAAGGAATGTGACACTGGCTGGAAGGCCAATTGGCAGCTCTTCGAGCCCAGTGAGAGCTAGTGTTCCGCGATCAGGTGTAGTGTAAACTGCCTCTGGAGCAACTTGTGCTACTAGCCTGCCAGACATGCATTCGTTGTTAATAGCCTGTGAGGAACCCTGGACGGCTAATTAATGAATGTTCCGCCAATGCCGGAGAATGAAACATTACTTTTGCGTTCGTCGCGTAATGAGAAGAACTAATTAGTGGAGGAGGCGGCACGAAGTTGGAACTATGTCATGTCAGTAACGCCTGCTCTGACAAGTGACCTGATGTTTTTACTTAGGCCTAGGCGGTTCACTCAAGCGGACGAGAACAGTAGACTGGTCGTCGAAGCTGGGATGCGTGTCAGTCTTCCAGCTGAGTCAGCTGCTTTCGATGTCATTACCTTGAGGGGCTCGAATAAAACTGCTCCGGGCTGTCCTGTGTATGGAACGATGGTGGAGGCAGTAGCAGCGGCAACTTAGAGCGTTGCTCGCTACGGCCAGCGGATGACATGTTGACAAACCGTGGGCCACGAGCGCCGACACTGTAGTTGTTGGCAGGTTCGAGAAAGGAGGCGAAGAGTTAAGACTGCGGAAGGAGCTAAGTTGCTTGCGGAGGACGGAAAGACAAACTGAAGGGTGGGATCGGAACCGGGGACAGAGACGGAGACAGCCGGTGACGTGAGGGAGTCGATGGCAGAAGAGTCAGAGGAGTGGAAGCGGCGATAGCCGGTCGTAGTCGTGTTGGCGGAAAGAGCATGAGAACACTTCTCCTCTACAAGGTCGCACCGTCGTACCACCGCGCCTCTTCTCGTCCCCCCAGCATGCACACGCACCGCAATTGCATATGGAATCGCATACAGAACGAAGAAGAATGCAGAATAAATCTAGACGGCGAGTTGATACCTACGGTCTTCGCTACCTTGTAATTTCTTGAAATCCTGCGCGCAGCCGATTACGAAACGTCCTGGATCGTTTGCACGCTCTATCGTCCAACTAGATTCTTACTTGCCACTGAGCTTCATCGTCTCGAACTGCTGTATCGTTTTTTCATAGTTGCTCTGCTGCGCTTCAAATTCCGCTAACTTTTTACGCTCTTCCTCTTGCACGGCGCTGCTGACGTTTTCCTTGAACTCCGGGGCCTCGACGAGCTTCCTCTGCTTGTTGACACCATCGATAGCCTTCTTCAGTTTGCCTTGGGCCTTCTTAATCTCTTCTTGAAGGTTAATGTCTCCCTCCAACTTCAGAAAGACGGCGGCATCCGTCGAGACGGCATTCACGGCACAACCTGTTGGGGTCGACTCCGAGGAGGGAATCACGTCTATCGATTGCCAATTCTTACCCGAGAGCGACTTGATTGACAGCAATTCCTTTGTTATGGTGCTATGGGCATTCTCGTTCAGCGTCTGGATGATTAGCTTGCCCTTGTCCACGCGATACTCAGCGCAAAGGCTGCGAATTGCCTTTGCTGAGCCAAGCACAAGATCATATGCCAATTCTGACGCATCATCTTGTAGTTCTGGAACGAACTCTGGATAACGCGAGATCACGATAGACTCTTTATCGTCAGGCCGCCGTGGCAACCTCTGCCAAAGCTCCTCTGTGATGAACGGGAGGAAGGGGTGCATGAGTCGCAGCGCTGGCTCAAGCACATTGTAAAGCGTTGCAATGGCGGATGCTGCATCACTCGATGTGGGATCGCTTAGCAAAGCCTTGCTGTTCTCAATGAAGACGTCGCAGAGGTCGTCGTAGAAGAGAGAATAGATAATGTGGGTAGCTGTTGACTCTTTGAGCACATTGAAAATTTAAAAAAAGTAGGATCGAACTTACCCTTGGAGAACTCGCGGTTTGCAAGCGCCTCATTCGTTCGGGCCCAAGCTTTGGTTGATCTTGACAGAATCCATTTCTCGGCGAGGGATTCCTTCCCACTTTTCGCAATCGTCTTCGGTGGCTCAATTCCAGATGCTTTGAGCTTGTCGAATGAGCCAAGAACGAACTTGGTAGCCTGGTAGATCTTGTTACAGAAGCGCCTATAGCCGTCTGTGATTAAATAATGGTTAGCCTTCCCCTCCTTTCAGATTAAAAATGCCAAACACTTACGCATAACCTTGACATCAAACGCAATGTCACCGCCACCTGTAGTGTACTGGATCAACGAGAAGCGCAGAGCATCTGAGCCGCATTCGGGGATACCCTGCGGGAACGACGTCTTTTGATATTTCGTTGCTTTTTCGAGCTCCTTCGGATCGAGATTACCTGTCAGCAGCTTGGCATTGAGATCTGCTAACGAGATACCATCCATGATATCGACAGGATCGATGACATTGCCTAGGGACTTGCTCATTTTCCTTCCTTCAGAGTCTCTCACGAGCGAATGGCAGTAGACTTCCGAGAACGGAATCTTGCCCGTCATTTTCAAAGAGAGCATGATCATACGAGCAACCCAAAAGAAGAGAATGTCCCACCCGGTTTCGAGAAGTGACGTGGGAAACAGCTTCTCAAAATCCAGAGTCTTCTCTGGCCAACCCAGCGTCGAGAAAGGCCATAAACCGCTCGAAAACCACGTATCTAGAACATCTTCATCACGGACGAGGGTGAATTGTATTCCAGGAAATTGCTGCTCTGCCTTCTTTTGAGCCTCTTCTTCTGAGCGCGCCACAACCCAACCCTTCTCCTCGTTGTTGGACACCACCTTGTAAGCGGGTATCTGGAGATAGTCAGTTACAAAATACGGATGTCGGAGTCATCAGCGGTCTGAGAGACTTGATGTAGCGTTTGGATCAAGAAAACAATAATGATTACACGTATACTTGGTGAAAATAAAACTTTCACATCTCATTGAATCAAAATGTGCGCTTACTGTGAACAGGTTAACTTTCATTCACATTAAAATGTTTCGGAGCAGGCTACATACCCTGATGGCCCCACCATAGCTGACGCGAAAGGCACCAGTCGTTGACATTAGACATCCAGCGACGATAGCTATTGTTAGCAGTTTCGGGTCTAATGACGATTCGGCCATCTTCAACTGCTTTGAGAGCCTCTGATGCCATCTCATCCATTCTGCACCACCACTGTGGTTTGAGGATGGGCTCAATGATATCTAGACCCTATCCGTTAGACTATAACCCATCAAAATTTTGAAAGCTCAAACATACCCTTTGTTCGGCTACATAGGGGGATCATCATGGGGTTGTCCTTCGTCTCAACATACAAACCCTTCTCCTTGAGAGCATTCAGCACTGTATATCGTGCATCGAAGCGACGCTGACCGTCAAACTCCCCACCGTTCTTGATTCTACCATCATCTGTGAATATCGAAATCTGCTCGAGGTTATGACGCTTGCCAATTTCGAAATCGTTTGGATCATGCGCTGGAGTAATCTTGACGGCACCAGTACCGAAAGCAGCGTCCACGTGATCGTCGGCAACGATCTTCAACTTCCTACCCGGAATGAACGGATGTACGGCGTATTTGCCGACGAGATGTGCATATCGTTCGTCACCAGGGGCAACGGCAATACCTGTGTCACCAAGCATGGTCTCAATACGTGTTGTGGCGACCGAAATTGTCTCATCGCTTCCCTCTATTGGATACTTGAATGTGATGATCACACCGAATTCAACTTTCCGGTCATAGCCAGGGACGTCAAGTAGAGTCCTTCCTGTTAGTTCCTTGTTGTCCACTTCCAGATTGCTCATGGCTGTCTGAAGCTGGGTGCACCAATTTACAAGTCGCTCTGCACGGTAAATGTAGCCTTCTTCATGCAGCCTGCAGAAGGTCTCGGTCACTGCCTTCGAAAGATTCGCATCCATGGTAAAAGCTTCTCGCGACCAGTCGTAAGATCCACCCATCCTTTTGAGCACACGCACAATTCTTTCGTGGTAGTCACCCTTCCACGCCCAGATCTTTTCCAGAAGAGCCTGACGCCCCAGATCATGTCTCGTCTTTTTCTCTCTTCTCCAGAGAATATTTTCTACAACGCTCTGAGTTGAAATGCCCGCATGATCGCAACCAGGCAAGAAAAGGGTTGTCTTCTGCTGCATCCTGTTCCAGCGGATGAGGCAGTCTTGCAGACTATTCGCCAATGCATGACCAATATGAAGCGCACCAGTAACGTTTGGTGGAGGTATTGGGATAACGAAAGTACCATTTTCGATGTTGTTGAAGTCGGGCTTGAAGAAACCCTTTTCGTGCCACCAGTCACCCCACGCAGACTCGACGACGGATGGAATATACGCCTTGCGTTCAGGATCATCTAGAGACTTCAGAATTTTCTTTTGGCCCTTCGGAGTCTCTTCAACATAGTTGATGCGCGTTTCTTCTTCCGCCTTAGGTTTCTTCGCTTTCGCGGATGCAGTGGCCCCAGTCTCTTTCTGTTTGTTCGCCTGTGCCTTCTGCTTCTCTTCAAACTTCCTCAGTTTCTCTGCTTTTGCCTTTTCCCTTGCCAGCTCCTTGGCGGATTTCTCCTTCTTTTCTGGTTCTTGAGGATATTCCTGGCCCGGTGCAGACTGGCCTCCATGCTCGGCAGCAGCCTTCAGGATTGCGGACTTCGTGTCCTCGTCTACGGGCGGGGGAGCTCCTGACACCGGCCCTGTCTTTTCGCCAGTAGCGTTGTGCGATGCAGCATTGTACGCCATGTTTGTTAAACAACGAGTTGAAAGCCCTCGAATTGCAATCCCACAACAGGTGCGTCGGGGTGCGGTCGCAAGGCGCCCGAAAAGCGCCTTAGAGAGTATGGTGAGGAATTGACTCTGTCAAATCCTACAAAGTTGAATTTTGGGATGTACTTGTGCGCATATCCCACAGAACAATCAAGGCATGTGAGTCACCGGTACGATCAGAATAATTTAATGATGTTTGTAGTCTGAGTCGAAGCTTGGGCCACCCTCTCACAACGTTCTCTCCGACAGTGCGATTCCCCTTGGGTTCGGATTTCGAGGTTGTTTGCCATCCACAACTGCACAAAAGAGGCTCAATTGCACTTCTTTTACTGTACTATCGATCAACTAACAAAGTACAAGCATGGCAGGATAGCCAGAATCACACGTAATTGCGCCATCAATCGAAGATGCAGTGCTACAGCGAGGTAGTGCCTCCCACGGCAGTATCGCATTCGGTATCACTGCCTTTCCTCCACCCCAAAGCGAACAACCTTGTCGTCGCGAAGACGTCGCTTTTGCAGGTCTTTGAGATAAAGTCCATATCTACCGAGGTTAGTTCCAATGGGGTAGAAAACGGCGACAGTCTTGGGCAGGATCATGCGGACGATGTTGTTGATCTCGAACTTCATCGCATGGAAGACACGGCGAAATTGTCGCTCCTTTGCGAGTACCATCTGGCAGGGACAGTAACGGCATTAAAACGGGTCAAGATACTGAACACAAAATCTGGAGGCGAAGCACTACTCGTAGCCTTTAGAGACGCGAAGCTCAGCTTAGTAGAATGGGATCCAGAGTCGTACAAGATCTCTACTATATCGGTACATTACTATGAAGGCGAAGGCTTACAATCATGTCCCTGGTCACCGGATCTGGCCACCTGCCAGAATTTTTTGACGGTCGATCCATGCAGCAGGTGCGCGGCGCTCAAATTTGGCCAAAGGCAGCTAGCTATTCTCCCCTTTCGCCAGCTCGTTGACGACTTTGCTGAAGACTACGATCCCGAATTCGACGAGCCGGTCGAGAAGCCGAAAACAAATTTTGAGAAAAAAGACGGTGAAGCATCAGCTGTCAGCGAAACTCCTTACAAGTCGTCTTTTGTCCTGTCGCTGACAGCCTTGGATCCATCCTTAACGCACCCAGTACACCTTGCTTTCCTCCATGGCTTTCGCGACCCTACTTTTGGTATTCTATATTCTTCGCGGTCAGCATCTTTGGCATTGTTGAATGAGCGGAGAGATATACTCAGCTACACAGTCTTTAATCTGGACCTTGAACAACGTGCATCAACTTCCATTCTGTCCGTGAATGGCCTTCCTAACGATCTTTTCGAAGTCATTGCCTTACCATCGCCTGTTGGGGGAGCGCTCCTGGTTGGCAATAACGAGCTGGTGCATATTGACCAGGACGGCAAGGTCAACGCTCTCGCCGTAAACGAATTTGCTAGAGTCGTGTCGAAGTTCGCAATGGTTGATGGATCAAATCTAAGTCTTCGACTAGAGCATTGTACCGTGCAACAGATAGGCGAAACAGGTGACCTGCTAATGATACTGAACTCCGGCGATCTGGCGATCGTGTCTTTCGACTTAGAAGGTCGATCTGTTTCCGGTATTCAGGTCCACAAGGTCTCGTCCGATCGTGGTGGTTCCCTGCTTCCTGCTGGGGTGACATGTGCATCACCATTATCGAGGTCACGAATGTTCCTTGGGAGCCAAGATAGCGACGCTGTGGTCATGGGCTGGTCAAGTGTGCAGAAGCAGCCAACGTTAACTCGAAAACGGTCACATGCGGAAATGCTTGGCGAAGATCAAGACATGGATATTGATGATGCCTACGTCGATGACGAGGATGAGGATGATATCTACGGTGCCGATGACTCTGCGAAGCAGCATCGTCGCGGCTCCATTCAAGGCAATGTCAATCCCGCTGACTTGACCTTTAGAATACATGATAAGCTCCCTAATTATGCCCCCATAGGACCCATGACTCTCGGTCTACCGCCGAAATACAGTAAGACTATGCGAAAACCTGCTTCTTACGTGGAAATGGTCTACCCGTGCGGGCGCTCTTCTGCTGGGGGTTTGGCGATTCTCAATCGCGAGATCGATGCAGTCGTGCTTTCGAAACCAGACCTCCCAAGAACCAAATCTTTCTGGGCCGTAAGACCTCTTTATGATCTCACTGCTAGTGCAGAATTTCACGAGTACGTGGTTGCCGTGCAGACATCTGAAGACGGTGATGATCGCTCTGTTCTCTACAAAATCACACCATCTGGCCTTGAGAAGTGTGAGAAGGACGAATTTGAGCCTGAAGCTGGCGCTACCGTCGAGATGGGCACACTTGCAGGTGGCAAGAAGATCTTACAGGTGCTCAGGGATCAAGTTAAGGTGTACGACGAAAGTAAGTATTTCACCATCCTTCTTCATTAACCACTAGCGGTTGTAGCGTCAAATTCTGCTCTTGTAGCATGTAAGAAGATCAGAAAGGAGGCACAGCTGAACTCTTCTGCCATCTGGAGTACGCAAATGCTGCTTCGATATATTCGTACACACACGGCAAATTGTGCATCCTTCCTGCACATGTCACTTTCCTCATATAGCACAATACAATATCATTACTCAACATGGTCTTTTTCTGCTTGTTTGATATCCCTCACTTTCAGTTCACTCAATATGCGGTATCTCCACAACATATGCTGATATCTATGTTCCCAGATTTCAATCTCGAACAAATCATTCCAGCCTCGGGAGAGGCTATAGACGTTGAGCTGGAATTTATTGGTGCGTCTTTTTGTGATCCATATGTGTCGTTACTACGTAACGACTCTAGCATCACCGTTCTACAGTCGACAAGTACGGAGCTCGAAGAGTTGGAACGGAAAGATGCCATTCTTGCTGCTGAATGGCTGTCGGCAAGCGTGTACCGGCCACCAGGAAGTGATAAGCCACTACTTTTTGCCCTTACTTCGGAATGTGCATTGCGCATTTTTGAGCTGCCCGATTTAAGCACAGCTGCATGCTCGTTCGAAGGTTTTGGATTTCTACCGCCTACACTATCATCGGACTTCGTTCAAAGGCGTACAGCAGGCAAGGAGGCGCTTACTGAGATCATTGTTGCAGATATCGGTGATGAAATATCAAAGTCAACCTATTTAGTTGCTCGGACCAAGAATGATGACTTGGTCCTCTACGCGCCATTCAAGCATCCACACGATTCGCAAATGCAAACTTCTTTCACGTCACATTTGCGATGGCGGAAAGTTTTACAGCCAAATTTGGCGAAATATACAGAGGAACCAGATACCGAAAAGGCGACATCAGAACGTGAGACGATGCTGCGACGACTGGAAAATGTTGGCGGTTATAGTACTGTATTCCAGACGGGTGCATCGCCGTGCTTTGTGCTCAAGGAAGCGTCTAGTTCACCACGAGTTGTGCCATTTCGAGAGAAAGCTGTTAAAAGCTTGAGTCGTTTTCATACGGCCGACTGCGACCATGGATTCGCCTATGTTGATGCTGATGGTACTATTCGAATCTCGCAATTACCATCCTCCTGCCGTTATGGTGACACGGGCTGGGTGACAAGGAAGATCGAGCTGAGGGAGGAAATTCAAAGGATATCATACTTTGCACCGAAGCAATTGTACTGTGTGGCTAGCACAGAGAAAGTGATGTTCAAGCTGCCAGAGGACGACTATCACTATGAGTGGGCAAAGGAAGACACTGCATTTCTGCCCACTGTTGACCAAGCAGCGATCAAATTGTACTACCCGAACAATTGGTCTGTTATTGACATGTATCAGCTCGAGCCCGCCGAAGTCGTGTTGGCAATGAGGATCATAGATCTCGAAGTGTCAGAGCACACACATGCTCGAAAATCGCTGCTTTGCGTTGGCACTGCAATCATCCATGGCGAAGACTTGGCGACGAAAGGCAACGTGTATATCTTTGAGATCAACACTGTAGTTCCGGAGCCAGAAAGGCCTGAAACCGGTTCAAAATTCAAGCTCATTGTGAAAGAAGAAGTGAGAGGCGCGGTAACTGCCATTACAGAGATTGGTGATGAAGGCTTTTTGCTTCATGCGCAAGGTCAAAAGGCAATGGTCCGAGGCCTGAAGGAAGACAACACCTTGCTCCCGGTTGCATTTATGGATATGCAAACATATGTCACAGTCGCAAAATCCCTGAAAGGCACTGGAATGGCTCTCATGGGAGACATATTGAAGGGACTGTGGTTTGTTGGATATACTGTAGGTCTTCCAAAATCGCTCGGTTTGATAATTCGTTGACATCATTTTCAGCAAGAACCATATCGTATAACTCTATTTGGCAAATCCAAGCAACGAATTGAAGTTGTCGATGCGGACTTCCTGCCGTTCGAGAAACACCTCTACTTTATTGTTGCTGATGGGGATGAGAATATTCAAGTCTTAGAATATGACAACGAAGGTATGCTATCTTTCTTGTAATGAGCTGAATATTCTATGTGCTGACGTAAGGCTAGATCCAAGATCTCTCGGTGGCCAACGACTTGTCAACAAAGCCGCGTTTCACACGGGACACTTCCCAGTCTCTCTGCACCTTCTTCCCTCCAGCCTTAGAACCGAATCGCAGCAATCGATCAGCAATGGCGATATGAATGGCCGTACAGAACCAACAAGCCGACTGAATCAAGTTCTCCTTCTGACGCAAACTGGCGCTGTAGCACTCATCAGTCCGATAGACGAGCAGACCTATCGCCGCCTGGGAGCGCTCCATACATATCTTGTAAACCAGATAGACCTTGCGTGTGGCCTGAACCCAAGAGCGTATAGGGCAGTTGAAGGGGCCCTGCGAGGACTTATTGATGGCAGTCTATTGAGGAGATGGACTGAGCTTCCAAGCTCTCGGCAGCAGGAAGCATGCGCAAAGATAGGTGTCGAAGAATGGGTTTTGAGGAACGATCTTGAGACTATTGGAGGTGCTGGATTAGGCTATCTGTGAGAATTGCTAGTGCTTTGAATATCCTAATCCACAACGACCTCTTGTCATCGAGACCAGTTAATTGTAGGAAAGTTTGAGGTGTAGAAGCCCACGATGTCTTCAACCACATTCAATATGAGCTATTTGTGCTCTCTTCATCCGCCCAAGGACCCTTATTGCCCCAATGCCTCATCTTGTTTGCCCTCAGCCGCTTGCGCACGTCATCTGCTAGTTTCCATTCTTCATCATCCCATACCTCGGGGTTTGGCTCCCACGTAGCAACAATCGCGAGGATCTCTGCCAACACAGCATCGGCCCTCTGCATCTTTTTAAACACGAGTGGTCTGTCTGGACCGCGCACGTCACGCATGCGGAAAATCTCCATGTCAAGCTCATACCGAGTACGAATCAGCTCACGCAGATTCCGCAACGCCTCGGGAGAGGTCGTTCGACGTCTTTCCTGTATCGCATGCTCGTGTTCGAATTGGGTTTTCATTTGCAGCAAGCGCTTTGCCTCGGCCTCTTCCTCGATTTTGCGAACTCGTTCTTCCTCCTCCTGTTGCTTCCTGAGCGCTTCACGCCTCATCTCCATCGCTTCTCGCTCTCGGCGTTCGTTGTCGGCTTGCATTTTCGCCATTTGCTGTCTTTGTTGATCGAGGGCAATTTGCAGCTGACGCTGTGCCTCTTTATGCTCCTCTTGAAGAGCAGCGAGCCTAGCTCTCTCTGCTTCCCTTTTGCTGCTTCGGAACATGTTGCTGAACTTTTTCTTTTCGGGAATCGAAGGCTGGTACAGGGTCTTGGATGCTAATGACTCTCCGCCTGTTGGAGGCACGAAACTACCCACTCGTCCGCTTCGAGCTCGCGAAAATTCTTCAGGAGTTTTTGGGGAATCAGAGCTCAAAGCGCTGCGAGGTGTAGTTGAGTTTGCGAAATCAAAAGAGGATCGAGCATCTGCCATGACGGAATGAAAAATATACTAGGGACTTCCATGGATGCCCGCTTCTTCCATTCCCTGACCATGAAATGCTCACCTTGAGAGGGCCTTATTCTGTCCACTTTCTCTTCCATCAGGCTGAGGTGGCGAAGCAGTGCCTTCGATCCAGACAGTCGCGGCAAGACCCGTTCCTCAGCCTGATCCTATGCATGTGGGCTTTCTTGGCCCCTACAGCACTTCAATTAAAACGTTTGATTAGCGTGCATATAGTTTACCTAAATCTGTCGCTAAAATACGAGGCCGTGCGAGCGATTATTGTGAAGGACGAACCTGGGTTAGAGTTACATTTCTCATAATGAGATCACTTGATCATAGCCTAGTCGAGCTGAACCGTACAGCCGTTTTCGTGCCTTGAACCTGTGATCTTCGATACCGTCAACTCAAGTGTCTGCGTCGTGATCTTCTTTAATCGACTCGTCGTTTTTTTTTTCACACCCTTTCTTGGCCGCGGTTTTCGATCCAAAATTGTGGTATGAAGCTGGAAACTTCGCCGCCAGTCTCGCTAAGTACAGTGAGCCAGCCGCAACCCCCAACCATAATATATACATCCCTTTTCCATCAGCATGCAGCTGTTTCACAGAGCTGGATTACAAATTCAATTAGCAGTTGCGAATAACGGAACTTTTGCTTATTAGATTCAGATTGTACAAACTCTAAAGCTGAATAATCATGCACGAATTCGCAACTACGGTAGATCAGTTTGAGTTAGAGTAATGTGGAAAAGCTTCTGGCGAAGATCGCTGAGGTCTACTCCTATCACTGTTACAGATTATTTGTAGTGTCCAGATGTTCACTAATTGTCCGCTTAATCAGAAATAGAGTAATCGTCATCGTCATCACCTGCTTCGTCATCTCTTTCATACTCCGTGAGATGCTCCTTCATGACCCTGCTAGCTGCTCCAACGACTTTACCTCTAAATACCAGTTGAACTTCTAAAACATGATTGATTGTGTAGGTCATCTTGCACATTGTATCTGCCGTCCAGTACGGTCTCCCATTGTTGTGGGTCTTGTGCATGACTTCAAGCGGAATACTGCTCATATCTACATCAATCTGGAGGACAGTTCGCAGCTCTAAAACTTTCATTAGCACTGTCCAGAACATCTCTTGAGTCGTGTAAATACCCTTTCGTGTGTTATGATAGCTTTTGGGCAGCTTCACTCTGGGGTTCTCATGATCCCATTCGTAGACCTCAAATTTCCATTTCCTCGACTGTGTTTGGGAGAACGTAAAGGGACAGTTTTTCACCTGCGATCTCGCTTCCTTGTGATCGAGTAAATCGCCCTTGAGAATAAGCCAATGCAGTTGGCCAAGGGCCATGACACGGCTGGTTGATTCTTCAAGGAACCTGTCGTCCCAGTTATCGTGAATTCCCGAGAAGTCCTCGTTTAGGCAAATGCCATAGTTTTTCGGGCAAGATTGCAGTGGTTTTAATTCACCCATGTGTTCAACACCCGTTATTACAGCTCCTCGCACAACAGCCGTCCATCTACGTGGAATTAGATATGTTAAATAACAAGAAGAAAAACGTACGATTCCTGCGGTCGATGAAGAGTAATATCTCTATAACCCATCGACCTCTTCATCTCCTTTTGCAGGTATTCAGATTCCGCAAAACCTCCTACCATGACAATATTCTTCGAAATGTTAGCACAAATAAAAACGGTGGATCTCACATTTAAAAACGTACGGTAACCCTTTTCCCTTCCAGTTCGGCTTGAAGAACTTGGTCTCGAACCAGAGACAAAACGCCGTCGACACAATCGTCGAAGAAAGCCTTCATTTGCTTCCTTGGCAAACTGTCAGAGCATGTCTAGCAATAATTCTTGCCCACTCACTGAGAAATGATTACTTCGCCCGCGACAATCGCATTTCCAGAATTAAAATCTTTTAGGGCTTCTGGAAGTCTGAACCTAACCTCCCTTTGCCCAGATCCAAAAGCCTTCTTGAACCCCTCGAACTCTGCCATGATTGAACGCATATTCTGACCTTCTGTCATTTGAGCATTGATTCTACCCTTGAGAGACTTTGGATCCAAGAGTCTCCAATGCTTCCCGAGGTGAGCTCGAAGCCATTCCTTGAATTTGGCATCAATATAGATCGATCCGCACTTCTTGCATGTAGGATGGCCAATCTGCTCCAACTCAAGCTTTGGTGAGATGCTAACTACGCGGTATGAAACAACATCCACTGTCCCACCTCCTGCGTCGCATAGGACGAATGAGTCATCTTCTGTTAGGACGTCAATATGATCCTCCTTCAGCCAGCGAATAGCATATAAAGCGGCAGCTTCTGGTTCAGTCACCATGAAGACCTTTTTCATGTTGCGAAAATTCTTTTGATTAAACCCTGCGTTTATAACAGCACGATAGGTGGAGTTCTTGGCTTTCGGAGACCAATCCTACGGTTATGTCAGCCCACGAGAAGAAGAAATGATGCATGCGAACGCATACTGCCGGGACGGTGATCACTAGCTCCGTCGGAACTTCCTCCCTCAGCGCGTTTCCCATTCCAGGATATGCTCTGTCCAGATACTCGGAGAAAGCTTTAAAAACTTTTGCCAGGTAATCCGTCACAATCTGCTCCGAGCTCTTCCAACTAAAGCCAGGATGCCCTCTGCATCTTTTCACATTGGCATATGAAAGGTTCTTCATTCCTTCAAGAGCATGAACCAAAGATTCAAGCTCGGCCAATTTAGTGTCTTGCACATCCAGCTCCAGCTTGCTGTTCACCATTGCAACCGCATTAGGGCTCAAGTCACGTCCAAATTGACGCTCTTTCCTTGACTTGTTTAAGGAGGGCTCCGAATACGAATTGACACTGGGAATTTTGTTGTCGTTGTTCATGGCATAACCGTAATTTGTCATGAGGTGAACCTCTTCGAGTTTACCTATAGTCTCACCAGGCGGCGTTGCGAAGGCAATCCCTGTATATAACTTTAGATACACTTAGCTACGTCGTATCTAGCTTACCAGAATATGTAGTTCCGAAATCAACACCAATAACCAAGCGACGACCCTCGAATGAGAAATTCGCCGGAAATTTTGCACTCGGGAATGAAATTTTGCTCGCGAAGCGTCTGTCATATTGCATTGGAGCATCAAGTTCTGGGTTATATGCCGGCTCGTCTTCGTCCAGCTGATTCTCAACAAGGAAATCATCGTGGCTATCACCAAAAGAGCCATTGAGATTACTCGATGGTGAGCGAGGATAGTTGTGGGCTCCAGCTCCTATGGCGTATTGAGTCGTCGGTGAGGCTGCCCGGGACCTGTTGATGTTCGACAATCGAGACGCTGTCTCGTAGGCAAGCTCAGTGGACAGGGACCGGGGAGAGGTCGCACGATGTGCTGGAACAAATTCATCGTCGTATGATGGTTCGGAAGCCATGACTACAGCTTGGGATTGAATCTAGATGGCTTGCGAAGTCTTCACGTTGAATACTGACTGAGGAACTGTTCTACTATGGAGGGAATTGGCCCTCAGCCTTGTCCTGTGGGGCGCCGGACAAAGCCTGCCGTGTGCATCTTAAGCTTGGCGCCAGCAGCCAGCCTGACGATCGCACAGGTCTTCGTTGTCAGCTGAGCTGTTCCGCAATCGAAGAACGAGGGTTCCAGCCTGATGAAGGTGCGTTGTGGGGGCGCAGCGCATGTGCTATGCTTTGTTCATATTGCGAACCCAGCATTGCATCTGGCTTCGGCTGAGCAAACTTCATCAGGCTGAGTTCTGAAACGTCTGAACAAGTCGACCCCCATGGTCTCAGTCCTTAGTGTCAACATTCCTTTCTCCCTTGAAACACATATTCTTTCATGGATAGCAGGAAACAGCGTGGAAAAAAGATATTCAGGTCGTCCAAAAGAATGCATGCCCTTCGCAATGCGCTCAAGGGAGGTGGCCGTTCCGCACACGAGGAGTCTCCTGGAGAGAATATGCGCGTCATGAACTACGAGTATACGATTGCAGACATTCGGCAGCTCATTTTAAATTGTTTAGATCGAGATCAGCGAAGGAGGTTAATTCTACGCGAAAGGAATTGGAAATCTGTTCCTACTCGAATATTGGTCGACTTTTTTTTAAGGGAATATCAACTTGAGAAGTTCGGGGACTCGGACATACATGACGTGCTTGCAGACACTTGGGAGGAGGATTCTGAGCAGGGACCGCAAGCACGATTGAGGAAAACAAAGCAGAAAAATGTCTCCAGAGACGAACAAGAGTGGAGATCTGAGGAGAGCGAGGACATCTTAATTCGCGAATTGAATTTGCAAATACGCAGAATGAGCATGGAGCTTAAGAACGAGAAGCATAATGCTCAAGTAGCAAGCGAGAAGTACGACCTCAAACTTAAAGAATTAAACTCAAGGTACAACGAGAACTTCGAACAGTGGAGATTGCATGCCGAGGGTCTGAACAAAACCCACAAGAGGGCTATAGAATCTCTCGAAGAAGAGCACAGGAAAGCTATACAAAATTGGGAGCACAATGTAGAGGTTTTGGTTGAAGAGCACGAGGATGAAGTGAAATCAAAGGAGCAGGAGATTCACAAGCTGCGTCAAGAGCATGATCTTCTTGAGGCAAAGTTGGAATCAACCGAAGACGGGCATAGATTAGAACTAGAAAGGAGAGAGAATCAGTGGAATGAGGAAATCGAACGGCTGAGCGCAAGACATGAAGAGGAAAAGAAACATATAATTGAGAAAAACAACGAGTACGTGGCGAAATTAGATCTACTACTGGAGCAGAAAAATCAGGACATAGTCGACCAGCAGCAAAAACACGATGCTGAGATGGCAAGGCTGAAAGAGAAGCATCAACAGGCCCTGGAAGCATCGACGGCAGAGCTGAGACAGAAAATTAGTTCTCAGAATGCCATTCTTTTCGCTAGAGACAGCTTCACCCCGATCTCTGATCGCGATTTGAAGGCAAAGTTTTTGGCCTTGAGGTTTGATGTCGCGCATCTCGCAAGACAGCCATGGAAGCCGGACCATCCAGTGTGGACCAGAAAGGTGCTAACTTCGATCACCACCAATCCTGACAGAACGAAGGAGCAACTACTTCGGGACAAACTCTGGTGGATTCTCCACGATCGCATCTTTTGCTCACCATTTCGCATGTTTGGTGAAGAAGGTCGGAAGCTTGAGGGGGACTGGATTAAAGCATGCGATGAAGGTACGTTGGTGCCAGGGGTTGGAAAAAAACTTCTCGACATTGCAACTAAGCTCTTGATAGACCCCAAGCTACGAACTGGAGACTTTACATGGCCAAAACCAAGCTACAAGGCCGAAAAGTTCCGATACGAGGCCATCAAGCAATGCCACACGGCTTTGCGAGAACCGGCTTCACACCTCGATCCGCGCGCTCGGGTGAAAATAGGGTTCAAGGAGTCTAAGGACGGTCTCTACAAGGCCATTAAAACGCTTATGAATGACGTGACCAAGTTGGATGAAGCCATGATCGCGGACATCGAAAAGCTTGTCAAGAAAGCGATCAACATGTGGTTGGAATTCGAGGTGCAGCGATGCAGGTTGATGGTCATCTTGCCCGTCGCGAAGATCAGTTCCGAGCGGGAGATGATCCAGCTTGCGGTTCAAAAGCAGCTCGAACTGAACTCACAGCCTGGTTTGATTAGGTTTGGCGATGACGAGGGTGAGGATCTAGACGTAGATCAGCCGGTGGAGAACTGTACAGAGGAAAAAGTCCTTGTGTCGTAGAGGGCACGGTGATGTTCTGTTCGTTGAATACGAGGAGAGTGTGCCGGGCATTTCTCACATCAGAGCGAGGCAAACTTGAATATGGGTCTGCGTTCTCTGTTGTTCTGGTTTCGTCATCCCCCTCGGCGCGAGCTGTAAGAAACGTGCACGCAGTAGAATCAAAAGGAAAACAGCCACCAAGCGTTGCCACAGCTGCAGCTAAGGCTACGGAACTGATGCTACATGTTCAGGACATTCGAGACTCCGTAGGTCACAATGTCTTCAAGTGTGATTCGGGTCTGTGATCATCCACGTTGCGGACCGCAAGCGCAAGTCGACCCGCTTTCGGCGACGGCATCATGTGCGAGGCTCAGCTTCACAGCGCAGGCCGATCACATCCTCAACAAAATCCACCAAGGCTCCAGTTGCTTGCGCGCGGTCCTCGTCGCTGCCTTGGGGACCTCCGCTTATCCTTAAATACGCTTTGCGACGTCCACGGTGCATCTTGCGTTCTTTCACCTTGGACACACGACCACCCCAGCTCCCCTGGCCTCCCTTCGGCTGTACCTTCAAGGACGCGCCGCGCAGCAGCTATGTTAGATCCCTTCCCAGCCGTTCCCCAGTGGGCCTCAAAGGCGACGGTGCCGCTGGCGGATTATTTCGCACTGCCTACACTCCCGCTACACATTCATGAGGTGATCGGCGCCGCTCTCTTCTACTACTTCGTCCAGACTCGAGTGTCGCCATGGTTGTCCCCCAAACTCTCACCCAAGCACTATCCGAACCTCAACCCAAGGACGAAGCTGAACTGGGATGTGCATGTGGTATCACTCGTGCAGTCAGTTCTGGTCTGCGCTATAGCTGTGTACGTCATGCTCTATGATGACGAGAGGAGGAATATGAATACGGAGGAGAGGGTTTGGGGATACACTGGCGGTACCGGCTTGGTAGAAGCCATGGGACTCGGATACTTTGTATACGATCTGTGGATCACCGTGCAGAACATCGGTATGTTCGGTATTGGCATGCTGTTCCATGCCATCTCTGCCTTGACCGTCTTCAGCTTTGGCTTCGTACGTTACACTCGTTTCCCTTTTTTTTTGGCGATGAATGACGATTGCATAGAGACCATTTGTGAACTACTATGCGCCGGACTTCATCCTTTACGAGCTTTCTTCGCCCTTTCTCAACATTCACTGGTTCTGCGATAAGCTTGACATGACCGGGTCGACCGTCCAGCTCATCAATGGCATATTTCTCATCACAACATTCATAAGCTGCCGCCTCGTCTGGGGCACCTATGCCAGCTACCGCGTCTTCCGAGATGTGATCGCAGCCTACAGGGGAACGATACCCGCCACTGAAGGAGCTAGTAGCCTGGAGCTTATGCGCTACGCTGGCAAGAAGGAGGCGCCGCTGTGGTTATGCTTTACGTACGCTGCCAGTAACGTTACCCTCAATTCTCTGAACTGGTATTGGATCAACAAAATGATCGCCACGATCAGAAAGAGATTTGATCCTCCCTTCGGCACAAGGAAACCGGAGGAAAAACCGAAGGCCGACTACGATGTTGCTAGAGGCGTATATGCTGATGGCACAAAGACAGTCGAGGTGGATGCTACGCTTAGAAGACGTCCGACGGTACAGAGGAACCTCACAGAACTTCCTGTAGCATAGAGCATAACATGTGAAGGAAATCATCTGGATTAAGAGTCTAGAAGTGTCTGAGAAGCATATAGTCTTATGGTAGGCATGTTAAACTTATTTGCTGTTCAAGCGCGCTGAAGGTTCGGGAATAATGTTCGCTCTATTTGTGATTGAATATAAATTGAATTACAGAAGAATCCATTGTGATACAAGCTTCATTCTACGTCCCATTGGAAAATTCACGGGAATGGTTAGAATCATTTTCGCAAGTTGCAGCGACTGCGTAGAACGGACCGAGAAGACGGACATTTTTGCGCTGCTTAAGCTCCACCATCGTCTGAATAGCCGAAGTTTTCGCGAACATTGTATACGCAAGATTTCTGGATGCGCTCAATACCCTAGCATCCAGACGATTTGTTCAAAGGCAATGTCAGCATGGATTTGTGAGGATGGCCGGGAGCTTTTATGCCGAAATCGTGTATGTGATCCTGCCAATGCAATTAAGAAGCCATAGCTCCATGTCCACAAACGACGCACTAGTACGTTAATTCATCCCCAGGTCAAGACTAAGTTCGACCCATGTTTCGTGTCTTTTGTCCACCTTTGCCGAAAGCATCACCTTGTTCCTGCTCGTTTGACTGGTATTACGTCTCGAGTAATCAAATTGTATCCCTCCATATCTTAGCATCCTTGTCAGGAGCTGGTTTCAACGTTCTCTTCATGGTTTGATTGATCAAGAATATACCGGTTTTGGTGAGAATCTATTATTATGGCGGTTTTGGTGAGAATCTATTATTATGAGGTTCTGGTTGTGCGGCGGGCCTGTAACAGATGCATTATTGTCCTTAGGTATGTTTGCGAATAATATCCATGCCTCCGCCGAGCTGTTTGTGTCTAGGAGACATGCTATAGCTTCGAAGATGAGGACCTTTCTCAACCAAGAACTCTCCATTGCGACACTCAACTGATGTCTGATGCCCGAGATGACCGCAACTCATTGTATTAAGTCATCCGTTAAGCTTTGTTGCATTGTCACCGAGCATTCTTGCAACAACTTGGGCCTCCTGGCACAAATTTCCAGCAATTTTGAGATGGTATAATATCTCGGCTAGCTCAATGGTGTGTTCTGATTTCGCTTGTGGTTCAACTCGAAGCATCAGATATTCGAGCTGCGACACAACAGTATGAAGGATGCTGTTAAAACGCACATGTGCAGGCCTAGGGTCTTCTACTGACGGAACCTCCCATAATTCGCTCTTTATGGTACCCTTGGAATTAGATGCTAGAGCTTTTGTGATAGCAGGAAATTTCTTCTTGCCAGATCCAGCTGAAGAGGTATCGTGCACTGCTTGAGGTTTCGACCGTGACATCACACCTTGTGGTGACGTGGTGACAGCTGGTGGCAGCTTCTGAGGTAGATGTGTGATATTTGGAGGAGGAGGAGGAGGCCGTGGTTGGGTGTCATAGACCATAGCATATGGAAGCGGCCGGTGCTGATCAAATGGAGTTAATTTCTGCGCACAATGTGGCATAGTGATCACTACTCGTTCGCCAATGCCACAAATAGAGGGTGCTGGGGGCACCACGTCTATCTTCTGAGACCCTGCGGATTGTGTTTGATTTTGTCCCATCAAATGAGGGTGGCAGGTGCCAGATACACTATTTGAGCAATTCAAATCATGAGGAAAGAAATGGTCGGGCAAGTTCTGCTGTGCAGAAATACCAGCTTCACTCATCTGGAAAGGCTGCTGATGTTCAGCTTGTTTCTCAGTAACGCGAGTAGTAAAATCGTTGCCGTTATGAAATTGTACCGATCTGTCTTGGGTTTGATTGCGAGGTCCATGAATTTCATTGCATGACAACAAATGACGGTTGCTGCGATGTGGAGTGATGGGATTATCAGCACGAACTGGTCTGCGCTCATGAGACTTGCTGTCCTTTTCACAATCGCTCTTATCTCTACCAGGCTTGCATGTATACATTTTGATATGATAATTCTCGGTCGTGTGCTCGTTTGGTTGAGCGAGTGGCGGCGGAGGACGGTTGACGTCAGACTTCTTAAATCTGCTGTAGCTCTTCCTTTTGCTTCTTCCTGGGCCGTTACCGTCTCCAGAAAAGTTGTTTTGCACATTTCGTGATTCACGTGGAATACCGTATGGTTGAACTCTTTGGACATCTTGTGTGCTGGCTATGACCTTGATGTTTTCTCGAGCCTGAATTTCGAAGGACTGGGTGTCATTTCCGTTGACCTCGTCAAAATTCTTCGCGAGAATGGTGCCAGGTGTACTATTTTCTCTCTGATTATAAGGCATTTCGCGTGTTCTAGGATTGTGAATGGAAGTCAGCGACTTGCTTGACATATCAGGGCATGAAAGAGAACCCTATACAAATGTAGCGCACCTCAAGTCCTGGCAGGCTTATAGAGGAAGTATGTAGCCGACTTCCTAGCGTTACAAGGCTTGCGTTTTAGGCTGCTAGTTGGTGAGCAGTTGCAAAAGCTTAACCAACTTTCATTGAATCTTCGATTCGGTGCAGTTAAGTAATCAACCTGTTTTCAACGAAGTCAGCCAAATGTCAGATGAGCAGTTCAAAATTGAATTTGAACAGAGCCAGTCGCGGAAATTAAGTTTGGTGAGTTACGGGGTCCATGAGAATGTACTTATGGTGTTGCACGGGCAACCGACGGGTAGATGAAATGAGCGCAAACGCATTATGGGTGACTAACTACCGAGCGTTGGTAACTTAAACAAGATATTTCCGGGTGTCGAAATGATCCCGAATGCCTGCTGCTGACTAACTGAAAACGTCGATGAGCCTTTGGTGGCAGATCATATTGATAAAGAGCAGCTCGAGTCAACTTGTTGGACAAGAGCGATCCTAGAGGTTAGGATAGAAGAATTGAATCGCCTTCATCATCCCTTTTCAGAAGACATCTCGACTGCTTGTTTCAAGTCCACCCAAACGGAGGTCGCCTGATAGAAGATGTTCAATCACTGAATCCTCCAAACTCTTCATCCTTAGCATTTGATTGCCGAACCTGCGCAATCATCTTCTGAAGCTCCTCTTTATCTTTAATTTCCTGCTCAGTCATTTTCTTTGCCCTCTCCGCTTCTTTTCTTGCGTGTCTCTTCTCTCTTTTCACTTCCCTCGCCGCCTTCTGCTCTTTCTTCGCACTCCAAGCCTCCGTTTTCTGCCTTTTGTTGTCTTGCGTCGGCTTTTCTACTCCATGTGCTACTGCCTCAAGTTGTTCTAGCCTATGCTTTTCTCGCTGTTTATCTTTATATCCATAAGTTTCAAAGTTGATATCTAGACCTAATCGCCTGTCGCCTTGCCACTTCTTCAGTTCTGGCATGGATGGTAACCGTAGCAGACCCCATGCACTGGCCAGAGCCGCCCAGTCTAGATCGGCAACTCGGAATATACTGCTTGCCTGATGTTTGCTGTATGCTTTGACCCAGCTTGGGAAAGCTCGCTGAGCGAGATCATGGAGTGCTCTGTCCTCAAGCACCATCTTTCTAATCATGCCCGTAGCGTTCTGGGCTTCTTCTTCGGTCACACTTATTTGTGGCTCAGTTAGGAGTTGCACGGGTGTCTTTCTCACTCGCAAGAAGTCGACGTATTCCTCTTGTCTTCCAGGGGTCAGCATAATGACTGCAAGACCCTTCCTGCCAGCTCTACCTGCGCGGCCACATCGATGCAGAAAATCCTTTGGATCAGTGGGTGGATCTAATTGAATGATTAAATCAACTGCGGCAATATCAAGTCCTCTTGCTGCGACTTCCGTTGTGAGTAGGAGTGAGGACTCTATTGAGTTAACAAAGCGAGAAAAATTCTTCTCTCGAACGTTAGGCTGATGCTTTCCATGAAGAGGTATAACGGTCGTCTTCGGGAGAAGCAAGCGCAGTACGTGTTGTAGATAATCCACTGTTGCGCCTGTGGACACAAAAGCGATTGTCTTTTGCGGATGTAAACGATCGATCAAATGTGACATGGCTGGTAGTTTATGCGTCGGTTGTGTAAGGAGGTAGCTCATCTGCAGACTGACGGGTGTTCGCTGATCTCCTTTTACTTTAACGTGGATTCGCACAGGGTTACGAAGACCAACTCGAACGAGCTGTTCGACAGCTTCACTCATACTGGCACTGAACAGACCTGTCCTGCGCTGCTTTGGTAATCTCTGAAGGATCTTCTGAAGTTCGTCTTTGAATCCCAGATCTAGCAAACGATCGGCTTCGTCCAAGACTAGTACCTCGAAAGAAGATTGAGGACAGTGCACATAAGGCGATGAGAGAAGTTCTAACAGCCTGCCAGGAGTAGCTACGAGGAGGTTCGGAGAAGTCTTCAAGAAAGTGCTCAAATCCTGCGCTGGAGTTGTTTTGCCTCCAAGCAGAAGCTGAGGAACTACCTTAAGCTCCTTTGGATCAATACTTTTAGTTTCTCCAGTCTCCTGGTCAGGAGGTTTTAGAGCTGCTGCCGAGGGTGGGTGAAATTGGAGCAGCCCTTGTAGAACTGTGTATATCTGCTGTCCAAGTTCTCTGGTCACAAGTCAATAATATACAACTTCAGAATACATGCTGACCAACCTCGTCGGTGATATCACAATGGCCCCAACGTGATGTCGTTTGATAGGATCGGATAATCTGAGCAACTTCTCCACCACTGGGATCAGAAAGGCAAGCGTCTTTCCGCTACCCGTAACAGCCTTTTCTGCAGGTCAGAAAGCAGCACGTGTTATAGTGAAGCAGGACTTGCCTCCACAACAACATCCTTGTTGCCCATGAAGAGGGGGATGCAGTTCGCCTGCACAGGCGTCATCTTCTGAAAGCCCATGCTCGAGATAGCATCGAGAACCCATTCTGACAGCGGCGGCGTCAGCGCATCCCACGCTCTTGTGACCTCCTTGCGCTCCGGCGCCATTGGAATGCACGCATTCACAATGAAGAGCAATGGGGCAGCCTCTAACAAAAAAAATTTCACACAATGATTTTTTCAAGGATTGTCTAGGACGTTCAGAAAAGTTTCTGGTGATTCAATCTGTCGACCAATCAGAGGCCTGCATGCCTGGCAATTGCGCATGCGATCGCGAACCAAGAATTGGTTCTTCTGCTCCCGGAACCTCCGAAAGTTGAGAACGACGTACATTTCTTAGCCTCGTTGTACTCTGTGATAAGGATGACACGTACTTCGTGGTTTCGCATTCGATCAAGTGAATCGACCTAATCCCTCACTTTAACCATTTCCGCCTTTCGCTCGATTTCTAACCTGCCGCATCGAAGCAACACCTGCACTAGTGACAGACTTCGACTCTCCTTCCCTCTCCCAAAGCCTCTTGAATTTTCTGTCGCGACCGGCGTGACAACTTTCAGCAATTTATTCACACTTATAGCATCATGTCGCACCTTCCGAGCACTCCGAGAGTAATCTCACCGTCGCCGACGGCGTCAGACATGGGCTCGAGGGACAGCTACTTTGGGCCGATAACACGATCGGTCACGCGGCGAAGTCGAGGTGCCACACCAGGCACCATAGCAGAGAATGCTAGGGAAAGCCCTGATCCGGAGACAAGAGCGAGGACACGAAGCCGAAGCCCGGTGTCACAGAGCACGGTGGCATCTTTGACTTCTTCTGGCAAGGCAACAGCTAGAAAGACTGCCAAAACAAAGACAGGGGGGATGAAAGAGTCGAATGGTCACCTCGCACCACCTGAGAACAGGAGTTACTGGCGTGAAATCAGTCGAAGTCCAAGTCCGCTGGGTCTGATACCTGTCCACCTTGAATTCAGGCAATTTGTACGTTCCGATGTAGACAGGACTTTGGTTTTCGATAGCTGATGGTCATTAGATACACCGACACGAAATTCCTCGTAAGGCATTACATGTCTCCATAGGCTTCCTGACCACATGGCTCTACACGCGGGGCTATCAGGTCGACCAAATACATCCCATTCTTCTCACGGCATTGATACCCATTGCTGCTTCAGACGTTCTTAGACATCGCGTCGCCTCGGCGAATAGACTGTACATCAAGCTTCTTGGTGCACTCATGCGTGAAACAGAAGTAGACGGCTACAACGGCGTGATCTGGTATTTACTTGGGGCTTGGGCTGTGCTGCGCTTTTGTCCGAAGGACATCGGCACAATGAGTGTGATACTTCTCAGTTGGTGCGACACTGCAGCCTCTACCTTTGGCCGCCTGTGGGGACGTTACACGCCACGAATTCGCAAGGGCAAGAGCCTGGCTGGTAGTCTTGCGGCGATGGTTGTTGGCGTTGCCACCGCCGCGTGGTTTTGGGGCTATGTGGCACCTAACTACGGCGCACTTAATGGATGGGACACTGGAAAGAACGCCTTTGCCTTTCAAGGGCAGTTAAGTCTTCCTTCAAGCGTTAAAGGCCTGTTGGGCTGGAAAGAGGATGAAGGGGTAATAACAGGTAGCTTAGCTCTTGGTGTTTTTAGTTTGTGGACTGGATTCGTTGCGAGTGCAAGTGAAGCTGTCGACCTATTTCATTGGGATGATAACCTAACGATACCTGTATTAAGTGCTGCGGGCCTATGGGGTTTCCTGAAAGTTTTCGGATCGGGTTAACGACATAACATGTAAGACAACCAACACAAGACTCCACTTAAATATGCACGTGCAGACATGCTTTCAACATCTGACGTCAAGGCTTTGCAAGATGTGAATTGTTTTCAGTCATACTAAGTGCATTTCGCTCATCTTGCGAAAGTCGTCTCTTTCGAGAGAACTCCCACTGCAAATCACGGCCAGTGCTTAGAAACGAAACGTCAAGAGGGAACGCGACATACTGACAAATGACTACCTCAACTTGTGATATGAAAGTCATGTTGTTGATCCCCGATTATCATTCTCAAGCGAAGTCTCAGCTGAAAGATGCAGGGGAATACGTCAAAGGAAAGGAAAAGAAAAAAATTGAAGAACTTAAATCTTTTACACTTAGTGACAAAACAGTCTATTTTCGGCGCCAACTTCTCACAGCAGGGAAAGAGGCATCGTACCCATTCATGCATTCGTTTTGCCATAAACCAAAAGCCACAATGCAGTGAGCGGCTCTATGTCTTCGTGTCGCGTTCAGTCTTTCATCAACGGAAAGATGGCATTCCACGGCGCTCCCGGAAACGAGCATTTCAACTCACGCACTGCCATTCTCCGCCACAGCAGGAGCGTTGACCTGCCCTCTGACACCTCCCTTGCCGCCAACCTCACGGGCTGTGACGGTGACGGCGAAGTCGGGCCTCACATCAATCTGGACCTCAACCTTAGCTCCCTTCTGGACACCCTTGACAGCAAGCTCAGCAATAGTCTTGCCAACGTGCCAGACTTTCTCTCTCTTCTCTTCGGGCTCTTCATCTTCATCGTCGTCGCTGTCGTCATCACTGTCGTCGTCGTCTTCATCCTTCTCACCATTCGTCTGAGGCTTCTCCACTTTCTCAATTTTAATATGTCTTAGACCCTCGACAAGCTTAACAAGCACATCACCACCTTCTCTTGGGGTTGCAACAACCACACTTCTCCGAACTGGCGTAGGTGTATCTGCTTCAATAATGGGCTGGAACTTGCCGTGCGATTCACTTTCTGAGATGCACATGACTCCCAACGCGTTCTTTAGGTGCGGGGTCACCGTTACCACGGGCTCACAGCTCTCTTCGATGTTCTCGGTATCGAAGTCGCCAATGAGGCTTGCCTGCACAGCAGCACCACGGGCCGCAAGCTCTGAGGGATTGATTGCGTCCGACTTAGTGGAAGGCGCCCATATCGTGGCCTTTTCGTTGAAGAGAGTATTCATGTTCGCGGCGATCCTTGGAGTATGTGACAAACCGCCGGATAGGATAACATCAGTGATGTCTAGAGGATCTAGCTCAGCTTTCTCAATCGTGTGTCGTATTAGCCTGTCAATAGCCTCGAACACTGGTCGTCCGAGCATCTCGTATCTCGTCCTATTGATTGTGCAAGTGAAATCATTGCCACTTGCTAGTGATTCTACGCTGAAGGAAGCCGAATTACCCAGGCTCAATGCCTTCTTGACAGCCTCGGACTCGAGTCTAAGCTTAGCCAGAGATCGATCATTGTTTCGAGGGTCGTCAGCGTTCTTGAACTTCTTCAAGAATTCCTTGGCAAAATAGTCCATGAGCTTTTCGTCAAGTTTTGAACCACTAACATCGAAGTCGTGAGAGGTGGCCAGCACGGTGTAGATACCGCCTCTTGAGGCAATCACAGCGACGTCTGACCGTATACCGCCCAAATCCGCTACCAAGATCACTTTGTCCGCCTGGCTTGCACCAGGTCGTGCATCATAGGCAAGCACAGCCGCAACAGGCTCTCCAATAAACTGAAGCACCTCAATTCCGGCTTCCGCTGCAGCCTTTTTCAATGCGGTCTTCTGGGCGTCGCTGAAGTTGGTCGGTACAGTAATAACAGCAGCATTGACGTCCTTGCCCAGAAAGTCCGAGGCCGAAATCTTCAACCGTCGCAAGTGTCGTGTTGTAATTTCGGAGACACTCACTTGAGAAGGGCCACCCTCTTCTTTGTCCTGTATCGAGAAAGCTACTGTTCCATTGTATTCGATTGGATGAGCAGACTGGTGACACGGCGTTGGGTCTATTGATTTAAAACTGTGCGTCGTGTAAGATCGTGCACTGATAACAAAATAGCACAGTGGGGAGCATTGCTGTTGTACTTACTCTTGTCCTAAGAAGTCTCTAAAGTAAGCAACCGTGTTCTTCGAGTTCCGAATGAGCTGGGCCTTTGCCTGAGTGCCTTGAAATTCCTCGCCGTCGACATAAGACAGAATGCTGGGGATCTGACGATCTGAAAGACTAGGTCAACCATAATTCTCGTCAGGTATCACCCTGAACAACACATACCGCCTTCTTCGTTTGCAATAACCTCAGCTTTACCTTCCTGTTTGACCGTTAGAAACACGCCAGTCTGCTCTCAGTCCTCGCGACTACAAACAGGATCGACCCTCGCAATGGAGGAGTAGGAATTGCCGAAGGATATACCAATCGCGACACGCGGGGAAGCCTCCTCTTCACTCATTTTTGCAGATTGCAACGCTAAAAAACCCTTTTCTTGAAAGTCTTCGTCTTATGTGCGCAACAACCAAAGATTTCTTCAGCTCGATCTCCAGAGATGGGGTTTTCGAAACGTATTTACTGACCAGGCGAAAAAAAAGTTGGTACCTCCGAAAATAGCACGATTTCGAAAGCCAGGGTCTGCTGAAGCAAGTCTTGGCATCAAGCCAAAGAACACACCTTGTCAAAGAGCTGTAGTATGCATAGCTACATAGCAACAACTCTAATAACCCAGCGTATGCCTCTGAAATCACGAATTTACGGCTGCAAAAGTTTCGCATATCAAAGTTGAGCTCCATTGCTGACGGTATCTATCCTTTGCAGCCCCAAGAACGTTTACCATATTATGTTCTACATCTCATTTCTTGAGCTTTGTTTTCACAAATGCCGTTTTAAGAACGTCATTAAAATGTTCTGTTGATGCCGACGTAGTTCAATCTTCTGTGGGTAAGCTCCGGGGATAGGAGTAAGCCAATGCTTGACTTTTGTTGTATCACGCCATTGTGGAGCAGCCAGACCATCTACTCGAGCGGAAGGTCGACAGGCAGGACAAACTTTGAGCATATTGGGCGTGGTAAGAAATTTACAGATATTTTCCTCTGGAGTCCAAAGCAGCAGACTTTAAATGAAGATAGCAAAAGATCAGAGGGCTTAGCGACGCGTAAAAGTAGTGTACTATCCTATAGCTGGTACAGGCTAAGAAGAATGACTAATATGTCTACGTGAAAACGTCAAGGGACTAAGGACCGTAATGTTGGTGTTCAGCTTGTTAGAGTAGGAATAAGATTCCATGCACAAGCACTCGCCCAGAACAGACTTTGACCAGCGCAGTCCGTACGGCTTCGATTCAACTCCATCCTTGATGCTCGTCCGTCTTACGGAGGCCCCACGATGCCACCACCTGTGACCTTCAGCTCAAACCGAGAACGTCGTTGCCAAGGGTCAGCTCAGATGAAACTTTTGACGTCCGGAGGGAGTCACGTGTGTCGTGTTCTTGTTGATCGCTTGACCTTGTTGCTTCGGGGCCTCTCGTCGTGTCGCGACAAAGTCGGTCACGCTGCTATGCTGGCGAGAATACTCTAAGGGGTTGTGCAGCTACTGGTTCAGCTCGACTTTTTCAGGCTGTATATCCAGCGGTGTAGGGATCGAGAGTGCGTGTCGATAGCCCTCTAAAGCGAAGGCTGGCATGCATTTCTCCCTCGTTTCCTGCCTCCTTTGAGGACAGACCTTTCACCGGACTTTGCCATTGCGCAACATACCGCAAAAGCAACTCGTGTGATTAGAGCGTTGGCGCCCACATGATGGTTTCGCAGGGTCCAGATGCAGACGGGCGGGTGACGGGCAGCTGAATGTGTCGGTGGCCCGTGCAGACGGCCTCCCTCAGCCGTCGACCACCAGTAGCATAGAAAAGGCGGTGGTTTTGCGAGATTTTCTCGGCTGCGGCCCTTCCAAAGACGTCCCCAAGCGCCGAAAAGCAGTCTTCACGGATCTGGCTCGCCGTAGTCCTAGAATCGCAGGTCCTGCAAGGTCCGTCAATCACATTTCCCATCGCCATGGGTGCTCCCTAGGCGATCGCCATGAAATCTCGGGCAGACTAACCAACGTGCTCCAGTAAACCAGGGGGAATCGCTGTCGGCTCGTCAATCAATCTCCAATTCAGCCAATCCGCGTCGCGCATGCCGGAACGCACAACTGAGAGACACCAAGCAGCCGAGCCTCCATTTCTTGTACGTCTATCACGTATTCCGCGTGTATTCTTGGGGAGGACATCGAGTACATATCAAAGATGCTTGCCGCGGTTTCCTGTAGCTCCTTGCACCCCTCATCGCTCTTCGCATGCCTTCTAAGTTTCTGGACCATCTTTTTTTCCTTCGTATTTTTCCTCAAATCGCTCGTCCTAGTCTGCCTCATGCTCTCATGCTAGTCAGCTCGATGTCTCTCGTTGCTGGTAGGGTGCTCATCTGGTCTGCTTGAGTGACCAAGTGCGCGTGCGCTTTTGTCTTGCGACCCGATCAGCCCATTTTCTCATTTCTTTGGCAGAGCTGCCGTCATATTCTTATTTCATAAGCGTAACGTTTGCCAACCATGCGGCTATGCAGAGCATCTTTCGCCATGGCTGCAGTGCTGCAGTGTCTGACATCTTGTCTGACTTGCTTGAAGGGAGTCAAGGCAACGCCAATCAAACGTGCTCCCCCTTCCGTTGTGCAGCAGTCAAACGCTCCACCAGGTGTGCCTGAGTACGTGATAAAATATGGTATAGTCCCCACAAAGTGTCATTGAACACAGTAAATGGCACTAACTAGGCTACAGCACCTTTAGTGTATATGGATCCAACTGAGAAATACATGCCGGCGGACCTTGCCACCCATCTCGCCCACTGCACTCCAATGGGAAACAACCGTGCTGCGTTGGCAAATCTGCCTTCGCCACTAACCCTCGACAATCTTGACTTGCTGAACGCATTCAGTTCGGACAAGGGTAAAAGCGTGTATCTGACGTCAAATGACGACTTTACAAAAAACCCGCCGTGGATATTGGGCACAACACCCGATGCAAATGGCAAGACTGAGAACGCAATCAGCTCGGTCGTAATTGTTGCGGATAAGGGCAACGGCCTGGTCGACGCGTTCTACTTCTATTTCAACTCGTTTGACGATGGCGGAATTGTTCTGGATCAGAACCTTGGCAACCACGTCGGAGACTGGGAGCATAACATGGTTCGATTCCAGAACGGAGTGCCACAGGCTATCTGGTTCAGTCAACATTCAGGAGGGCAGTCCTTCACGTACAAGGCAGTCCAGAAGGACGCTGCGGGACTGAGGCCTATCGACTTCTCCGCGAATGGTTCTCACGCTAACTACGGCCTTGCTGGCGATCACGATCACACAATTGCCACCATCATCCCCGGCTTGAACCTGCCTGGCGACGGCCTGATCACCGATCACACAGGGTACGGCGCATTGTGGGACCCGATCAAGTCTGCGTACTGGTATTCCTATACTGGGCCGACCGGCAGCACAAAGGACAGCTCCCCAACGCGATTCGATTCCCAAGTTGGAACTTTCACCGCTTACGACAATGCAACGAGTCCTGTCGGTTGGCTGTATTTTCAAGGACGCTGGGGCGATCAGCAGCTACCCGACAGCGATCCGAGGCAGAAGTCGTTCTTCGGACAGTACAAATACACGACCGGACCAAATGGACCGGCCTACAAGAATCTTGTCAGGAAGAACGTCTGGCCCGGAGGAACAGGCGTATTGTCGCCTGTGCTTGTTCCGTGATGGACTCCCAACGTGTAAAACGAGAAGAGTGTAATGTCTGATGAAGGTAGTCTCGTAAATAATAATGCCCATAATTGTCTGATGAACCGTTATCCCTGGCTACGGAATTTGCCGCTAGCTGAGTGAGTTTTCCTCAACAGGTTTACGTCGAATCAGGTGCATGGTAAGGGCCAAGCGACGGAGGCCGGGTAACCGCTATATTGGATATGATGCTGCCTCAATTATATTGACATTGAAGAAGTTGGCATTTGTTCTTCTTCTAATCGTTCTTTGTATTTTGTTTCATGAGTATAAGTTTTACTCTGATTGGTCAGCTGGCTGAAGCAACCGGGGCCCATGCCGCAATGGCTGCTTCGGCTGTATTCCTCTTCGGACCGGAGATGTCCTAAGCATGATCTCTTGCAATACCAAACACACGCAGCGGGACTACATCAGAGCACTTTGATCTTCCTTGTCGTTTGTGTGATGCCGGCGTGACGAGGTAGCATTGCTCACGTCCTTTCTTACACGCTGTGTCTAGCCTCGAAGAGTCTCAACCAGCCCCCTCCTCGCTTGTGCAAAACTGTCTTTGGTCCTGGGGCGGCTCAGTTTTTTGAAGATGATTTTTACTGCTTTATTTTTGGTCCTGGGACCGGCTGCTCTGCTGTATCTGTGGCTGGTCAACAAAGCGATCCTTAGGGTACCGAAGGAGGTACGGGAAATCTCACCTCGACGATGGACAAAGAAGGAGATAGCAGAAACCTACGAACGGATCGAACGGAATCCAATCGACTTTACGCCGCATCTGCCGCCGAAGCTGGACAGGAGGTACATCGTTGTCGGCAGCTCAGGTGTGTGACATTGCGTTCTTGATTTGAGACTCTCTGACTCCTAAGAAGGTCTTGTTGGCGGGTATATGGTGCTCCACCTGCTACAGCGCGGCCAGTCGCCTGAAAGCATTCGCATGGTCGACTTTGTCCCGCCGAAACGTCTGGACGTGCTGCGCGCAACAAAGTCGGTGGAATTCGTCCAGGCCGACATCACCTCGGAAGACTCTACGATGGCAGCCTTCGGTAGGCCGTGGCCCAAGTCGGTCGCAGACCTGCCGCTTACGGTGCTTCACACGGCTGCGGTCATCAACTTCACCGATCGCGCACGCACGCTCCTGCCCAAAGTCACAAAAGTCAATCTCACGGGGACGGCGAACGTGCTGAGCGCGGCGAAGCGAGCAGGCGCCGACATTTTCCTCGCGACGTCGTCGGCCTCGATTGCGATCAAGCCGGTCGGCTTCTGGATTTGGCCGTGGCAGCGTCACCCGAAGAACATGTTTCAATTCTACGGCGAAGACGACGCCTATGCTCCTCTCAGGGACCATTTCGACTACTTTGGGAACTACGCCGTTTCAAAGGCACTTGCGGAAAAGCTGGTGATGGATGCCAACTCCGACACGTTCAAGACCGGCTGCATCCGGCCGGCAAATGGCGTGTATGGCACAAGATACGATCACACGGTCGGCACGTATTTGACCCGACGCGATGTCCCCACGTACATGTACCCGCTTCGCATTGGGATTGAAGATGGTGCTAACCCTTCTTTAGCTGGGTGCCGCACATTGTTCAGAACTTTGTGCACGCAGAGCACGTTTCACTCGCCCATTTTGACTACGAACGAGCCCTTCTAACAGCCGGCAACAAAGTCGGCGGGAGATCCTTCGTGGTCACAGACCCGAACCCGCCGATCACATTTTCAGATATCTACACGGTTCTGTCAACGACGTCCGTCACCGGATTCAAGGCTACGTATATACCGCCCATCTTTCTCCTTGTCATTTCCTATCCAATTGAGCTATACTATCTCCTGAAAGCCTTTTTCCCCATTTTGAATCGCGTCCTGCCCGAACTGCCATTCGAGATGGGTCTGATGCAGCCCACGCTTTTCTCCATCAGCTGCGCCCACGTGATAGCTACAGATGCCGCGGCAAAGAAAAGTATTGCAGAAGGTGGCATCGGGTACAAGGGTGTGTGTTCGACGCTGGAGGGCATGTGCATGGAGGTTTACCTATGGAACAAGGAGCACAGGGAAGAAAACCAGCAGCAAAGTGTCGACGCTCAAATCAGAGAGGAGATACGGAATATGGCAACTGTTCCTGCAGCAATGGGTGGTGGCTGACGGGTGCAGATGGTGGTCGCGAGGTGTGCATTTCCGTCGCGCGAGAGAAATTTTTGGTACTGGTAGATAGACGAACGTGTGTGTGCGTTGTCGTCCACGGCCCAAAAATAGCCGCAGGTCTAATAAGAGTGGACCAGACGACGATTTGTCTGGCATGTCTCCTTTGGCCCTCTGCCGGGCGCAGCTGTTCAATAAAGCAGATATCACACAGGGCCCAAGACCCGTGAGGCATGCGTCGAACGGACACATGGCCCCTATGTGTTTTGCATGCGTCGCCAAATCGGCTGCAGAAGGCTAAACTTATGACATCGGCTGGCTGGATAGAGGGATGTGCGCCGCCGAGAATTGGGCGATCATCCGCGCGTGGGCCAATCCAGTCTTGCTGCGTACCGCACCGCATATACGATGCTTGCGTCTCGGCCCAGCGTTTGGTAACGCAGCCGATAAAATTATGGGATGCGCCATATTCTTACTGCCCGCTGAGAAAGTCGGTCAGCATTCACGGGCTGCGTTGTTGAGCAGTGCGTGCACAGTTGAAGCCACGACCTCTGGGCCAGATTCAATCTGGGGTCGGGTCCCCCCACGCGACGCTGACCGAGTGCAGATAGGGGGGCGAAGGTTACGATGGGGTAATTGTATCTGGAAAGGCGGAGAGACGGCCAGCATGGTGACGTGCCTTTGAGGAGGTTGGCTCCCTTGTCCCTGCTGATGTTGACTGTGCTGGCAACCAGGCCGGTGGGGTTGCTCGAAACCGCTGGACGACGAGCGCGCCGTGCTGGCTGTTCACTGCTTTGCTCAGCCTTTGCTTGATCCGCCAGGCTGAACAGGTACCGGCACAGGATGTGGTGTGGAGTGTGGTGCGCCCGGCCCGGCCGCGTTATTGGTAGAAGCACGGCAACTTGACGCCGCCCGTGTTCGTTCACGTCCCGTTTCTTTTTCTTTTTCTCTCGACGTTCCCAACCACCTGGGCGGACAGCTTGGGAGCCTCAAGTTGGCCCGCGTCGAACCACCTCTGCTGCTCGCGGACGAGCCTTGTCACTCCGGGTTCTCCGCAGGCTCGTCGTGGTGTACGTCAGTCACGCGACAGCATCCGCCAGGCATGTCTGCAGCAAGGGCACCGGTGTTGTGCATATTGCATCGAACAAACACGTAAGAGACTCGTCGGCTTGGTCCCAAAGAGATCCCAGATGGATGAAGTGATCTGCCTGGGGCGTGCCGACCAACGTCGCCAGAGCGCCCTTCCCCACATGCTTTGCTTTTCCGAACCCGCCTCCTGCAGAAGCGCAGAAAAAAGCCAACTCTTTCGCTGCACGCACACGCACTGATCATGACCCAGTGCTCGTGGCTCTGCGCTTGTCGCCATGTCCAAGGCTAGAATTGCCGAATTGTCGCTGCTTGATGGAGTTTAGACCGCGTGTGCTTGTGGAAAATCCCTTCACCAGACCACCTCGATTTCTGATTCGTCTGACAATTTTTCCTTCCCACATGATGCCCACTCACTCCCTTCTCCGCAAATAGCCAAGTTTTCGTACGGGTGAGCCTTTTCGCCATCTCGCTTCTTTGCAGTCTAGCTGGGCGGGATTGGTGAGCCATATATTAACTAGATCAAGAGACGGTTTCCGCGGCTCGAGATCCAAATCCACTTTTCGGGCCCTTTCCTATGGCTTCGCAACCTCACCTGCTCATCCGCTGTCGCTGCTACTCTTTGAACTCTACCGTGGACTGAAGCGCTTGCCCCTCCCCGAAGTCGCCGGGCTCAAACTTCCCGTTTATGATTTATCATAGTTCCTGACCTCTACCAAAATCATGTCGTCGGTGAAGCTGCTGGCTCGGCTGCTGCCGACGCCACCAGCAGTATCAAGAGCGCGGAATTCGTACCGTTGGCGACACGCGAGCACGTTCACGCGAGCGGCCAACTCAACCTCGTTTTGGACGTCCGGGCGTGTCTTGCTCCTGACGGCCTTCACAGCCTCGTTGACCTACGTTTATGGCGTGCACGACGCTGGCTCTCTCGGTCCCGTTTCCGCAGCGCTGCGTTCGAAGGCCCCAAAGTATGGCACGAAGAAAGACATGGAGGCAGCAATCGCCGAGCTGAGGAATGAACTCGGTGACGATGCCGTGTCAACAGACGACGAGGATCTGCGCATGCACGGCTACTCAGAATGGTCGTCCATCAACATCGATCAATTACCTGTCGCGGTGGCGTATCCAAAGAGCACTGAAGAAGTCTCCAAGATCGCCAAAGTGTGTTTCAAGTACAAGATGCCCATGATTCCATATTCAGGAGGTTCGAGCCTCGAGGCCAACTTTTCCGCGCCGTACGGTGGGATGAGCATCGACTTCAGTCACATGGACAAGATAATCGCTCTGCACGAGGACGATATGGATGTTGTCGTCCAGCCTTCGGTGCCGTGGATGAGCCTGAATGATCAAATCAAACACTCCGGCCTGTTCTTCCCAGTTGACCCGGGTCCGTCCGCCAGGATCGGAGGCATGGTGGGAACGAGCTGCAGGTGAGCACGCACCTTTCACAAGTTCCAAAACCGCCCAGCTGACTTTAGCCTACAGTGGCACCAACGCCGTGCGCTACGGTACCATGAAAGATTGGGTCATCAATCTCACTGTAGTACTTGCTGACGGCACTATTGTCAAGACCCGAAGACGACCAAGAAAGACGTCTGCGGGATACAACTTGACAAACTTGTTCGTAGGATCCGAAGGCACGCTAGGCTTGGTCACGGAGATCACGCTGAAGCTTACAGTTATCCCGCAAGAAACGAGCGTTGCAGTAGTCACGTTCCCAACGATTCGTGATGCTGCAGCTGCCGCATCCAAAATCATGCGCGCTGGAGTGCCAGTGGCGGCAATGGAAATTATGGACGAAGTGCAAATGAGCGTCATCAACAGGACGCAAGCTACAAAAAAGACGTGGAAGGAGGTTCCAACCATGTTCTTCAAGTGTGTACTCTTCAAGCTGCACCACACACGGAATGTAACAACCTACTAACTTGGAGGCAGATTTTCTGGAACGAGAGCGGGAGTCAAAGAAAGCATTTCACTAGTGAAGAACATAGCGAAACAACATCACGCAGGCAATTTTGAATTTGCTAGAAGCCCTGAAGACCAGCACACCTTATGGTCCGCTCGAAAAGAAGCATTGTGGAGTATGCTTGCACTGCGAAAGGAAGGGGAGGACGTCTGGTCGACGGATGTTGCCGTGCCACTATCTCGCCTTCCAGATATAATAGGTACGGCTTTCTCTTTTTAACCAGATCTTATTGAACTAACACTTTCCAGAAATCTCAAAGAAAGAAATGGACGATCTGGGAATGTTTGCTAGCGTCCTTGGCCATATTGGTGACGGCAACTTCCATGAAAGTATTCTTTACGATCCCAAAAACCCGAAGCAGCGAGCCGCAGTTGAAAAGGTCGTTCACGACATGGTCGACCGTGCACTGGAGATGGAGGGTACGTGTACGGGTGAACACGGCGTTGGGCTTGGGAAGAAGCAGTCACTTATGAAGGAGCTGGGCCCTGAAACGATTGGCGTCATGCAGAGTATTAAGCAGTCGCTTGACCCGTACTGGCTGATGAATCCTGGGAAAATATTCTCTCATCCATCATCACGTGAAAAGTTCGGGCACTAGCACGTGCTCGCTATGGGAGGCTTTTATATCCGCGGAAAGGTTAAAAAAAATTCCTGGCGAGATTTCGCGTTGACATCGGTTGGAGGACATTTTGCATTCATTTTGCACTGCATCAGTCTGAAGCGCATCTGGGCGGCATCCTCTGGGTGCTTCAACGCACGTATTCCGACACAGCGATGTATTTGAAGCGTTCACCAAGCTTTTAGAAAAGCTGTCCTTTGCTTGGACATTTTTATTAAGATGCAGTGTGAAAGGTCTCCGCAGCCACGACTGTCTACCAAGTCTAGAATTGTGTTAATCCGATAATGGCCTTGTAACCAAACGTATGGACAACATTATACTACCTCTTTCGGATTTTTTTACAGCCCTACGCTCGGGGATTCTGCATTGGTCAAGTGATTCCTGCTTGTAAAAGCCGCATCTTGTGCCGATGTGCAAAGTCAGAGCAATTCCCCGGATGACAAAAAGTGCTGTCGCTTGGATTTGAACCACGAAAACGTCGGGTCAAAAAAGTTATCGAAGAATTTACTCCTCGTAAATGAACTTCCTGAGACGCGCAGCTTATCATAACCAGACGTTGTCGAGAATCAACTTTGGTAGTTAGTACTGTTGCGTTTGTCTATCCAACGAGCACTAAGTCCAGTCGCAAAAGATTAGCGTGGTAACGAAAGCGACAACCTTTTGAGATTCTTTTTCTTTCCTTCCTGTTAGATACCATAGTTATCTTGGACAGTTGCTTTCCCGTCGATCCGAGTACGAAAAAGCTAAACCAGATGGTCAGAGGCCACTGGCTACACAACAGCACGTCACGTGACGAATAAATCACGATGTTTTCTCGTATTCTGATTATATTTCTGGTTTGAGATCTACTTAAAGCTCAGATTATGTAGATGATAAATGTAGTGGAAAGAAACCTTTGACAATCAAAAGAACAGCGCCCACTTCAATTTTGTGCTCTCCAAGCTGCCTGATGTAGTTGATCGAAACTGCCAAGTTTTTTTTCTGCGAGCATTAGGCCATAAGGCTGTAAGGCAACTTCAGATCCACACATTGCCCACGAAATATTGCTCGAACTTTTTGCGACTCCCTTGACAGCGTCTCGAACAACTCTCGATTGCACAACCACAATCATGGGTCGCGGTCCAAAGAAGCATCAAAAGCGGTTGTCCGCTCCATCGCACTGGCTTTTGGACAAATTGTCCGGTGCCTATGCGCCAAAGGCCTCGCCAGGTCCTCACAAGCTTCGTGACTGCATGCCTCTGATCGTGTTCATCCGCAACCGCCTCAAGTACGCCCTGAACGGCCGCGAGGTCAAGCAGATCGTCATGCAGCGCCTTATCAAGGTTGACGGCAAGGTACGCGCACACTTGCTGTCGCTGTTTTGCTTGGTGTCTCCAGGTCGGAGTTGACGTGTTGCACAGGTCCGCACCGATCCAACTTTCCCCGCCGGTTTCCAGGACGTTATTAGCATCGAGAAGACCGGCGAGAACTTCCGTCTCGTCTATGACACCAAGGGACGCTTCGCCGTACACAGAATCACTGCCGAGGAGGCCGAGTACAAGCTCGGCAAGGTCCGTCGCGTGCAGCTGGGCAAAGGCGGCATCCCCTTCCTTGTGACGCATGATGCACGAACGTGAGTGTCATCTATCAGCCGTTGAGCAAGGCTTGGGCGATATCTGTAGGCGTGAATATCTAACGTAAGTTTGTGTAGGATCCGTTACCCAGACCCTAAGATTAAGGTCAACGACACCGTCAAGATCGACCTCGCAACGGGGAAGATCACTGACTTCATCGAATTCGACACCGGCGTCATTGTTATGGTGACGGGCGGTCGTAACCAGGGCCGTGTGGGTGTCATCACTCATCGCGAGCGTCACGATGGTGGCTTCAACATTGTGCACATCAAGGATGCTGTTGACAATGAATTTGCTACTCGTGAAAGCAACGTCTTTGTTATCGGTCGTGAGAAGCCATGGATCAGCCTGCCCAAGGGCAAGGGTGTCAAGGTATGTCGTGCGCATTTTATTTTCTTTTAGCGATGTGATCTAACGCTCTTGCAGCTCTCTATTGCCGAAGAACGTGACCGCCGCAGGGCTTACGCTGCTGCTCAGCACTAAAGCATTGCTACCGGCGTCTCGGGGAAAAGTCTCATCAAAATGGGCGTGGATTCATCAGCAAGTCGGTGATGCGACCTTGCATTGTGTGCTGCTACGAGTTTTAGGAATCATGTCGAAGTTGCTTACTACATAGATTAGTAAGCCAAAGACAATGAACGTTCAAGATGACCCTTGTGCACCAAACCAAACCTTTCGATTTTATTGTTTACATGAGCATTTCTACTTTTTGGCCTTTTCCAAAATTGCATCCAAACACCCCCCTGACCCTTGATCCTAGTCATCTTCGATGTCGTCATCCTCAAGCACCAGGCTTTCCATCTTATCTTTCACAGCGTCAGACTTGCTGACAGGTTTCTGTATAATAAACATCTTGCGCCTCACAGGACCAATTTCTTCACTAGGCTTGTCTGTGCTCCATTGTTCCTCGATGTCTGCGGTTGCGCTATCGGCATCGTCATCATCCCCATCCACCGTCGCGAACATGCCCATCCGCGTGACTTTGTCCATGTCCCGATTGATATCCTGCGTGTCCCGGAGCTTGTTGTACTTCCGCATTGTTGACATGTACGGCAAACGCTCGAGGAGTAATTCGTCCTTGGCCATCAAACCCCTTACCATAGCGGTCGCAGCATACATTTCGTCGTCCTGTTTGACATCCCTGCCTTGTTTTTTCTCTTCTTTGTACGCCGACGCGGAGTTACCGCCAAATCTGTTCAGACGCCAGGTTTCTACCGCACTCGGCGAGTAGCTATTTGATGATGATGCTGATGATGAAATCTTGCTGAGTTTCGAAAAGCCACGACTTCGCAACTTCGCGACGACGGTGCCCAGCGCCTGTTCGATCTCCTCCTGTCGTCTCCAGATGCGCATCGACGTGGGGTAAAACATTTGAAATGCAGCACTTCTGGAGCCGAAGCTCTTGCTATGCGTGTTTGCTTGAGGCGGCAGTATTCGCTTGACGGGATGGGGTAGGTTAAATAAGAGGCCGCGAACACTGGTCTGGAAGCTTATTTCGTCTTGTCGCAGGCTGTCGGTGCCAGTACCGGCGTAAGTCTGCGCCCGGCGATGCACGTTTGGACTGAAGCGATCGGGAGAGAGGATGTCCGCGTCCGAAAGAGAATCAATACACCCATTGACGTGGTCGAGAGTCTCTTCGCTGTCTAGGCCGCTACATGACAAGATGTAATTCTCGTGAAGTGCCGCAATAAAGGTTGCAATGTCTGTGCCTAATTCGTTAAGAAGAGTTTCTGTGTTTACTTCTGAGACTTTCGGTCGCGCGTGCTGGGGGAGATGATTCGGCGGTTGTGGTGGTGGTGTGTCAGTCGCCGGAGGTGTTTCTCTTTTGTTGTACACCACCTTGCCGACCGCGTGGAAGATGCCCAGGGTACTCTCCCGCTGCGTGACCATCTCGAGCGACTGCGCTTCCATCTTTGACATGGGTGCATCGACACCGCCGCGCTTTTGCTTCGTGAACGTGACTCTGCCACTCCATTCTGACGATTCATCTCCTCGTAAGCAAAGAAACTCTAACGACGAAATAGCGCTTCGTATGTCGCCAATCCCAGCTAGATGCTTGAGTACAGCCGGACCTGGCGCTCTTTTACGGCCTGATTTCTTTGACTCTTTTTGTAGGACCAAATCAAGTGCTTTTGTCATAAACGTAGGTGCTATGGGGTTGAATTCTATTACGGTAGTTGCTTGGTGACCGAGAATATCAGGGCCAAGCAGTCGATAAGCCGTGAAACTGTCCGCAGCCGCTGTGGATGTGGAGAGTAGAGACTCAGAGATTATCATTACGATAGGCACGATTGGTTTTGTGGTTGAAGCCTGTGATGTGAAGAATGAGCTTGCGGAAGGCATAGATGCCTCGAGGTATTGAAGGACGGCTGTTCGGAATGACTGCAAACCACTCGAAAACCTGGAGAATGTGTTGGGGAACTCTTCGATGAGCACGAGCTGTTTTCGATTAGATACTTGCTCGTTAGACTGTTGCACCGACGGAGACTGTGTAGTGTTGGAGGCAAAATCAAGTGTACCGAAGGTGCCAGTCCTTGCAACAAAGTCTTGGAATTGAGCCGACATGGAAACAAACCCCTCTTCAGACGAAGTGTTGCTGGTGCTCCATTCGCTAACATGTATTCCAAGCTCCTGAGACAACAGTTTCAACGTGACAGTCTTACCCGTACCCGCTCCACCCTTGAGAATCAAAAGTCGCTTCCGCTCTTGGCCAGCAATGACTCGCTGTAACCAGATCTTCACATCTTGAACTTTCTTCTTGTGCACTGCCAGCTCGTCCACCTCAGTGGGACCAAACCTCTCTGTCCACGGGCGAAGATCGACAGCAACTGTAGATCGCACGGCCTGGTCAGCTGTGGCCGCTCGCTTAAACATCCGGCTGCCTATCGGAATGCTGGTGCTTTCGTCCAACTCGTTAATTTTCCGCTTCTGCCGGACGGGGAGCGGGTAGTCGGAACCAAACTTGGTTTCGTCCAGAGAAGCCATTGCTTCGTCCAGCGAGTCGTCTTCGATATCCTCCTCTTCCTCCATTTGCCCAGCTTTGGATTCAGACCCCATTGTATGTCCGTTAATAGATGAGGAGGCTTGCTGACGTTGCGTTTGGGCACTGAAAAATGAGAATAAAGTTCGCTCCTTTGGCCTGGACTTCTGTGAGGGCGAAGGCGACGCCGCTGACTTCTGCGAGCCAGGACTGACAAGGACATCTTTACGGCTCTTGCGACTTTTAGGTGTGTTGACCTTGGCTGGTGATGCCTTGTGCGTTGCAGCAATTGGGCGTTGTGGTGATGTGCTGGTCGAAACAGCAGCCTTATTGAGGGTTAATTGCCCACTCTCTTCGTCGTCTGACGACAACACCACTGTCGTCTTCTTTTTCGCACGGGCCTTACCCATCCTCCTGCATACCCGGCTATCACCGGCGATATTGTGTTCGACTAGATCATGGCTGTGATAGGTGCTTGAGTCGCGCCTCTCGGCCTCCAAACAAGAGTCGCGGGCGCGATGTCACGTGCATGTTTTGCGATTGGTGTTATCATTCAATCCTGCTTTCCAAGTCCAAAAGCATTCCAACCACCGTATCCGACTGCACTGCGTTCTTAGCAATTCCAAAAAATTTCGACTTTTGCTTTCCCCGGCGTACTGCAAGTTCGTTCTTGTGCAATGCTGTAATCGAGCCCTACATCAGTTCCTCGCGTCTAACATTCGTTGTTACCGTTGCGAGACAATTTTTCACTGCACCAAAGCTCTGGCCACTTTGTTTCAAAATGTCACAGCAAACGTCTATTCATTCCGTCCCGCTTCGATTCGCCGGGTAACGCACACCGCATTCCGACTGGCCCCACCACGGCCAACCATCGTCGTCCACGAAATTCGCCTCACCCACAAGGACAGCTGGTCGGTGGTGGCTTGTTCAATTACTCTGAACGACATGGATCATGGCTTTGATACCGACTAATCTTTACAAATGAGAGCAGATGCGTCTCTCTTCGTTTGAAGCCATGCGTCCATGGTGTGAATCTTGTCACGTCTCGTCAGCGTCTGTACGGCGTTCTCTTTTTGTCTTCATGCCTATTATCAGCGCCAAGTATGCCACATGGATCGACAGGTCATGCATCTTACCCCTAGGGAACTATCCAAATCGCGTTAAAATTGGACTTAAACCTGGTCGTGTTGGCGTCTTGTAACCCACTTAATTCTCAATTGTATTACCAGATCAATGGTTCGAGCCGAGTACCCAATTATGTCCTTCCATCTCATGCTGCCACGCTGTCATGGGTCACCGTCTCTGCTGTGACTCGAAGTGATGGTCTCACAAATAAGCTGCCGGCAGCCACCTGGCAGATGTGTATATCATAGAGTCGACTCAGGGTACTATGGCGAAGAAAGGCAAAAAGGCGAAAGCTGCTGCCGCTGCCGCTGCTGCCGCTACACAGCAGGTAGCCCCAATTACTACAACCGCCGCCGATATTGATCAACAGCTTCGTCGAAACAGAGAACTCTTCGACAAGACCCATCCCGAAGCTGTGCATGGCCTCGAAAAGAGCGGTTCATCCTCGTTTTCTCTGCCTAGCTCACCTGTGATTAAGGCTTCACCTAGCACTCAGCCCAGTCCTGCATTGTCAGCGTCGGCGACGCAAGCTGCTGACGAGAACTTCAAGCCGCTATCTTTGCCTCCACTGAATATCAGCGAAGTCCTCGTTCCGGGAATTGTGCCGGACATTGACTGGTCTGTATTTGACGCGCAACCTAATCGTGGTAAGAGGAGGGCGAAAGTAAAGGTAGTGGCACCCAGACTCGAAAATTCTTCGCTAGAGCCAAGCTCCAGTGTTGAAACTGTAGGTTTATTTTTAGCTGAGCAGTAGATCTTGACTGACTTCGGCAGGCTGAACCCGCGCAATCTCAATCTGAAGAGAAGCCTCAAGTGTTTGAGGAGAATCCCGAGGCTCCTGAGGAGAAGCTAGAAGTTCCTGAGGAGAAACCTCAATTCTTCGAGGAGAATCCCGACGCTCGTGAGGAGAAGCTAGAAGTTCCTCAGGAGAATCTAGAAGCTCCTGAGGAGAAGTTAGAAGTTCCTGAGGAGAAACCTGAAGCTGCTAAGGAGAAACCTGAAGCTCCTGAGGAGAAACCTGAAGCTGCTGAGGAGAAACCTGAAGCTCCTGAGGAGAAACCTGAAGCTGCTGAGGAGAAACCT